TAGTTTTATTAAGGTTATTAAGTAGGGACCGGATATTAACGCTATAAGACTTAAGGGCGGCGTAGTCTATATTAAAGTTATTGTATTTCTTTTAAAGGTTGTTAAATTTAATTATTAAATTAAAATAATCGAAATTCTTCTAATCGAAATTATTTTAGGCTCTAGTAGCTACTTTACAAATAGTCTTTAATTCATCCTCGCTACGTTTAAAGTCGATAGCAATATTTTTATATTAAATAAAATTATTATAATAAAAGCGACCGAACGGGGCGATAATTAATTAGAAAGCGGGGTCCCGAATAATAACGTTAGTTATATCGAGGTAAGTACGAGGGATAGCTTTCTTTTCTTTATTATTATTAATACTAATAAAAAGGTTATTAATTACTATTAAGGGAAGGAGCTCGACGAACGCGGTTTAATAAATAGTAATATTAGTAGTACTAATAACTTCGTCAAATACCTTGTAAATATTGTTCAAATTAAATAGTATACTCCTAGGAGGGGTATTAAAATTAATAAGATCGTCGGTACTACTAACGGGAAAGAAGGATGCGTAGTCGCTATTTTCGTTGTAAGATATAAGAAAGGTAATCGTACAAAGTAGTCTTTTATCCTTTAAATAAAGAATACTTACCCTTATTTACTAAATAAAGGGAGCGAGACTATAATTGCAACTATTATAATTTACGACTATTAGTATTTGGGGTACTAGACTCGGCAATTCGATAAATGAGATAATTCCTATATACGCGCTAATTGAGAATTAATAGTACAATAAAAGAAAATAAGTTTACGCTATAAACGCAATAATTAAAAAGTACAATTAACTATTACGGGCAAAGGGTAGATGGTAGATGTGATTATGCGTAATTGTACGAAGGAGAAAGGAAGAGAAGTGTAGCCGAGTGCCTAGAAGGCTGGCCTTATGAAGGCAACCGGCGGCGGGTCTAATAGACCCGCGGCAAGCAACGTTCTAACTAATCAGCTGCCGGCGGTAATAATAGCGTACGGCAGTCTTAGAAGCTGCTGTACGCTGGCACCAGGCACAAGGCACACAGGCTAACCCTGTGATACTTATATTAAATCTCTAATATATTGTAATACCTAGGCCTAAATAATTAATTTATTTACCTTTAATACTATAATTAATATTATTCCTATAATCCTTAATTAAATATCTTCCTTTACTATAATTTATACAATTACCTTTATTATAACATTCCTATAAAACATCTTTATAAATCTCTATAAATTTAGCGCAATTAATATCTATAAAATCGGGGTCCTTCTATTTATTACTACTACCGCTATTACTATTACCGCCGCTATTATTATTATTAATTATTTAAATATAATTATTATAAAACGAAGCTCTAGTATATACTTTAGCAATACCATAGAATAAGGTAGACTACCCCTTTTAATTATTATATTCTAATTAAATATAATAATAGGAAATTAAATTAATTAGTAATTTAAATACTTTCTAATACAAGAAATGGACCTTAATTATTATATTATAATTATAACGGTCTACTAACAAAATGAACCTAGCCTCGAAATCTTTGTAATTAATATATTTACCGGCTTACTTAAAATTCAACAATTCCTTCTCCGCTATAACTACAAAGTCGCCTTACTTATAGCGTTTATTTAAATAAGTAAGGAATTCCTCGCTTATCTTCTATTTTTAATAAATTAAATAGTACGGGTTATTTAGGATAAACTAGTAATATTCGCTAATACTAATTTTAACCTCGCTATTCAAATAAATTATAATGTAAAGGAGTTTAAATAATTTATTAAAGAACTTATATCTATCTATTAATTAACGATTGCGAATAGTTAAGTTCCAGGTACTATAAGCGTTATAATGCTTAATTATATCCGTCTCCTCGCTATTAAAATATTTAGGGTCCTTATAAAGTACTTTATAATAGTAATTACCTAAGGAATTAGGTTAGAAAAATATACCGCTAGGATTACCGGGTCCGCCGGAGCTTCTACTACTGGGACCTTCTATTCTACTGGAGAAACTACTACTAAAACCTCTACTACTAAGACCTTCAAATCCGCCGGGGAATCTTCTACTTCTAAAACCGCCGCCTATACTAAGGAAACCCTTATCCAATCCTCCAAGGCTACTATCGCTAAAACTGCTACTTATATTAAGAATACCTATACCCGATCTTCTAAGGCCGCTACTACTAGGACCGCCGCTTATATTACTAGGGCTAAAGCTAATTCCCTTACCCAATCCTCTAAAGCTACTATTTCATTTACTAATATTATTATCCGTAATATCTTCGACTGTAATTTAAAATCTAATTTTATCGGTAACCTTAAATTAATTTTATACTACTGTTAGATTATTTTCGATAATAAATATATTTTCTTTAATTAAATAGAAGTTATTTCGAATAGTTTTAAGGTCCTCTTATAATTTAGTAGACTCCTCCTATATAATTTTAGTAATAATATACATATTACTACATTCCTACTTAAGCTTATTAGACGTAGTATTAATTGTAGTTAATAAATTGAAAATAATTTAATAATCGCCTTCCTTCTTAATAATAATCTTAATTATATTACTCTTTTAGACTACCTTCTCTTTTTTAACTATAACCAACTTCTATTCTAAAAATATATTATCTTTAAAGACTTAATTATATTAAATTTATAGGACCTTCAATTAATTTATAAACTATTTTTTAATATTCTTAAACTTATTAATACAGTTAATAATTTATCTTATCTCGTAACTAATCTTCTTAATGTAAACTTCGGTATTACATTCGTAGTTCCTAAATTTTTCTTACTCAACCGTAACATTCTCATCAAATAATTTAATCTTTTTATTGAAATAGTATAAAAGCTTTATAACTTCTTTATAACCCTTAACTTATACTATAAAATTAAATAAGACCCGTAGGCTAATATTAGAATCATTACTATAAACTGTAAATAATACATTATAACCCTCGAATAGGGTAAGAAAGATTATAGTAAGGTCGATTTGATTATCGCCGTTCTAATTTTAATTACTAAATATCTTATTTAAATAAATAATTAAATTAATAATTTATTAATAATTAAAGAAAAAGATTTCTTTACCGTATTACGTAATGTAATAATTGCGCCCTCGTTATTCTTAAATATTTATTTACTTTTTTAGGGTCGACTTTAATATTATTAAAACCTTTAGTTCGCTATTAATAATTATATAATTCATTAAAGAATAGATTTTACAAGAACTATTTTATTATATTAACCTTTACTAAATTTAATTCGACCGAAATTACTTATTATATTTTAATACGGAGGTTAGGTATAATAAAGTATTATAGGGCGCGAATAAGTACTAAAGTAAGATTTTAATTATTGTACAAGGAATAGGAAGAGAATCCTGTGCGCGCACGAGAATTATATAGGGCACACGTAGGTCCAATACACGGACCACAACACGTATGTACGTAACTACTATACTACACTCAGACAGCTGCAAGCTGGCTGCACTACTGTAGTACAGCACCTATTTATATATAGGAATATAGCAGTAATGCCTGTAACAAACTCCCAACATCTTAAATATATTCTTTTATAAATTTCGCCTAATAAATCTAGGCATTACATTCTTTCATACTATACTAAGCGTAGACTTTAGACTATAACTAGTATACGTACTAGACTCGGTATTTATAGGGCATTTTACAGCGCACTTTATAGGGCATTTAGTAGTACAATCGTACATCGCAGTCAATTAAGCGACTCAATTAAGCGATCAATCAGTCGCACTCAATCTACATTAATCTATACATCTATAATCTATCTAATTTCTACCGTATAATTAAATACTCTAACTAGTCTCAATCGCTCAGCTACCTCCGATGGCCTATGCGTCTCTTCGGACCCACAGGGCCAAATAGTTATAACATCCGGCCCACCACCCTCACCCACCCACTAATCCGGACATTACACCATTTGGCCCTGTGGGTCCAAAACGACTGCGCCACGGGGTGGCGGGGAAGTGGATGGGGGCTGACTAAGGTTGAACGTCTGTCATAAGAGACTAACTCTAACTACTAGCGAGTCTCCCTTATTGGGCTTAAGTGCTAGTTGGGGTACTAGCTGGTGTGCCCCCCCTCCTTATACCTCCTCTACCCCGTATAGAGCTGCTTCTTCCCCTTGTACTTCCTCCTCTTTGAGAGCCTCGCAGTCGGCCTCGTCCTTTTTGCAACGGAGTAGGAGGGTGCTTATTTACTACATCCTCTACCTCTAAGTCAACCCCCTCCTATATAAACGCGTTTCTCTAGATAGACGGCGCTATTCGTATTAATACTATAGGGTTATAGCCTACTCTAGGCTATCGGCCGCGGCTAGGCTAAATATAAAGCCGACTTCGGGGTTGTAATACCACTTAGAATTAAATTAACACAGTCGATAGAAGAGGCGCTTAAATACTAACTAACGCAATCAATTAAAGAACGTAAAAATCGCTTACGAAGGGTGTTGAATTACGAGGGCGGCTACGTAAATAATTTATACGGTTAAAATTATAATATTTAAAATATTTATCCTTATTAATTAAACTTCTCGTAAATTACTAGTAGGGGTAAAAGTCTAGCTTCAATAGTTTTAATAACGGCGGTCGGATAAAAAGGCTAGGAAATAGAATATACGAATATAGTAAGTTAAATTGCTTAATAAATTTGCCCGTATATAGCTCTAGTTTATCGGGATTGAGATTCTAAACCGATAGTACTATACCTAGAGTAATACAATATTACTTAGTAACCAACTCAAATACTCTCCAATATACCTAGTATAGGGCTTCCTCTAATTAACCTATATTAAAGTACTTCTACTAAGTAAATCTTATCTCTTTATCGTTATACTTATTAATCCGGTATTTTATTATATTAAGAAGGCTAAAATTCTATATAACAACTCTAATAATTAGACTATTACTTATATATTATATAATAATTAATATATTATAGAATATATAAGGAGCAATATAGTTTAATATAATAAATAAGGTTGGAAGTAGTATTACTAATAATAAAACTCTTCAAATTTCGGTTAACCGACTCAATTAGGGATATAGTACAATAGCCAAAATTAAATCTCTTATTAATATAACAAATAACCCACTCCTACTTAACTACTATATATATCTCTCTCAAATACATAATAATTACAATCTACTACCTAAAAAAACTCTCGAATCTCTCCCAAATAATATTAAATACCTTAACTATATAAATATAGCATATATACTTCCAAAAATCGTAAAAACCAATCCATAAATACTCTACAATATTAGGGAGAGCGCCTAATTGAACCGTACTAATCGCTAGCTCATTCATACATATAATAACACGCTTATCCTCTTCGTTAAATTTATTTAGAATTATTATATTACTAGGTAAATATACTAACTAAATTAACTAAATCAATTAAACTACTCGCTAAGTCAATACTAATATTTCTTACTATATTTATATAATAATTATATTAATATAAACGTAACTAACCTAAACGGCGACCTTCTTATCCTATTTATATTTAATATTCAATACTATATTCTTATTAATATAAAAAATATACAATTAAAAGCGCGCATTTAGGTAGACTTACTTAATAGCCACCCTTATTACTAAATTATAATTTATAATAGTAATAATCGATTTACTAATATTAATAGCTTTATAACAAATATTAACTTAATCTATCAACCAATCAAATCCCTCTTATTTCTTATTATTAATAAAGCTAAAACCGCAATTAAAGGTATAGCCAACCCTAATTATACCAATAATCTAGAAAAAAGCTAGGCCTTTATTATTCGTTTTATACGTATTATCGTACATCTAAACCCAAGGATTTTCCTTCCACATTTATTCTCCCTAGGGATTACTCTAAAAAAGGGCAATCGGTTTACTCTCTTAAAAAATATCTACCCAATTAACTTTAAAATAGACCCCCTTCTCTATAAATAACTTTATAGTTAATTAGAAGGGATTATAACCTATATTAATTTATTTCTTAAAGGTATAACGAAAGTTCTCCAACTATTTAATTATAAAATAAAGATCGGGAAATTAATTACATAATCGCTCTACAATCTTACAATTCCTAATAACGGGTCGGTTAAAATACTATACAACGAATATTTTATACTCTATTTTAAAAATTCTATAAATTTATAACATTTTAGCAAGAAGATAAGTATAACTATTATAACCATCTCTAATCTCAAAGGTCTACCATCTAAAATTCGTTTTTAACGCTTTAACAACTCCTTTCTAAGGATATCCCTATTTAACTATTAATATTAAACAGTTATAGGTAATCGAAGGACGAATCTCGCTAACTAAATACATAAAATCGACCCTTATATAACTAAATCCCTTAATTAAATCGTTCGAACGTATCTTAACTAATTAATAACCGAATTCTATATTCTACTCTCTAATTACTTTAAAGAATTTATTAAAGGTATTATACTAAATCTTAAAAATAGTATAACGATTATTGTAAATACTATTACTATCGGGGTTACCGCCGTTATTGTTATTATTATTAATTTCTATAAACTAGGCAAAAGTAGGCTTAATTAGGGTAGTACTTATTAAAGGTTTTAATTATAAGTCGATAAAATTAATATCAATTACTTAATTAGGGTAATCACCTACGCCACAGTTATATACGCCCATCGGCTAGAGTATCGTTATATTGGTTATCTATATTATAATTAATTAGGGAAATATACTAAAAAGTAATATATTAATCCGTACCGTCGACTAAATACGAACGCTTTATTTACTTTAATAGTATTTAATAATGCGCAGGGTAGTAGATTGATTGAATGCAACGTAGTAATAATATATATAATTTAGTAGAGGAAGTAATATAACGAAGTATATACTAGAATAATCGCTAAGTTAGATTGAATTGGCTAGTATAGTACGAAGGTAGCTAGTACAACCCCCAGATAGGTATAATAGCTTAAAATCTAGGAGCTTAGCGGGCGCGGTACGAGCGAGACTGGTGCGGGTCGGTGGTAGGTATGCAGGGTTAGGGTTATGTGTGAGCAAAAAGGTGGATCCCCGTGCGAATAGAGTTTCTTCCCCGTGCGAATAGAGTTTCTCTTATTTTAATAATATCCGTTACAATACGGCTTAGTTAATAAATAAATAATAGCAATCGATTTGTAGAAGGTAGAATAGAGGGGAGAGGAGGTGAAAGGAAGTAAGAAGAGGGGTGTTGAGATTATTATATATAAAATCGAATTATTTGAGCAAAGTCGTGTAAAATCGAATTATTTGAGTAAAGTCGTGTAAAATTGAATTATTTATGTAAAATCGAGTTATTTGAGTAAAGTTATGTAAAATCGAATTATTTGAGTAAAGTTATGTAAAATCGAATTATTTGAGCAAAGTTGTGTAAAATCGAATTATTTGAGTAAAGTTGTATAAAATCGAATTATTTGAATAAAATCGAGTTATTTATATAAAATCGAGTGTTTGATTTTGCTAGAATTTTATTAGTAAAAAAAAAAAGGGTATTTGCTTCTGTAATTCTAGTAAAATAATCGTAAATTATCTAATTTTCTAATTAGTACTACATCTTTCTAGATCCCTCGTTTCTATCTATTTATATACGTACTTTTTATACCCTCACTTAACTTCATCCACATCATCGCGACTAGTGGATTATTTACAAGATAATTAATATATACTATTATTTCTATTTCTATTATTTTACTAATAAAGTAATTCTATAGATTATTAATTACCGTACTAATATCGGCCGTATTAGGAAATTTAGGAATTTAGAGAGTAACTGCCGCCTTTTCTATCGAGCTCCCTAGTATTATAATATCCGACTTTTTCTTACCTCTACTACCTCTATCTATATTTACGAGCGCGATCGTTTAATTAGCGGGAATTTTATTTAGATTAATATTAAAGCGGTACTATTGTATTTCGGTTATTCTTTAATTCGCGGCGGGTTAATTCGCGTTGGCTGCTTTTGTTGCTTATAATACTGTAATTTGTTTTAATATTATAGAAAGTTTAAATTTATTGCCACTATTATCCTCTTCGTTATTCTCCTCCTCTTTGTTCTTAGATTTATTACCGCCGTTATTATTACTATTATCTTCGTTATCTTACTTTACTTTACCCCCTCCCTCGACCTTATTTAGTAAATTATTATTTAATTTATCTTCGACTTTGTAATTAATTCCGGCTCTAGATTCCTTTCTTTATTGTATTTCATTCGGTTTAGCGATATTAAGCTCGATACCCTTCGATTTAAAAAAAACTCCGTAGTATACCTTAATATTATTAAAAGGTTAGCGGCGAACCTAGTTAATATTATACATTTTAATATTATAGTATTTAATAAAATTATTTTAATATTCGTTAAAAATAATAGGTAATTAAATATTAGGGTTAATATTAATATTAGAGTATTTAGTAAAGAGAATTTACTATACTGCGTACTACTTCTTTTCGGTATTTTATTTACTTTTTATATAAATTAAATCTTAGTAATACCCCGGCTACGTTTCTTTATATATACTAATAAAGTAATCCTACGTAGTATTATAATCCCTCTAGTATAAATTATTAAATTAGTTTTACCCTCTACAATATAATAATTATATTATAAAAGTAGCGGTCGTTTTGAGTATAAACCTTATTGCTTTAGTACTATCGAGTATAGGACCCGCTTTCTTCTTTACTAGGGCTTTAAATTTTTTAGGTACTAGTTAGGCTATTATTTTTCGCTTCCTCTTAATTACTACCGGTTGGATAGAGGGGGGAATATCCTACGTAGTAGTAATTTAGTTAGTAGGGGGATTGGGCGTTAATTCTTAGATTAGTATAATAATAAAGGAGGGAAAGGGAGGCGGCTGGTTATTATTTCGGCTAGCGGGTATTGGGTTACTAAAGATATTCTGGATGGGCGTTAGTAGTATATTTTTAATTACTAGACCTAGCGTTGGGGGTTGGGTATAGAATTAGAATAAATTAATACTTTCTATAGCGTTAGGAGGTTTTGGGAGGTCGTTTTGGGAAGTTATTTAGTTGTTTGGTCGATTATTAGTATTATTTATTTTCTATACAATATTATAAAATATAATAAGGTCGACCCCTTTTTCTAAAAGCGGTATAAAGTTCTGGGTATGGGCTACGCTCAATACGGTTAATAACGATAAATCCGGTTAATTAAGTATTAATACGGTTATCCTAGTACGGTTCTAGTATGGTTACTACGTTAAAATCAGTATAATTACTAGTGTACTGGGCGTTAGCGTATTGAAATGTACTGAAATATTTCTGCACGAGGTGGGTGTGCAGGATGCCGATCAGGGCCTTACCAGCCGTTAGACGATGTGGTAACCTTGACCGCGTTTCTTGAGGTAGGTAACAAACAGTTCTCGTGAATCCTCCCTACCTTAGTCTCTCCGGTGGTTATGTTAATGTTTACACTACCTAGATAGGCACTCTAATCGTACCCACTTTTAGAAACACAACACTAAAGGACAGACGCTCAGAAACTACTAGGTATAGTATACACAAACTAGACGTCGAGTAGAGATACACGCCACCTCGTGATACCAGATAGGTAGGTCGGTACACAGCCTTACGCGGGCAGTTACGTTACTGCCGCTGTTCATCTTGTACTCTTGGATACCTTTAAGTACCTAGCCTGTCTTCAAATCAGTGCATTTATTTACATGATGGCAGTGAGGGACCTAGTGGTGGGTACCTGGAGATAGAGGTAAGTATGGAGAGATTGGAAGGCGTGAGTGACATATGGATGGCTTGATGGATGGATGGATGGTTGGTTGCAAATACTTGCTATAATGTAATGTTTCTCTATTTTTCTTTGCCTGGATGGATTTCGAGAACGGCTGGGAGGAGTATCTTGAATGAATCATCCCTCCCCGAGATGGGTTACGAGGCTGCTTCAAGATAGACTTACCTTATGAGGCTCTAGTGGCAGCACTCGTAATCACTCCTTGAACCTACCTCTACCTACCTACTTAGGTTGGGATGCTGGAGGTAAGTACCTACCTAGAGACCTATGTAAGGTAAGTATATTAGGGACCTAGGGAGATGTCTGGTGTCCGCTGACATCGATCCTCAGGTACCTACAGGGAACAGGGGCGACTAAGGGCATGGAAGCAAGGGTTATTCTTATGGGAACCTACCTAGGTAGAATGCGTCAATGTATCTAGGTAAACGACGACCTGCGCTTGTGAGCTCGATCGAGGAGGCTTTTCACATCATGTTTCTTGGGCGGGCCTAAAAGGAAGAAGGTGGGACAGCAGAGTACCTAGCGTAACGTACTTAAGATGAAAAGAGGGGGATGAATGGCCAAACTTGACTAATGTCGAATATTGGCTGAATATTTCCGAGTGGCTTGCTTGGCTTGCTGACGACACTCTTCCCTTCCTTTATATTACCTACTACCTCTAGTGAGTACCAAGAGGTTAATTGGGGAGCGACCTCTGAGGATGGACGAATGGCGCATCTAGGTAGGTACGTTCATTTGTCTAACCCTATCAATCGGTGAGATCCATTTGTTAGGAGGTATAGGTAGACTAGAGGTACCTGACAGGCGGTCTGGGAGACCGACAAAGACGTCACCTAGCTTTCGAGCAACGAGCAAGGAGCATGGAGATTAAAAGGGAAAAATTGAGCCTTTCTTACCCCAGACGTTAGAAATTACCACCCACCCATCCAAGCTTGTGCTGCAAAAAGACCTAGCACAAGGTGGGTGTTCCATGAGCCCGAATGGTCCAACTTTCCACTCCTGACCCGTTGAGTGACATTACCTGGTAAGGATATGTAATGAAGCAAGATCGATGAATGGAAATTGAGGAAAGAGATTAACGAGAGAGCGGATGGAAGAACCCGAGAGGTCGAGTGTTGAGTCTTTATCCTGGTCCTGACGACGCCGTTGAGCATCTACCATGGTCTGTGTCATCTGATGTTTCAACTTCATGTTATCTCCTACATGCCTGTAGGCAGCTTCCGATCTCTATTTTCCCCGCTTCCCAGCTTCCAGGCCTCCTGTACCATGCAGAGGCTACCTTTAGGTAAGGTAAGGTAAGTACCAGCTAAATGGATACCGCATTGCATGATCGCAGAACCAGACGCTCACGGTGCCAAACAAGCAGAAGAATTGGTTTCGTTTTCGTTTTCGTTGAAACAAGTTACCAACCTTGAGCGTCAAGGGACATCAGCCCACTGTTGCAGTCCAGTCTGTCTGAGTGCGTGAATTCAATGCTGGAATGCATCATGAGGGGCTCGAGATTTGCAGCCGAGAAAAAGGATAGTGCGGGGAACCTGACCTTCTCACCCACGTGCTTCCAACTTCCATTCCATATGAAAAGCGCAGCTGACTGGCGATTGCAGGTGCGTTCGTGCTTGACGGAAGCAACAGCAGGTGGATAATCAAGGTTCCGACTTGGAAGGAGCGAGAGTGTGAATGGAGATGGGGCTGGAACATGCCAGATCTGAAGAGCTCATCTGTCCATCAATCTTACCCTGACGAACCTGCTTGCGCCGCACTGCACCGCCTGATGTTGGATGAACACCTGAGGAAAGAGGGTTGGTACTTGCGGCGCACTTTGTTGTATGCCAATGTGTAACATCAGTTCTGGTAGGTACAATGATCTAATCTACATGACACCGTTCTGGTAGTAAGCAGTACAAAGCAGACGAGGAACAGACAAGAAGCAGACGAGAAGTGAAACCTTGCAAAAGATACTTTCGTTATCTTCAAGTCCAGATACACTGCCGTTTGGCTTCCGGTTACGCACGCACCGCTGGGCAGTGCCTTATCCGGACAGCTTTTCGGAATTTCGGACAGTCGGCCGGAGCTTCCCCAATTGCCGGTCCACGACTTCCCCTTCACTCTACTGATGCCGACTTCCATTTATACATAGGTATGCTTCAGTTGTGAACATCACCACCATCGGGTCAGAATTCGTTGCCCAGTTCTTTTATTAGAAGTAGTTGGCGGTTCAGCTTACAATCAGCTGTAGATCCCGCGACAAGGTCTTATATCTGATTCTGATCTGGGCTGAACCCATCAAATAGAAAGCAAAGACATGGCGCGGACTCGCCCGAGACACTACCTACCTACCTAGTACACTATGCAATATATCAATGTTTCAAAGATCCCAATGTTCAGATTTACACAGTGATAAAGTGTTCCAGTACGGCAGGAAGGAAGGAAGGAAGGAAGGAAGGAAGGAAGGAAGGCTTGATGTTTCTGTCTGTCCAGCAACTCGCTAGCCACACCTGCACCAGTCAAGTGTCATTGCCACCACCACCCTGCACAAACTTCTACTGAGCCGCAATCTCAACTGCCACCGGAGTTCGTAGAGCTTGACATCAATCCCGAGACCGGTTTGCTGCCGGCGTTCAAATGGTACTTGACCCCTACCCGACACGCAATGTTTCTTTATCTACCTCTCAAAACGGATGGCATACGGGTTGCCCCTTGATGTATCCGCTCTCGGTTTTTTTTTTTTTTTTTTTTTTTTTTTTTTTTTTTTTTTTTTTTTTTTTTTTTTTGTGCTTAGAGGTATCTATGTCATTGTCACTGTCAGCTTAGGTAGGTTTTTGGTTTAGGAGGTTTAAATAGGTACCTTCCATAGCAAAGGCTCACAAGTGTTGACAGGAGGGCCATCAGCTGGCCGGTTAACTGATGATGTCCAGGTGTTCTTTCCTGCGAGGTGGTTACTAGAGTCATATCACCTGGCCGGGCCCGACGTCCATCTGAGTGCGGGAATACTGCCCGACTGTGTGCATTCCCATGCCCGCAGAACCAAACGGTGAAGGATGGAAACCGTGTTGCTAATCCGAACTCGAAGTGCTGTGAAAACGATTTCTATGATGCTTCTCCCTCTGTCACCTGTCTTTTTGACGGAGAAGGAGGGAGAAGACTTCCGAAATCACTATCTTGCATGTCTCCAAAATATCTGGCGGCCATGAATTGGGAAACATGCTTACCTTACCCAGCGTACACACCATGCCGGATCTCCAGGGAATTTGACTACTACCTACGAGTACCCTTGGTTTGTACCTAGAAATTGCGGCGGAATTTCCGAGATGCTGGTAACATCATGCTATTCCTCGTCATATATCTGCTTATCTTTCGACTGACTCCAAGTTCACCTGGGCAACTGAGGTGATCGAGGCTTGGTCAAAACAGTTCGTCCAGCATCTGCCGCAGCCGTGTCATGCCACAAGATACCGTGTCTGGCAAGTCCGGCGCTATCATATGCCTTTGTGGCGAAGAGTCAAACGAAGTTGCGTCCGCTTGACTACCTATCATGCCCTCAATCAAGCACAGAAAACCTGTAGGCTGCAGGGGACAGATGTGAAAATTTCAAGTTAGCAATTTTCTGTAGAAAGCAAAGAAAACAAAGGCTTGAAGCCATCACGGTATAAATAAACCCATTCCCTCGTCGTTATCAGAAAAGACTCAAAACCTTGCTGTGCCGTGAACTTACTTCACTATCAGTCCTTGTCCGTCTCCAGCCTTTATCCTGGTCCAACCAGTCTTTCTGTAAGCTTGTCAGTCGGTCTCACTGAAATTCCTTCTGTCGCAAACACCGTCGCCAACCCGTCGCAAAAGGATACACAACAGATTCCCAGAACATCACACAGCATATTCTTCTTGTTCCGAAAACAACCCAACCCCATGTATGTGTGTCTTACACTCTCACGCGTCCCCTTGTCCTCTTGTGCCCTTTGTCCCCCCATGTCGTTTTCCGTCTTACACAGAGCACTTTCCCAACACCACTGCCTTTGGTCCCTATTCGTGTTTCACCAAAGTTGCCCGTTCATACAGTCCACTCATTACCTTACTCCCTTCACCATTCACCATCCATCTCCATTGCCAGTCACCCAGTCGTTATCCACAGCCCTGACGGAGAGAGCCGTGAAATTGAACCCATACTGACAGGAACCAAGTTTAGTTCTCCCACTCCCGTCGAAATCCCAGTTCGTTCCAAGCCCACGGCAGGCAGGGTATAGTTTTGGCGTCCTGTTGTGACACCACACATCCCAGTAGCAGCGATAGTACCGTATACCAGGAAGGAAAAGGTACCTCGAGAGGTATATATCTTGCCCATCATGGCCGACAACCAGCAGCAGCAGAAGCCGATTTATGTCGCCACTTATGGCCGCGATCCCAAGATGGCTGCGGCTGTCAGTGAGAAAATGTTACCTGATGTTGAAGGTTTGTAGTCCCGTCTCATTTCTGATCGCCGATTGAGGGATTCACCGACTCAAGCTGGCGTTGGTGTTGATGTCCGCCAATTTTTCTCTTTTGACATCATACCCCCCCTTCCCGATCTCCCAACCCGAGTTCATCTTTCCCCGCTTTTCACTCTTCTCTTCTCTCCCCACCTAGTCACTGGTCATTCCCATATCTTTTATTTTCTTCTTCAGCTTCTCATCCTTCCCTCCGCCAACAACAGACTCTAACACCCCCCAAGTAGTCCACACGTCTCTCTCCCTCTCCACTGCCCTCCACGAGCTTCCCGCTCTCTTCTCAGGCGACACCTCCATCGTGCCCTCCTCCGGTCTAGGTTCCAACACCAACCGCTCGCCCTCGGAGCGACACATTCCCACCGCTTTGCTCGTCGGCGGCAGCAGCTTGTCCGACGAAGAATACGAGAACATTGTCTCAGCCGTACGGGAAGCGATCCCTGGAGCCGAAGGAAGCGGCACAACCGTGCAGTTCATCCGGATCGGAAAGCGAGATGTCATTGCGGCTGGGGCGTTTACGGGGCCGAATCCGGAGACCATTGCTAAAGTTTATCGGAAGAGGCTTGCTGGGGCGAGGACTTAGGGGTTTCTTTGGGGCGGGGGCCGGCGATGGCGTGGATGGATGCGCCGCGGAGGACCAGGAGGAGGGGGAGGGTCGTGGTGGTATCGGTGGACGGTTTGGGGACGGTGATTCTGCCGCAGGGAATGATATCGGAAGGGATACAAAGGGAGGAGGAAAGGGAAACAGAAATGGGAAGAGGTTCTGGCAGAGGGACCGCTCTGCCGACAGTGGCATTGGATTACCGGACGACGACGACAGCTCGGAGACCCCCCAAGTAACAAACGATGACTTCCTCGGCACCGCCATCGCTACGGGCACTTCCACCTCTTTCGCCTTCGCCGGCTCCACTGGCTGGCGATACATCAGCCTCTCCGACGACGACAACAATCAGCGCCCCCATGCAAACCAAGACGAAACCGTTGGGCTGCTCCAAGGAATGCGATTCAGAGGCAAGAAAAAGAAAGGAAAGAAGGTTGTCATGTTCGCCAGTGGCATTCCAGAGGAGGAAGAGGAACATGAAGATGATGATGCCGATGGGAAAAAGAAGGGTGTCAAAGGAAAAGGTGGCAAATGTGAAGGATGGTTTGAAACGCTCATGGTCCATGGATTCGGATCAATCGCTCATTTCTATGTCCCCTGCGTTGATTTCACAACTTTCGATGAGAATGGAATGGTGAGTAGAGAGGTAGTTGCGATGCCGAGGCAGAGACAGGCGCATATTGTGGTTTTTGATGATGGGCTGGGGGGTATAGCGCTTCGTGATCTATGAGGCAGTCAGTATCAAAGTGAATGAGGACTTGTTGCGTTGTCGTCAATTGTCCAAACACAAGCCGATAGCAATAAAATCGTATTTGAACCTTCCTCTACGCCTGAAATATGTTCCACAAGTAAATTAAAGCTGTCTTTGATGCCGCGTCCTCCTCCTGACATGCCTCAATATCGTTTTTGACCCAACTCTTCCTCGGTCACCGTTTACTTGAAGTATCAGGTATGGCTTCCCCGCGACATCGTAAAAGCGCCGCTCTTGTATATACTAGGCGCTTGGATGATCTAGCAACATTGGAAGTACGTCCATGTCTACCTAGTGAAGGCAATGGAGAAGAAGGGATTGTAGGTGTTGCCGTACAAGAGTCAGGCAAGCTCAAAGGAGTTATCGGCGTGTCAGCAGTGCTTGCGGTGGTGAGAGTATCCGGGGTGGTCGGAGTGCCCAACGTGGTAGGAGTGCTCGCGGTAGTGAGAGTATCCGGAGTGGTCGGAGTGCTCAACGTGGTCGGAGTGCTCGCGGTAGTGAGAGGACTCGAGCCGTTGGTTTCCACATCGGAGTCCATCCGGGGGCGCAACGCAGACGAGCCTCTTTCCCACCCATTGCCCGAAATTTTGTTCCTCTCAGCCGGCTCAGACATGACTTGATTCTCAATGAAGTCCGAAGTGGAATCCATCTCAGGTGGCGATGCAGTTGGATTAGCTCGCCAATTGGGGCTTCTCATCACCTTCAATTTCCTGGCAAGCTCATCAGCAACCCTCACCATCTTGCCATATGATTGTCTTGTGAGCCTAGGGCTCGTCGAAATGCTTTTCGCGTCATGCCAGTACCTCAGCGACTGGTAAGGGACAGTATACATTTTCTCAATTCGCACACCTGATGGTGTTAGAAGTGTCTCCCTGCCACCTGCTAGATCCAGAGAGAGATCTGTATCCTGACGGCGAAGCTCTGGATCAAGCGGGATGGGCAAGCAATCCTTGTGCTTGGGCACGCCGGGTCTTCCCGGTCTATAAGGGCCCTTTTTGCCGTGACTGGTGATCTGAGCGACAGCATACTGTCAGCATGGGCTGCCCAACTGGAGTCCCATGTTCCAAGGACTAAATCACACGGGAGTACGAGTGACTTGAGACCAAGAAGAAACGGAAGAGACTAACCGGAAATATACAGACGCTTTCCGTGTCCATGGATTGAATAACAACCGGATGACCGAACACTTTATCGCCTATATCCTTAATCTGGTCATGCAGATTGCGTTGAATTCCATGTCTTGGTGGCAAGTACATAATGACGCCTCTAACGTCGCCAGCCTTGTCCCAGTTGTGATCCATTGGCGCGATCTCGATTGGTGCTTGAGGGGGTACTGTGTTAATGCTGCTTCCCAGACGGGGGGTTCGCAGCTCAGTTTCAGAGCTATGGAGTCCCGGATTGTTCATAGTTTGGGATTTCAGAAACCCCACGACGACTTGGACATTGCCAGGCTTGCCAGCACCCTTGGCTGGTGCTCGGAAATTTGTTTCGTCCATGTTATCTTAGACCACAAGGATCTACGGAACCACGTGAGCGGGATGAAGCTACACCACAGGTATAGGCACCCTCCCTGATTGAGAAGCCCGGTGCGGTAGGCTCTAGAGACTCAATTAGCATAAGTGAACCACAGCCTTAGGTAGTGCGACCAAACTTGCCGGTAATGTGAGTGTCTTGTAATAAGTCCTAAGAGACAGAATCCTCCTGTTGGACTTGAAAGAGGTGAGTTACCTCTATAACAGTGGGATCGCTGCCGCCTTGAGCCGGCGCAATATGATCACACCAACGGCAAGGAGGTACGATGTGATACCGTCCGTGCTAGGAGAGGTAGAGCGCACTCAATGGAGGAAGACTCGAGCGGAAGGGAAGGTCGAGGTCCTCGACTGGTTCGTGATGCTCGCGAGCCAGGTTACATTAAGGTAACAAGGCAGGGCGAACCAGAGGGCTGGGAGGTGATCAAGCCTCAGTTGTCACGGCTTAGGTTGTTCTGACCTTTATGCAAGACTGCCCGAGTTTTATCAGTGTTTGTCGCAAATACAGAATTCCAGATACCTAGGTATACAGGGTCGAGGCTGTTGCCATCTGCGTCTGACAGTTGTCAAGAGCCCTCATGCAGCGCTGGACCGTACGCCAGTCACAATGCCTTTTGACTTGGTCTAGCGAACATGACTTCCAGTCTGCTTGGAAGTTAGCATGCCACAGGAGCTATTCGGACGATAGGACGGAACTGGGCGGAAATGTAGCGTACCTATATGGAGCACATGGGCAAAGTGCATCGTTCCGGGAACATCCCGGGATCGTCAACGTTGCTGTTGACCCTTCAGCACATACGATAACCTGATGTATCGGGACCACGGGAGCTGCTTCATTCAGCAAGCATACCCGCCCTTTCTGCGACAGCAGAACGTTGTTCTGCATTCGAAGTCATGGGTATTGGAAGCGCACAATGGAGTGACTGCCCTCAATGGGCTCCCAATGACGCCATATCATTGTGAACTTGGTTGTGTTGTATCGATGATGTAGCCAATGTCTGGTAGGACTGTTTGTAATAATGTTCGCTGGCGCCGCCATGCAACACCCAGACTTGTCGATATGGAAGGGCGCGCATGGCCGGACTCTTGTCGTTTGAGGCACATCTGCAATGCAGGAGTCGGATTCCTTCAAGATCCCGAGGCCAAAACGGTACAAGGAGCAAGAGTGTGTCGGTTGTGGTTGAAGTGTGTGGCGCGAGGTGATCAAGTGTCTCTAGAGATACATATTCGTGCGGAAAAAGATGATTGAACGCAAAAGAGAAAGATGGAGAGAACAGCACATTATGCGGTAAATTCCACTTAGCCCTCTCGTCGCCCACCAATTCACAGTCAGAGTCGGTGCCCCTGTGCCCATGTCGTGCTGTGTAAGAGCGGAAGGAACTAAGGATTGAGTGCACCCAACTGGAGGTCTGGTGGATGCAGAGGTAGAGGTAGGCAGGCAGTTACGATGGATTACTTCGTGCAGGGTGCTTACATCGCAGCTGAGGTATTTGTACATGCCTGCCAAAATACCGTAGAAACTCGCGAAACTGGCAACCGCCAATCTCCTCTTTCAGAGCCAGGCAGGCGAGGACATTGCCCACCACGGTAACTTGCGTGCGTTTTCATGTACAGAATCGGGTTTGTCCTGAATAAGTACCTACCTATATGTCCTGCACCGGCGCTCAAAGAGGAGATTGACGATTGCCAATTTCCCGAGTTTGTACGGTAGGTACCTCTAGCCGCCTCCAACTCGACCTCGCAGTTGCCATGTACGTACCTAACAGTGCATCTAGGTAGGTACCTCTAGAGATCCGACGGATTAAACTCCCTTCTCCTGAATGACGTGCCATCTTCCGCGATCACGTTACGGGCCTTGAGGTTTCCTCAGTTCGCCCCTTATTTTTCCATCAAGTCGACTGATCGTCTTTGCCTCGCGGTAACCTTCGCGTTGTGCTCCATTCAGATCAGCCCTTTGAACAGTCTCACGCCTTCTCTCTGGCACCTCTCAAATCCCCCTCCTTGCGCCATTTCATCTTGCCCTCATGGTCTCCGTCTTCCTCTTCACGCTCTCCTCCTTTCACCTCAAGGCTGCTCTCCTCCTCATGGCCGTTGTCCGCACTCCATGATCCCCCAAAATCCTGTCCCTCGTACCAGCATCAACTGACCCATGTAATCATCATCATGCCCCATCACACCTTCCCTTGCTTCCACAACCTCTCCAAAATCTCACAGCCCTCCTTCACCCCCCTCGTCACCTGCTCTGCTCTCCTCTCCTCCGTAAACAAATTGAAATGATGTCCTTCCACTTCAATAACCTTCCTCACCATTCCCTCATGATAACTCCCCCACCCCAACTGTCCATCACCCCTATGCACATCCGTCCTCGACACCTCTTCTTCATCCTCCTGCGGCTCTTGCAGCGGGACATTTTCCTTGGCTTTCAACAGCACCACAGGCGGCGGTCCCATTGGACTAGTCCTGATAGTACCATCCCCATCAGCATCTGCGACTGGTGGCCAAGTCGGCAGTTCCCAGAAGGCCAACATGCGTCTCGCCTCATGGAAGCACCTGAGCACCGCCTCCTTGGTTTCCGGCTTGGTATGCGGGCCCCACTGCATCTTGGTAGCATTCGGGTTGGCAATCTTGACGTTGTGCGGGAAGGAGGCCTGGTCGGGGTTCATGCTGTCGATCATGATGATTCCCAGGACATTCAACTTTTTTGCTTTCTTTCCTGTTTTGACCGCTTGAGCAACCTCTGCAGCGTTGAAATCCAAAACTTGCCTGGATACTTCCAAGGAAACCATGCCGCCAAGTGACCACCCGCCTAGAATCAAGTCCCGCTCTCTACTAAGCTCTTTTCCTGCATCCCTTTTTGGAGGAGAACTGACTTTTCCGTCACATTGATCGTCTCCAAATAAAGTCTCGATGATAAAATTGAGATAAGTCTTGGCCATCTCGGGGATGCCGCCCTCGAATGTGGATTTGGTAGAGTAGCATGGGTTGAAGATGCCGTAGACGGGGCGGTGCAGGTCGGAGAGGCAGTAGTAGGAGAAGATGGTGCCGCCGCCGTCGTGGATGAGGAAGAGAGGAGGGCGGGAGGTTGAGAGCGGGGTGAGGGGGGGTTGGATTAGGTTTGGGTTTTGGCGGAACATGGTTGGTACTCCTTTGGTGGATTATGAGGGGTCTGGATTATGTAGGTACGTAGTTTGTTGGTTGCTTTAATGGACTTGTTGGCTGTTGATCGATGATCGCTTTGGTGTTGTTTTTCGTTGATGCTGCAAGGAGGGAGAGGACGGACGATTTAGTCGGTGAGAATTTATGCTTCCAGTTTACGACTATCCAGTCTGATTTTTGGACCAGACCTTGACAGGTTGGATTCTGCGATTCTACTCTTCACCGGAAACAGCTGGATAATTCGTCAGTGGGTGACTCGCAAGATGGTGACTGACTAATTCCGTCCGTCATACGTGACTGTTTGCGCGTGAGTCAACTGGTCGTAAGGTGAAGAGGCATACCGGTTGGTGAATGCGTAAAGCGGCACTCAGCTTCAAGGTGGAAGTTGTTTGATGGCAGTCTCCGTCCTTTTGTTATCTGGTCCCGCCCCCTTGAATGATGTGAAATCTGCTGCTGCCTGGGCTGCTAATAACCACGACAAACTGCTCGAGTCAGGAAGACAGCCGGAAGAAGACCGGACGAAGGTGAAACAATCCTTTTGGTCTAGACAGTCCAGTTGGTGATGAAGTTTGGGGTCAGGTCCGAATCACAAGAAAAGCTGACGTGGCTGAAGCGCTAGGAACTGAAGTCAAAGAGACAAAAAAAAAAAAAAAAAAAAAAAAAAAAAAAAAACAGTGTTTCAAGAGAGGATGTAAAACAAGATATTATCATTGGTAGGTTAGGTAGAGAAAGCATGAGTGAGGCGACAGTGAATGCGAAGAGAAGAAGGAGATGAAAGTGATGGGAGTGAACGGGAGCCATTCATCCACGACCCCCTTCCGTTGTCGGCACCATCACGTAGTGTAGATCAATCACACCAGACCCCTGCATGTGTTTGTAAAAGTTCCGAACGATCCATCGTTAACGGTTCGGCCGATCCTCCGCTGACGATGACGGGTGGGTCCCACCCACCCATCGACGTTTGATAAACAGAACAACTGAAGCCGACGGCCCGGACCTGACCACCCGGGAATGAATGAAGGATGAAGGATAAAGGATGTCTACCCCGCTTTTGTTTTGACGGATTGTCCGTCCCATCATTTGGCAAACAATCAAAGCTTGTGGTTTGTAGATTCGCAGAGAAATAAAAATTCCACGAAAGTTTAGCATGTCGGCCGTGGTGGTGGTTTGAGTGGTCTAGCGTACCGACTAGAGGTAGTCAGTCGTATCTATGTCAAACCATCAGATGGAAGTCCAATGCAGGAAACAACCGATCGAGCTGAATGGCGGAAATATTGATTGGTACCTCTAGGGTAAGTATCGATGCGAGAGTGGCAGGTACCGCTTCACCAAGTAAGCGGGACGGGAGGGACGGAAGGGAGGGAGGGAGGGTGATGACATCGATCCCGTTGGTCGCCTTGATGCCAACGTTGTCAGCTCGTAGGTGTTTGTCACCAGTTGCCGCGTGGTGGCCCTTGTGGTGATAACCGACGGGATGGCTGTGCGGTCCTTTTCTCTTCTGTCATCACTCACTACTGCGGCTTTCTTCGTGCGACAGAAGCCTTCTTATCTGCCAAAGACGAAGGAAGAGAAAAATGATCATGAAAAAAACGAAGAAAAAAAGAAAAAAAAAAAAAAAAAAGACCTGTGGGCGTCCAATGCATTTTTCAACTTCAAGATGGTGAAGGGATAAGGAACGTCGAAAAGAAAAATGTTAGGGATATCACATACATATATAGTGCCAAAAACTATCACCGGCGCCTCCCGCCCATTCAACCCTCCATACATCCGTCATTTCGTGAAAAAGAAAACAAATGTTGAGAGGGGATCTTGAACCCATGTACCTTGCCTGCCCGCCTGCCTTCCAACGACAAGCCACTCAGTCTAAGCTCCTTTGAACGCCAGAAGTACAAATGAAACCAGCCTCCTTGTCTCCCGTTCTGTGATAATAGCAACAAACCTCCTTTTTCAACTTATCCGGCTATGCAAAACACCATCTCTTTCTTTTGTTTTTCCCACACACACCATTCCAACTCCCCATGACCATCTCATCTCCCTCATATATGGGCCTAAAACTCCCCGGCATCACCGCCACCCCCAATAACCCCCGCCGTCCACAACCCAACCAACCCCCACCAACTAACCTTCCATCCCCTCCACAGACCATCACACCCTTGTCCCCGCCTATAGACCACCTGGGGCACCGTCGCATCGCCCTTCTTCTTGGCCGCAGCCGCCTTCCTCTTGGCCGCCGCCGTCATGGGCGCCGCATGCGACCCCTCCTCATTGACGATGCTATACATTGTGCCAAACAACCCATTGTACCTGCCCAGCGGGACGATTGTCTCCATTTGCGGTACGCTGCCATCCTCACCCCTCTCGCCCGCCGCCGCCGCCCTTCTGCTCTTCGTGACAGTCGGCACCTTGGGCTCCAGCGCAGCCACGTACTGCGGCGAGCTGAGGACGGCCGCCTGGCCGCGACGGAGGACGGTCTCGAGGGGTAGCTTGATAAACAAAGCGACGGTGGAGGAGCAGAATTTGGCGATGGAAAAGGCCACGGGGGAGACTTCGCGGTCGATCATGAAGCGCGAGCGGAGGACGAGGGGTGTGGAGAGCATGAGGACGGGATGAATGAGGGAGTGCAGGACGGTGGGGATGACGAGGGTGGCGGGGCAGAGGTAGGAGGGGAGGGCGCGGAGGGTGGAGAGGGTGCGGCGGGAGCCGCGAGAGACGGAAGTTAGGACGAGGCTGGTCAATGTTAGTTTGTTGTTCTGGAGGGAGAAAGGTTTGGGGAGTGTATCTTACCGTGTCCGGACCAAGTCCAGAGGAGAGAGGATGAGGCCGGTGATGGCGGCAGCAGCACCAGCAACGAAAAGTGACGCCCATGGGTATGGTGACGCAATGTCGACTAGCCGGTCTAGGTCGCCTCGTACGCCCAGGTCCGGAACGTTGAAGAGAGCACTAAGCAGACTTCGCGACCAGTTCTCTAGTAGGGACTGCAGAACCGAGTAGATAAAAGTCGCATTAGTTCCCTTCCACACACCCCACGCTCCTTCTTTCTGCCATAGCTGCGCAATCACCTCGAGCACCGAATTGGGCGTGCGCAGTGTGAGTTGGTGTTCTGGGACTTGTTTGCTGGGGGTGCGCGTGGTCGATGCGCCGGGGCTCGGGGATCTGGGTCTGCCTGAGCGACTCTGGGATGGCGAGGCTGGTCGGTGGGGGACCTTGGCCGTGAAGAAAGAGGCCATTTCATCTTGATCGGAATCGGAGTCGTAAGGGGAGGGGGTATCCTGACAGTTTGGATCAGTCAACACCATGTTTCTTCCGTGCTCGCGTGACCTTCTCGACTCTTGTGTGGAAGGACATACCTCATCATACATGCGAATCTTTTGGTTCGTCGCCGTCTTTTGCTTCGCCTGCTCTACCGCGAGGGCCTCCAGTCCTCCCAGGTCGTCCTGGGCGCGGACCTGCATGATGGTCTTGGCCACCTCAAAGGGCTGAGCCATGAAGACGGACATGTACTTCCACAGCAGCTCGTCGAGGACTTCCTTGACCGTCGACATGACCGAGGGCGATTGGTCGTTGAGGTAGTCCTTGTAGTCGATGTCGATGTCGGAGAAGATGGTTCGCGCCTTGGAGGCATAGTTGTCGGTCGCGTTTCCCTGGGCGAAGGCATGGGGACCGGGTGCCGTCATGGGCTCGACTGCGGGTTCGCCAATGGTGGGCGGGATGTAGTATGGTCTGAGGGGGTTGATGACCCCTTCAGCGTGGTGGTGGTGCGCCATGTTGTTATCAATTGGCTCTTGATATCTGAGACGCTACCTATTCACAGATTTCAAACGTGTGGAAAGAAAGTCGCATGACGAGATGGAGATGGAGTCGAGCAGTCGAAGCGAAGATCCTCGGGCGTCGAAGGATCGAAGGATGGACCTGCAAAAGCACGCTACGGCTCGGAGCGCCAACTGGGCCCAACTGAAAGAGCAGCCAACCAATGTGCCTGCAGCGCCTTCAAGGGAACATCGGGCGCTTCCACTTCCACTTGTTAGCGCATGGAATGATCATGATAGTGGGGCCCGATAAGAGGTCTTGGCGAGGCATGTGCATGGGTAAATTTTCTTATCGGCCGGTTACTGATCGCTGCGGTGCGGGGGAGTTACACGCTGCTACAGGTGAAAGCTGATGCCGGAGCTGCCAGAAGCTGTCTTGCGGCTGGCAATTGGGAATAATCTGGTCACTTTTTCAGATGACATCGATGGACTTTGGACCGAAATCCCCGAGACTGACGTGAGCTACATAAGCAACCACATGTCGAGTCAAATTTCGATCGTGAAGAAATCTTTGATCGATCACAATGGATGCATGTTGTTTGCTTTTTTGCGCATTGTCATGAGACAGGAACCTAACATCTACATGGATGATGGAGCACATTTCTTCTTTCTAATGTCGTCTTGTGATTGTAAAGTCCTCGAAAGTTGGGTTGCGAATCACGTTTCTTTGTCGGACATTGAAGGCGCTTGATGTTTGTCATGGATTGCAGCTGAATACTCGGAGCCGAGCACATTGGGAAAGTGAAGGGATTCCAACCATGAACAACCATTGGTTTGTAACATTTTGAAGTTGTCTACTTTTTTTTTTTCTTACCTACGCCGAAATGTCAGCTTCGATCGGCGTGTATACTTATCGTTAATTGATAATTCTCCATTTTTTATTCGTTTGAATCCCCATCCCAGTCATCTCTTGCGACTCGTGGTGCCGATTGCCAGGTCCAGGTCCGAAAAGTGTCTCCTCCACTTCCAACGACTCCGTTCCCGCGCGCGCCGCATTGGATCTGGGATCCCATCTCCATAATCTCGCGGCAACTCCCAATCACCCTCAACTTTGTCCACTTCATTGTTCTCTTTGACAACGCTTTGGACACCCTTTGCGATCCGGTGTTGCGCCCACATAATTAATACACAATGTCGACCCCGCGAGTTCTTAGGCAGAGCCTCCAAAGGCTCGCACAACATGCCCGGTGCTACAGCAAGACCACCACCACCACCACCGCACCTCTCCGAACACAACAACCGCAGCGTCTGCCTACCGCGTGGTCGACGACGACACAGCTTTCTGCTTCCGCTTCCGCGCGCCGTTCGCTTTCCACCTCTTCCGCTCTCCAGCACGGCCACGTCGACCCTCCCAAGCCCGGCGAAGAGTAAGTTGAGCGCATTCCCCTCGTTGTCCCATACCCACCCCTCCGATCCCTCTCTTCCCCAATAACCAACTAACCACACTACCACCACACAGACTCTACGTAACCTTCATCGACAAAGACAACCAAACCCACCGCCTCGCCGTCTCCGAAGGCGACAACCTGCTCGACATTGCCCAAGCGCACGACCTCGAAATGGAAGGCGCCTGCGGTGGTTCCTGCGCGTGCTCGACCTGCCACGTCATTGTGCAGGACCAGGACATGTACGACCGGATGCCGGAGCCCGACGACGACGAGAACGACATGTTGGATCTGGCGTTTGGACTCACCGAGACGAGCCGGCTGGGGTGCCAGGTGCACATGACCAAGGAGTTGGATGGGTTGGTGGTCAAGTTGCCGAGCATGACGAGGAATTTGCAGGCTAGTGATTTCAAGTCCTAGACCGAACGTCATGAAACGTGATGGGATTGGGGGAGGTAATATTAGGCGAGGAAGGGATGATGAGCCTGGAGAAAGAAGATGGTAGAGGTGAAGGGGAAGGGGATTTACTTTGGTGTAAAAGCAAAGGGAGACGGACGATGGAATATATATGGTACAAAAACGAGATCTGTTCCATTTCTGTCGGGTTGTTGAGGCGACGGCGTTCAGCGCAGAGTTTATCGGATGTCTGTGATGGGCAATTTTCATGTCGATGGAGATAGCGGATTGGCAAGAGCATGTTGACTTTTCAGATTTCGGCATGGAGCTTGTACGTTGTTCAACTATTTGCCCAAATCAAGGGCATGGATTGTACATAAGAAAATAGCCTAGACCTTGACAATATGCAAACAAACGATATCACCCCTCCACACCATAATAATTCCCTTAAGCCTCCTCCAAGCCACCCTTCTTCAATCCCCCACCACCGCTCGCAATCAAGTCCAAGAACCCCTTCCTCGACATCTCCGTAACCTTCTCCTCCCTCCTCTTCACGCCCACGATTCCCTCCTGCCTCGCCGCCCGTTCCGCCTCCTGCGCCTTGACCTGCGCCGCCCTAACCGCATTGAACAGCTTCACCACACCCCTCTGCGCCGTCTTCTTCAACCTCCTCTCCGTCTCCAGAATCTGGCCCGTCGTCTGCTCGCCCTCTTTACCATCCGGAATCTCCTCAATCTCGCCCGTCTGGATGTTCAACGTCCTAGTCTTGCTAGGGACCAACACATCACGCACCCGACCCTTCTCAAAAGCCAGACGCTTCTGCTCGCGCAAACGCTTGCGCGCCTTGGCTTCGAGCGCCGCATCAACCAGGGACTTGGCGGCGGCTGCGGACTCGGCGGAGCGCGCGACAATGGGGTCGGCGCGTCGCGAGGCAGGCAGCTTGGAGGAAAGCATTTTGGTGATGGAGGTAGCGAAGGCATCGGGGTCGTTGCGCTTGGATTTGGTTTGTTTCCTGTTGCCGTTCTCATCACCCGAGCCGTCAAGGTCGAATTCATCGTCGAGGTCGGAGCCCAGGTCGGAACCGCCGTCTAGGGAGTCGTCATCGTCGTCTTCGGAATCTGGGGCGTCTTTGGCGACGAATTTGGGTTTTGTTTGCGACTTCTTGGAGGACTTGTTTGATGGTTGTTCAGCGTCGGAATCATCAGAGTCGGATGCTTGCTCTTCGTCTGTGGATGCGCCGTCGTCGGCAACGAGGTTGTCTAGGTCTTCGTCGTCCGAGTCGAGGAGGTGGGCGGGAACGGCGGAGGTGCCGGCCTCCTCGTCGCTTTGGTCTTCAACATCTTGCTGCTCGTTGTCGGATTCCTCCTCTGAACTGCTGTGGTAGGCGGCCAATGCTTGCGCCTTCTGCTTCTTGGACGGTCGGACGGGCTTGCCCTTGCTGCTAGGGCCTTCTTTGCGCTTGGTGATGCCCATGGTTGTGATTGTGTGTGTGTGTGTGTGTCTGGTTTGATTGGATGTAGGTTGTATGTGAATTAAGCAGATGGAATTGTGGTTGTGGTTGTGATCGATTTGCCCAGCCGATCAAGCAGAGGGAGGAATACAGGCAGAACTGAATTGTTTATCGCGGATTGGAGATGTGCTGCCGAGATGGTCGAGGTTCGGAGTGCAGGTCCCTCCATTCGAAACTTCCCAATTGCTGAGGTGCTCTCCACTCAGAAATTTTTGGCGGTCGCGGCCGGCAATATGCCCTGTGCCCCTGTCCCTGTTTTGCGTTAACCCCACATTTGGTGGAACCAAGGGCAGCCCAGCGGGGATAGACGGTGGACCCGCTCTGCCGTCATCAGAATTACCCCTAACCCTGAGTTCTTGTGACTTCAACGGCTCAATTCGACGACAACCTCTTCTTCCCATGACAACTCGACATCGAGACGATCGAACAGTATGAAATTGTTTACGTGTTTCACATCTCGCGCTTTGGATCGATACGATCCCAAGCATATGGTCTCAGGACTCGTTACTCACGAACGGGCGGCAGCGACGAGACCTAACAAAGTTGACCTGCCCCTGGACTGAACATGAGCACCTCGATGAACAGCGGTCGGCATAATGTACAGACCTTTGTCTGAGCATGTTGCACTTTGGCGACCGATTGAATGTTGAAACTTTTGAACGTCATTTACAGTCGAACGATGCATGACGATATACCTGACCTCGATTAGGTAAGTAATGCAGGTCTATTCCGGTTTTTACATGTTGATTTACGTTGGACATACGCAAGTGGAATCTAGATGAATTCGACTGCCAACGTTGAATCGGTTCGCATTACATCGACCGCTGCGGCTCCATACACAATACCTCTCATCTTGCTGTACATACAGAGCACAGCTTCTGCCATCCAAGAGGCACGCTTCTGCAATTACAGTACATGTACCTCCCTACTTTCCCGAACCAGGTTTTCCTAGAAGGGGTGACCAGGTTCGATGTGTTAGAAATCCGTGGAGGATTCAAGATGTTACTGCATGTCATCTCGCGCCATTTACCAGGTACCGTACCTAGGTAGTGACACGTGGGTGAGGGATTGGAGGAAGAGTATTGGATCGGTGCCCTCAGGTCCTAAAATTTGAGCTTCGCAACTTCCCGTCGCCAGGTCGCTTCTCCCAACTTTGCGTGTAGTTTGGTTCACGATCTCACGCAAGAACCACTGCCATGGAGCAGAACTAGTTCGATGTGGGCTGTAGAAGCAACGCTCGGCTTGAACTTGTTCATTTCCAGAGATGGAACAACGCCAAGTGGAAAGGTGGGATGTCAGCACACGGTCACGGGTTCCTCATGGTTGCCGAGACAATACGGGAGCATCGTCAAGATCCACCTTCATACCTTGGGTAAGTCAATGTATTCTCTTTGCCTTTAGAGTTTCTAATTGCTGACTGATGTTCAAACCCCCCGAAACATTCACACCCAGACTGATGCTGCGCTTTCCCGTAGTCAGGAAATATGTGAATCTCGTTACTAACGCATCGTGCATCCAGCGCCAAGGAATCACTACTTGTGAATGTGAAAGTTACCAGTCTGATGCCATACTCTGTTGCTGACAGATTCTGGAAGTTTGGACATGTTCCTTCAAGACGGACCATGACTTGCCTTACCGGCCCGAAGTCTAGGAATGGATCCAAACTATTTATAACACCCGACAATTAGTTCATCGGCTGTTTATTTGCAGCCCAAGAAGTCTTGGGGAAAAAAAAGCTGACACCATTGATCATCTTCCATCATACGCCAAAATTTCGACCAAAGACCCCGAACGTCTTGGTCTCAACGACTGTAGCGGCAAGGTCATAGGTACCCACACGCCGTATTGGCTCAAGATCCATCCCGATCAAAAACCAGAACACTTGAATAAACCAGAAAATCATCATGATCTCCTCTACCTGTGCTTGATCGCACAAATCCCAGATACAGAACTCTCAAAAGGTGCTGGGCTAACCCTACAAGAATCTAGAGCGTTCCCTACCATTTCTTGATGTCTTGTAGTGTGATATTACTACCCCTACTATTGCGACCTTGACAAGAACTGCTTGTTAGCAGATGGTGCGCTGGTTTATTGCTTTTTATTACTTGGAGGGTGTGGTGCTGGGATTGTTGAGGGAGGAGGCAGAAATGGAAAAGGCACAGATGGGGAAGGCAGAGATGGGGAAGGCACGGATGAAGATGCCAAAGGTGGGGGAAGGAGTGGACAAAGCAGAGACGGTAGGAGCAATGATTGATGGAGTAGAGATGGGGAAAGCAGACTGAGACAGAGGAAGCAAAGATGAACGAAGCAAGTTCAACATCTGTTGGGTCAGAGACCTCTTTTCTGCGGGTATCTCATCTGGTACTGTTTCCTCTGGTGGTCTGGCTTGGGAGGGTTTGTCTTCGGAGTTTCGTCTCCACAGAGTTCGTCTTCGCAGTTCATCTTCGAGGGCACAACTTGTGACAGTCATTCTTCTGATGCTCCACCTCCCGACGGTTCACTTTCCGAATGTCCTACCTCCGACGGCCGATTTTTCTGATGAAATTATTGGCATGGCTGGATTTCAAGGTATCTGCAGTTTGGGACCTTTCTGTCGGTATTTCGTGCGGTGTTAACCCCGTTTCTGAGGCCATCGTGGTGACAAACCACAGGCAGCGCTTACACGATCACGATGTCTCAGATGGGCGCACTCATCCACTGCCGAGGCAAGCCCAAAGACCTGAGCGCATAAGCCTCTTTCTTGAGGCATGTACAGGTGAGCACTTCTACTATTCCATGACATTTCCCGACCTCTACTGTACCTCTAGACTCGCAAAGCTTACCACCGTCAATCTCCTCTTTAGGCGCCGGGTAGGGGGTAAGCCCAAACCTGTAAATTGAACTGGACCCAAGTTAGAATACGCAAGTTACCTAGAGTGGTGGGCATTGTCCTCGCGTTTCCACATGGACACATGCTTGCATACCCTATGCTGGTAAGGGGAGCGCCGGGTTCTGCATGCCTCTAGCAAAGCAAGTCACGACAGCACCTTGCGACACATTTAGCGAAACTGAGCATGTACCTACCTCTAATCGAGGTACAGGTAGGTTATCAACCATTACATCGGAGGGGGCTTTCAGTTGTGGATGGGACTAATGTAGAATTTAGGGCGAGACGTCGCATGAGACTGAGAGACGACATGATGCCGAGGATCACATGCATCATCTTGCAGTTACGATCAAAGAGACTCTGATATACTACCGTAGAAACTCGAGAGATTCAGTATCGAAAACCTCCTATCTGAGCGCCTGGCAGAGCACATATCTGTGCAGGACAGACCCGAACCTGTGCATTGAAACGCACACAAATTACAGTAGTGGCCGATATTTTCGAATGTTCACTACCGTAGAAACTCGAGAAACTCACCACCGTCAATCTCCTCTTTGAGCGCCCGATTGGGGACATAGTAGTGCAGGTCGAGCCCGATTCTGTACATTGGAATGCACCCAAGTTAGAGTGGTAGGTAATATCATCGAGTTTTCACTAACTGAACAGACACATCTGCTTACATATGCTGGTTTACGGGCCGCCGCGTTATGCCCTGCCAAGCGCTTAAAGAGGAGATTGACGGTGGTGAGTTTCTCGAGTTTCTACGGTATCCTATCCTTCCATATCTGACTACAGCATATCTTACTTACCTAGGTAGGTACCTTTGTTACTATCGGATTTCTAATTCCCTCTAACTAGCTCATCTATACAAATAGCTGACTTGCTGAGCAGTCCATAGCCCATGTATGTCTCTGATACCATGCATCGATGCTCTCCTTAACTTGCGGCAATGGGACTGCACTCACCATGTACCATATTCTTCATGTAAGAGGTGCCTTACGCTTGATGTTCAAGAACCTGGCCTACCTACCTCAAATAATGGGGTGCCTACATAAAATGCATTCCCCGCCTGCTGGCTGGTAGCTATGATGAGGAGCTTGACGTTTACTGCAAATCCAAACGGTCTCAGGCGAATACCAACACCTTCATGTCACACGGATTGCCGAGAGCAACGACCAGAGCGCTTTGGCTCTATAAAATAACCCAGTTGTTTTCTCCTGTTGGCCGAGTATCTCTGTGATCATTCGGTCTTTCACAGTCGACAAGCCAAGAAATCTCGACACATTGTTAATGCTCGCAACGCCCTCTCGCCCTTGACATCCACTTGTCTTGCTTCTTCCTTTATTGCCGGTGACGATCTGGTTTTCGGCGACTCTAGGAACTATCCCAGCGTCCGATTCCTGTATCGTTGCGCAAGACAGTCAACCGATCCGGGAGACTATCAATGTCGATCTGCGCTGCCCATACTTGCCATACCTTGTACCGGTAATGTTGGCCATCATGTTCGAAGCTGTGTTGACGGGTGTTGATGCTAACTACCGGCGGCGTCCTTCAGTCTTCTTGAACCAATTTTGGCTCTTCACTTAGGAGGAGCCTTCCACTACGCGATACATTCCACTTGCAAGCGATTCAACTTCCAGTGGTTTCATGATTCCTCCCCTTAACCGGTACTTGGAATATAAATACGGACGACTTAGTGTCCGTCGAAGCAATGGAGAAAGACGCTGCCTTGTCCGTGGTCAACCACGAATTTGTCGGTGGCAGAATCATGTGGTTGCCCAAGAAGGTGATGATAGAACCTGGTAATCTACCAGCCCTGGATGATAAGTTATTCGATCATCCGGTTTTGATCATATCCGAGCATCGCGAGGAGCAAACAGATATTGTTCGCGTCTTGATTGTATGTGCTTCCTGGTGTAGACCCCCATACATTCACGCGCATACCTTTTCATCAGATAACCGCCCAACCATTTCACTGCTGATCACATTGCTAATTGAAATTCTGTTATCCAGATAACCACTTTCGCAAAAGAGGGTCTGGAGACTAGACATGGCCGGTCCCTCCCATGCCGATATTACCTGCCGCTCCCTGGCGCGCCTGGCCATCCCTGTTCGAAATGGAGCGAAGACGTACCCTCCAATTTGACGTTCGCCGAGGGGAACGGGAATGAAAAGGCTCTCCGTGATTCTTGGATAAATGCCAAAGCGTCCTATTCGGTGTCGTACCAGTGCCTCATCAACTGGAAAAATATGCAGAGGACCCCGACACTTACCGAGGAGTCTCTTAGGGACGTGATTAACTATCACACGGAGAGGGTACCTAAAATTGAGAGGTGGGATGAGGCAGAGAGACGCTCAAAGGAGGAGGAGGAGAAGGAAGAGGAGAAGAGGATAGATGAAATAAGGTTGCGACCATCATGGCGGCTACCTTTGCAACACCCCGTGAGCGAGACTCGCGGGGTTGTCAGCACAACAACATACTCTTCTGAGATGTCAATATCTCAGAGTGCGGTAATGTTGGCGAAAAATGATCGATGTGATGGAGGTGCGCGATGGATGCGGCAAGTCCGGAGGGAGGGGAAAGGCTGGTGCCCTCTGGGGTGTCTCTGCTGTTACTGCTGCGATAATTGGAGAGATAGGAGGTGTGCGTACAGTGATCCTCCAAGGTCGAAATCAATTTCGGCCTTGATTCCTAATCCCGGTTCGCACATTTACAGAGTGGTGGACGAGAGACCGATCAAAAGGACCTTTTATGATAAGAATAGAGGTTCCCGAGGTGAGTTCAGCGCCGCCACCACCTCTACCTCTTACCACACTCCTGTGTTCTCGTTATTTTGCTGACATCCATGATTCTAGCCCACGTATCTGAGAGGAGACCGGTTATGGATTTCTCCACGAGCCTTTGCCAGAAGCCACTGGTTTCGGCACCTACCGAGGTGCTGGTCATAGCCAGTTTCGACGTTTTGTCCCAGGAAACTGGGGTCGGCAATGCGCAAAACCTCCTTTAATGAGTTGCTGGTTTCCTCCAGTCCTTGGCGGCACATGATAGGAGGTAGCCCACCGCTCGTGGGCAATTTGGTTTCATCAAGTTCATCACGCACTCCAGCGCCTTTCACTTCACTTTTCTCCTGGTTCAACTGTTTCACTTCTGTTGTTGGCCCGAATTTGCGGCCGGTCTGCCTCGTAGCCTGATCGGCTACCTCGATGCTACCTAGATGCTGGTCTATCGTCCCAAGCACTTGTGCGACCACCCTCCTCATTGGATCTGCGCAAGCTCATATGCATGCATGCGACTGGGCGGGCCGGTGCGACGGGCCACCACGGCGACACACACCATCACCAAGCCACGTTCCCCCACACGGTTATCAACCAGTCAGCCAACGGGTGTGAAGAAGGGTACAAACAGATGAAAACATAACAACAATCGATCTGCCGTTCTGTGATGGTTGTTCAGCTGTGCCCGAGCTCCTTCATTTCCATGAAGACTCGAAGGGGTGGATTCCGATCTTTCATCTATGTCGACAGCTTCGCTTGAAAATTGCGATACTTGCCCAAAATGCCGTCCGCCCGCCGTGCTGTCAAGAAAAAACGACGATCTCAGACCACTCAAAATGACGTGCCAAAACCGCCCAATCTGGGTGGCCGTATAATGTGGCTGCCCAAACTTAACGAGTTGAAGACACCGAGCGGACTTCCAGACGCCTGCCATGATCACCCAGTCATCCTACTATCCCCAAAACTGCTGCCTAACAATGAGGTCGTTGTCTTGATGGTAAGTTCCATTCGCCATTGTCCCAAGACTCATAACTCCACTCATTCTTTCCCCAGACTAACAGATGCATCATAGGTGACCTCCTTTGGCGGCAGGGACCTACAAACCCGGCACCGGCATAACTACGAAAGATGGATGCGGGCACACTACCTCCCCATCGACCCATCGCCCGCTCATCCCGACGAACCAGACAAGAACGTGGTGCTGAAACTTGGCGGTGGTGCGGTTCTGAGAAAGAACTCGTGGGTAAACACGGAGACGCAGTATCGGGTGGTCTTCCACCTATTGAGAAACTATGACAGCAGGTCGGGGAAGCTCTTCGTGCTTATGCCGGAGTCTTATGGGAGGTTAAAGGACTTTGTTGGGTTTAGGGCTGATGAGATCGTCGCTGGTCCGTCTGGGACATCGGAACCGGGAGCCACACCGGCAGTAACACAGACAGCCACGCCCCCATTGACTCCCGAACTCAGACCGGTAGTCGTTCCAGAACCAGTACCGGAGCCGGCGACCCAGCTACCGGAAGTTGTCGAGCCGGCAATGACACACGACTCGGACTCGGACACCACCATTGTCGCGGAGGATTATTGGGAAGCCGATAGAAGACGCCGCCGGGAGCAACTCCTCAACCAGCAGCCCGTCATACAGACCTACCGTCCTGTGCCTCCACCGAATGTGCCTGTAGCCCCGAGCAGGTCAAGCACTGTCCAGGCCCTTCAACAAGCCAACAACGAGCGATCATCCCTCCTCCGTCCACAGACCCAAGCGACAGCACCCAATCCGCCATCGAAATTGCAAGTACCGATTCCAGCAACCAGAACAGGATACGGAACCGTATCATCGTCATCCCGTCCCGCCGCAGCATCTCATACCCCAAGATCATATGGGCAGGTTCGCTCCCAGTTCTTTGAGGCTCTAGAAAGAGACCAGGACTTACTCATAGCCGCTGTAAGAGCCCGGGCTCGGGCCTGGGCCCGGGCTCGAGCCGCTGCCAAACTCAAACTCGCCATCCTCAAACGAAAGAAACCCAGACGTACTTGGTTTTCTCAGTTGGGCTTCCCCTTTCGAGTTGACTTTATCTTCTTCGGTGTTGCTTCCACGGATGTGCGGAATCGCGCTCGCGCTTATGATCGCGCTGTTGACACTGCTCGTGCTCAGATGATGAGACAGGGCGGATATGAAAGCATGATTACCGAGGCTGAAGTACGAGCTATAGAGTGGGAGGTAAATGCTGGACCGGCGTATGAGTATGCGCGTATTGCTCCCTCCGGTATAGACAGGGAGAGGGGATGTAAGGGGAGGCTGTCGATGCTTGCTAAGGGTACGCTTGTTGTTGTAATCCTGTTGGTTCAGGCGATCTTGCTGGCGGCGGTCGTGTGGAGCGTGGTGCAATATGAGGCCGACACGGCGGTAGTTGAGTGGGTTGCGAGAGCGGCTGGTAAGGTGGTAGACGCGTGGGAGTTTCTTGTTTATTGGTTTTGGGTAATTGTTGATGTCTTGGTGAAACTCATTATTGGTCTATTGTATCTCGCTTTCATCATTGTCTGTTTTGCGCTCTGTTGTGGTGGAGGAGCGTAGTAGGTACAGTCTGCTTGCGTTGGGTCGAAAGGAAAGGTGGTCGTGCTGAGGAAGGTGCCTCTGGTTCGAGTTGTTGTTTGGGAGGCGACGATGATTGCGCCTGCGACTTTAGGCTTTTATGACTGGGAAGACCGCTGGTTTGATATTTGTTAGCTTATGACCTGATACTTGTTAGCATTAGTATTTGTTGAAATTATTGTCTTCTCGGCTCTTTCCCCCCATTTGCTTCCCTCAGCATTCAGTCCGCATGCACCCCTTGCACTAATCTTCTCGTCTTCTCCCCCCCCCCCCCTCCTTCTCATCCCCTTATTCCTTGTTCTTTTAAAATTCTTACAATCTAATACCCGCTACGTATCATGGGCTAATGTTCACAGCAATAAGAAAAGGCATACACGCCCTCCAGTCATGAAACAACCTAACCGCAGGAAAGCAGTAGTACATCACGATACTGACCTCGGTCGAGGTACCTCTCACAAATCAATGTACCGTATTTCTGCAGCTGATGCTTTTCGCAGCGCGATCTTGACCCACGCCCTGCATTCGTATTTCCTATGTCGTCTATGTCCTTTCCTGATACTCAGTCCCAGGTCAACTTCAAGCAAATCTCCAACCCATCAGCATCACTAACCACTACATGTGCCCAAAGCCTGCCTCAAGAGGTAGTCCCTTCACAAGAGACGGAGAAATTGCACCTGCGTCTGCTCAGTTTGAGCAACTGAAGCCGTGCCCTCGGACTTCACAGTGTCTTCGCCGGTGGAAGTATCTTCTTGGACCAAGTGATCACCTGCAATCTCTCCTTGCCCATCTGGTTTATCGTTGCTAGCTGGCTGGTTATTGTGCGAGGGACCTAGATCATGACTCTCCGTGGTAGACTCTTTGTGTAATGCTTGTTGATGGACACTCGCCGTCCCGTCGGGAGCCTCCTTCTCGCTCGAAGATAGATGGTTGTTAGGTTCCATTATTTTCTGTTTTTCATCCTACTTGACTTGTGATTGTTCTAGTGCTTGCTTTTACTGGTTGAAGGGATCCAATCTGATGATGTGGTTGGTGTGCTGGGGTTCAGAAAGCTTAGGGAAACATGAAGAATAGGTACTGGGAATGAACAAGGGCCGGTAAGATAGTTCTTATATTGCTCGCACCCCGTGTTGTCGGCGAGGAAGTCATTGTAGTGCAATGATGAGCCTGGAAACTCTTGTGTGAACAAACTGAGGCGCCGTTTGCATTGTTGGAATCTGTGTTGTTTGCTCTAGCCCGTTGTGGTGTGTTACAATGTCGGGCTGCCTTGTTGTGCAACCACCGGTCCGATGGTCTTTGATCTGTAGAGGTACCTGGTATTCACCGTTCACGTTAAAGCCCCATCCACAGCCTTAAGAACATTGACTCAGACAGATCCAAGTACCGATATATCGAAGCACCCTATTTGTTGGGTCCTACTCCCAATCGTCCCCCGCATCAGAGGTACCTACACGCGCATTTAGCTCCGCCGGAGACACTCCGGTCTCCCTCTTTATAGCCCGAGCCATCTCGACGCGACAAGCATAGCAGTAGCAAGTTGGCCCATATTGAGCTTGAAACCAAGGGTTCTTAGCAATAGCATCAACCATCTCAAAAAAAAAAAAAAACCAAAAACAACACATACGGCTCGTAATTTCGCTTAAAATGCTCACATACCGCCTTCCCTACAGCCGCGCCTACTCCCATCAACCCTCTACCCATTACCTTCAAAGCTTCGCTACCTCTACCGGCTGCTACCTCCGCAAACATCTCCCTGCGAACCTGGCTGTGCCAAAACGTCCAGCCAAGAGCCCCAACGCCGCCGATGATTGCAGACATAACCCACGAAACCAACACCAGTCCTACAACAGTGAGCTTTGGTAATGTCACGACATGCACCCGGTACCGAGGCTCTCTGTCTGAGACTTCAGGTTTGGTTAGATGCCGTTGATCTTGGGGCAGGTTTTGAGTAGAGGTAGAGGTATGATTGCTGCCACCTGTAGAGGCATTTTCACTTGTGCCATCAGGGTCTGTGGCAGTGCGGTTGCGGTCACTATTGACGACGTGTTGAGAAAATGGATCATCGAAGCGGCCATTTATCTTTTTGAGCCTGAGCATGACGCTCTTGCGTAGCTCTTCTTTGAGCAGCTGGAGGTGCCAGTCTGAGGACGCTTGAGGTGAAGGATCGTCGTTGTCAGGTGGTGGAGTTGGAGGCTGCGGAACGACGCAGTAAGGTTGTGATTCTCGGGGTCCGGACGGTTGAGGAATCATTGGAGAAGTTTGGGTGGTAGAGGTGTCTAATGGGAGGCTCTGTGGTCTCATTTATCGATTCAATGTCTTCAAGCAGGAGCTGGTCGGTCGGGTCGTGCTTGACTTCCTAGAGGTATTCTTTCGAGTCCGTTTGAGCGGCGGCTCTTATGTTTGGCTCCGTGAAAGACTGTGCTCTGGGCTGTTCTGAATTGATTGGTCAACGTTGAGGCGTTCTGATTTGTCCCATTGGTGAGGGTCGCAGTAGGCCTCTCGCAGACTCGGTGATACTCTGGTGCGGGGTAGCTGAGTGTTTGACTTGATCCAGCAGGGTTTGCGTAGACAAGGAAAGAAGATCCTCTGTCACTAATGTGTTCTTGCCAGCTCTGTCGATACGCCACTGACCTTGATACCAGGGAGGTTTGGACTTTCCGATGTCAATGGAAATTGGAGCAGGGAGAGTTTGCTGAGTTGAACGGACTGGAGTCAACGTACCTCTAAAAACGAGGCAGGACGGAAGGATTGTTGAGTTTGTGAACAAAAAAAAAGGAAGCAGTGGGACGAGCAGAGAGTGGGGGATATTTACGATTCAGCACCGGTTTATTCGTTTGTTTGCGATGCTTGGTACCTTCCTCTACGTCGCGGGACCTAGCAAGTTCTGGCGACTGCGTTGTTTGTTCTACAACTGTGTTTCCTTTGAACATATGGGTGATCACATCCATTCAGTCCTGATAACGAGCTCCCGGCTCCATCGGCTGATGTTCTCGCTCTTCCACCATCCAAACATTTGGCTTCCATTCACCTTCTTACCTCAGACACTGGTACTTCAGGCGGATGCCTCGAGCAGAGAAGGCTCTCAAGCGCTTGCCCACCTAATCAAGCCCTTTTCGTTATTACTATTTCCATCTTGGACCAGCCCAGGTCCCCTCCCCCCCCCCCCCCCCCCAAAAAAAAAAAAAAAAGAAAAAGAAAAAAAAACGGGTCAGACCTTCGAAGCTGTCCAAGTCAACCTGGAACCAAATCAGATCCATAACATACCTCTACCAACTAGGAACCTCTATTATATTACATAAGACTGATCTCTAATCTCTATGTATTTATTGAGGACACACACCAAGATACCTCTACCATTCCCCAACCTTATATGGCTTGATTACTATAACTACCTGTCTAATGGGCTCTATCCTACGTCCAGGACACTGCCTTATTACCTCTAGATACCTCTAGCGAGCGGTTGCAAGGATAAACCGAACGCGTTATGATCCAGTACATTACACCTTCGACATGCTATCTCATCCAATTATGCGTCTTGCCTACGCGTTTTGTCAATAGTCAAAATATTCTTCGGATTGAAGAAGACAAAGTTGACGCGGCGCGATGTTTTCACAAATCTGTACCAGACATATCATTGTTTGACAGCGTCAATTTTGTGTCAAAGCGAGTGCTTTTGGACAGTCCAACTTGGAGGGTCCACTATGTTTCCTTCATTCCACTTTCCATAATCACTCGGAGATAGCAAGAGTTAAACCCAATCTGCCCGTAACTTCCTCGATTCGTCCATGTCCCAAAAACCGCAAGTCGACCCAATCCCAAGCTGGCAAGTACAACAGTCCCACCCATCCCCATCCTGTCCATCCCAAATCCAAAACCAGAACCCATTACAAGCCAAAAGCACCGCCCGCTCCAAAACCCAGAACCAAACGCCATATCGCCCCGAATCCCTCCATGACTACCTCGGTAGACCCAAACTCCCTCATTCTCCTACTCCACCCAGGTTGACATCTGTGCACTCGGCCCACGACTCCAACCTTCCACAATCACCGTCCCGCAGCTCCAATCCAGCTCCCATCCTGGCCATCCTGCCCACCCCTTGCCCAGTCCCGGTCGGACTGAGTAAGGGGTAAATCGGTAAAGTATAATGGTTAGCGGTTGAACAACAACTTACGAAAGGAAAGGGTAGGGGTATTTTACTTGTGACTTACGTGTTTGAGTGTGATGTCGCACTTTCAGAGTCCCTAGATTTCCATCAGCTAGACACAGTCATAGTTCGATGCAATCATCAGTGAGAGAGAGACTTACTTCAGTCGGTAGGCAACCTGGAACCTTGTGATGCTTCCCCACCGCCCCTAGAGGTAGAGGTACCCAAGAAAGAGCAACAGCCGGGCATCGTGCAGCCAGGCCGAGCCACCCACAACCGTCATCGAGCTTCCATGGAAACGGAACCCGTCAAAGCCTAGGTGTACGAACGAAAACCAGACCGAAGTCTACTCTTCCGCTCTATGCGTCTTCGGCTTCTTGGGCCTCTTCCGCTTCTTGTCCCCGCCTTGGCTGTTCGGGTCCTTCATCATGTACTCGATGAGACTTTCTTCCAGTGGAGGGCGGTTCGTCATGAACTCCTCAAGCTTGTGGAACGAAGCCTCGTCGATGGAGTAGTCTTGCGCAAAGAGGCCTCCATCCTTGTACGCAACAAGGAGGTCGAAGGCGACATTGCGCATGTGCGTCGTGTTGACGAAGGAAGTTGCTTTCTGGTTGTGGGGCTTCTTAGTGGTCTTGACCATGAAGTTCCTCACGGGGTCATCGGGGTGGGGTTCGGTCTCGAGAGCACCTTCGATGGGGAGGAAGTAGGACCTCGCCTTGACGGCTTCTTCAGAGTTTCCGGGGAATCTCTTCAGGAGACTGTTGTCTTGGAACGAGGTCAACTGGTGGGTGGGTGTGAATGTGTGGTTAGTTCCAACTTTCCAGTTACACGCCGTCTTGTTCGGTAACGGGCCGGGTCACAGCAAGAGAGGATCGGGTACTTACTACCAAAAAGTCGACGGTGCCGTCCTCCTTAACTTTGGGTGACATGATGAGGGCAGGATGAGGAGGCAAGCCCTTCTTCTTGTCCAGAGGACCTCGAGGCAGATCTCTCACAGCCTTGGGTCCAGCCCACAAGATACGTCCTGCGAGATCTTCATCCCGGCACGTCAGGTCATGCGAAGATTGGAGAGTCAGCAGTGGCTTCTCCGAATCATTGGCCTCATGACCGTCGTGGCGAGATGTGGGGTTGATGGGCCCCGAGATGCTGGTTTGTGGTGCCAGCGAGCTGAGAGATGGCTGAGGAAGGTCCTCGTCTGAGACCCTTCCGATGTTGATGTTGGTGGAGGTGGGGATGGCGTTGCCGTTATCGACGTCGTCGCCGACACGGAGACGCTTGGTTCCCGCACCCTCATCGTCATCGTCGTCATCGAATCGGCGGCGCTTGGTTCCGGCGAGCGCGCTGGGGTTGGCAGTCAAGACCGCCTTGGTCTCGTCAATCTGGCCGAGGACTTCCTCGACGTTCTTCTCCGTGGGTGCCATGTTGAGGGTGAGGTAAGGGTAGCGGAGTGAGGAGAGGGAGTGAGGAAGGGGAAGTGGGGTGGAGGAAATGATGGGGAGAGTGCCGTGCTGTTGGAACCCTTGGGCTCGTTGGACGCGGTTTTCCCGGTGTGGTTGCTGGAAATGGCCTTCCTAAAGACCTGATGGAGATGGAGTGGTGGTTAACGTGTAACCGAGAGAGAAACTGGTGGTAGAACGCAACGTAGAAGTTGGACAATGGATCGTGATGGGTAGAGTTCTGGTGGAACGCGGGGTTCTTGAATGTGGAAGGAAGTGAGAGTTATGCTACCGGTTTTTGGGCTACGGCAGAAATTGTAAGATTGAAAATGACATGAATCTAGAACCGTTACCCTGACAACTTCGAGCAGGCAATGATAACAGCCCGCGAAACTTTCGGTTCTTTGGTAGAGGTAGGTAAAATTCAGGACGTTACCACTTTATCTCTCTCCCGGAGTTCGGTATCATATTTCCCTCTCGTCCAAGATATATCCATCATCTCCCACTAGGTCATATCTGCTTCCCAACACGTATTCAGTAGTCCCCAAGAGGCCTTTATTAGAAGTAATTCTTGAGATTTGACTTAACTACAGTCTCAGTGTAATTCATCTTTGCGCATGTGCTGCTAGGATCAAATCGAGCAGGCTGAGAATTATTCATTTGGTTCTATATAGACTGAAAGATACTCGTAAATAGGTACCTAGGTCGTGTACTTCCGTTGGAGGTTTCAATACCACAATACCTCATCTTATTGAAACTTTGTACGTACAGAATTAAAACTGTTCTCGTTGCCACGGGTAGCAAACATGACGGACTGGACTTCGAACGACCAATGAACGGAAGGCAAAGCCCACAAGTGAGTGAGAATGGCCAGGAAATGGAAGGCACGCGAAGAACAGAAAAATAAGCCAGAGATACTTACCTCTACCTTACTCGGTGAGAAAAGGAAGGTGCGGCTTGGTTTCTGGATTGAGGGGTGGGTTCAGAATAATGGAGGTACCTGCGTTCTTCTTTTCCTGAGTGACACTTCAATTTTTGTAGGCACTTGGCTTTATATGAGAACAGACTGAATCTGGGCGAGCAGGTATCAGGCTATGAGAACCATCCCACGATGAAGGACACATTTGATGTCAACTAGAGGTAAACGTACCTCCGTCACTCTGCCACCGAGGGCCAGACCAGTTTGCGTCGTGAAACAGGATGGGACTGTGACGGTCCGTCAAGATCTAGTGGGAACGTTGGATTTCACTGCAACTATTGACGAATGCTATAACTGCCCCAGGTATATATTTGCGAAGTGCAGTGACTGGCACAGCTGTTATAGCCGAGCCATTGTGGAACGTACATGCAATGTTTGGACTCACAAATCCGATCATTGCCTGCACGCTTTACACAAGCGAGAAAAAATCCCTGCCCAGGGGCGTGTCGTCCGCCTTGAATGAGCCTCAACGCGTTCCAATCTCACTCTATAATCCGGAGACAAGCTACATCCCACGCCAGCATCAAGATCTGATCCCACTTGGACCCCCTCCCTCCCGGATACCGCTCATAATACGCGTGAAGAACACAGGCACTCAGGCTTGCTATGGCATAATGCCCCCACTTTCTTTTAAAGTGTCTGGCCACCGCCCATGCCATTTTAGCAAGAGCGTCCTTCGCCGCAACCACGATCTGGAGGTTCTTCCAGGCAGCCACGAACATCACTTCTTGGACGCCCGCCTCAAGCTCCTCGACCACTTCCCTCCCAACTGTGCTCATACTGAAAGCTCCTCCAGCGGTTAGCATCGCAACGCAGGCTATGGCTACCCTGATGATATTCCTTCCAAATTTAGGCAAGTTGAGCGGACCTCCAAGACCGTAGACGTGACGGGCGCCGTTATCGCATGCCCATTTGCGCTTGAGGTGTTCCGTGAGAAAAGAGGCTTGCTCCGCATCCAGAAAATCGGAAGGAGTAGGAGACATGGGCTGCATGTGACTGTGCGTGGGAAATGGAGGCTCGGTTGCTTCTGATGTTTGTGTTGTTGCATGTCTCGACTGCGCTTGCTGGTTCTTAGCGGGCAGCGGTATATTGCCATTGTGAAATGGAAGGAGCATGCATGGACTCTGAGGCTCATTCTTGACAGCGAGTTGCTCCGTAAGATGCTCTCGCTCTACCTCCGGGTCTACAGGAACGTGACAAAGCGCAACAGTTGAGAAGCCGACAAACGCAGCCAGCTTTTGGTACGAGTCTTTGTCGAGGTGGAACCTTGGACTTTGAACGACGTACATGCAGTCGCTGCCGTTGGGGAGGTATTCCTCAAGTACCGAGAAGAGAACGGATCTTCTAGATTCCACCGAACCGTCCACGTAAGAATAGGTCTTTGGGTTGTAAGGCAAGACCTTGAGCATTACATTCTTCTCTGGCGTGTCCGGGTGAGGGGGTGTAGGCTCGATGGGAAGATATTTGGCCCTGTTCTTCATCCCTTTGCGGGAGGTTTTGAATCTTTGTGTAATGTCCCTACCACCGAAACTCGTCATCTTTGAAGAAGCTCAAATTAGTCATAAATACTAGGTACCTCCAATCATCAATATCTACCTGCCGTACTACCTTAAAGTATCCAAGGTACTGTTAGGAAGGGGGGATGCTATGCATTTGTAACATCAACTTACCCCTACTATCTCGACTTTGTTGCTCATAGAGATGCTCGGTGATAATATAACAACCGGATGGTCGTAGGACGCGTACCCTTGAGGAAGGCCTTTTACATTGCTTGGTAGCCACATGATAAGTCCAGCAAGACCTTCGGACTTCTGATCCGTGGCATATTGAATCGAGGATTGCAATTTCTTCTTCGTATTCGGCTCATGGGCCTCTGGATTCGGAACTGGCGCGCTCGACATGTTGAGAATTGACTCGAAGTTCAGTACTTCCCATGAGACTGGAATTTGTGAAGTGGATGACTGAGGATGTCGACTGTCGAAAAGACGAAACTCTGGCAGGACGCGAGGACTTGGGCAGCGATCGGGTAATTAGAGTGACGTTCACTTATCAATTACCTCTGCATTTATGTTGCATACAACCGTAGTGTAATCCGTTTACCTCACTCCCCGCTCGTTGGCTGTTCTGCATGCGGGGGTTAGAGACCTGGCGGCCATTGCAGCGGCCTGTTCCAAGCACACAGCCTCCCGTGATGTGGATAGGCGCATAGTCGGCCAATGGCGTTGCACAACGAAGGGCAGACTGGTGGGCAAAACTTTCCTGGGCATGGCCGGAATAATGGGCCAACGGCCAAGCCTGGGAGAGCTGGAAGGCAGAATACTTGACATAGGTAGGTATGTTTGGTGCCCGTTCACCGTTTCATGAGGATCATGGCTTTTGGCTTGTAGAAACAAAACCTTGATAAATGTCTAGGTAGGTATCTGAAGTTAAAGATATTGATTCTGTTGAAGTGAAACGAAGGATCACAAGGGTACCCTACTTAAGCGAGTGTGGTGACCTTGTTGATTGAAGAAGAATGGAAGAAGCAAGCTTGTGAGGGTAGGAGCATCCCTCAATTTATTCAAGACGGAAACGAGAATCCGAGCAAGTCAACATGTGTGGATCGAAATGCCAACCTGGAAGTCATTCAGTAGATTCTTCATGATCCCGGAAATGCCTCCTCCAAGGTCCGTCTAGGTAGGTGAAAGCTACTCCTATCATTCCTAACACCAGGCTCCCAAAACTTGCAATCCAGAGCGACGTCGTGAGTCGAGTTCCTAAATGCCATACCACCCAGCCCAACCCATGATGGAAACCCCAACATATGGATATGATAATTTCCAGTGCGTGCAATGTCGCGCCTGAAGCCACGTGAAGGGTCTTGATTCCCACCCAAAAGATCACAATGGTCAGAGTCACTACAACGCAGAAGAGGAGAACCAGCGTGGGTAAACCGATATAGCAAAAGCAAAACAAAACCGAGTACATTTGCATCATATCTCTAGAGGTAAGGTAAGGTAGGTATACATGGTGTTAGAGAGCTGCGTGTTGTTGCAGGGAGGGCTGATGGGTTTTGAAGGGGTGTCATACCTCCTTTGTTGCTCAGGATCGTCACCGCGGCTACTCTGGGAGGACGACTCGGATGTTTGAGATGGCTGGGGCAAACCAGACGGTGGGAAACGGTTAGACGGCTCGAACCGGGCGTGCTTATGTCCGTCCATGTTGTGCGGGACCAGACAGATGTTGGTGTTTTGTTGGAAGCGGACTGGAAAAGGTGACGATGAAAATGGCTACCACTGGGTAGAGGTATTTTGTGATTTTGAAGGGCAGTGGAATCGGTTATCGGAAAAGAAGAACCAGAAACAATGGCAGCCTAAATACCTCTACATAGAGGCACCTGAAGGAAGTGCCAGTGAATGGAAGCACGCCCATTGAAAGCATGCCCGCCCACTTTATTCTAGTGTTTGGGGGCCTAGAGGTAGTGCACGGACCTCCAACACTCTCTCCAGTCATCAATGGTAATAGTTGACGTGATTCGTCAAGAATGAGAAGTCAACCTGCACTGGTAGGTACCTCTATCGATGGTGTGATCAAGATATGGAGTTGCCCAAGATCCCAAGGGCTACAAATACCATAAATCCAACCATATACCCCATCCAACGCACCAGATGCTATAAAAGAGACGATACCGGTTCAAGCAAGCCTTGAGAGCTCCGGTATACCTTTGCTGCTGTCTCAAGTACGGGGACGATAATTTCAAGGCTATAGTATAGGACATTTGTTCCCAGCTAGAAGTAAAGAAGGACAAGGAAGGGTGAGATAAAAAAAAGTTGAGGAAGGATTGGAGTCGGAGCCAGTTCATTATGTGCTCTTCTAGATATCTCTCTCTCTGAGCATCGAGATTGTTCAAACCTTGCGTGAGCAAGATCTTCTACAATAACGTTCCAAGATAGGGATATTATAATGAATTTGCATACCCTGTACGGATGATTGTCCTACTGGCGAGCTTGGGAAGTATTTTGGGCTCTTTGGGATGCAGACCGTTGAATATGGTCAGACATGATTGCCTCTAGGTACCTTTAAGAGTCTAAGGTACATGTACCCGAGGCCAATCTTGCGAAATTTTGTTTTCTGTTGGGGGCTGGAGACGTGACGACAGAAAAATTGATTTATGTTTTGTTCTGCTAGTGGCAGTACAAGAGGAGATTCGGAAACCAGGCAGTCCAGAGCTAAATAAATAGGTACCCAGAGAGGGCAGGGGACATGGAGCCGGTGAATGGGAAGCACAGTGACAGTGAATGGGCGCCCAGAGCATGGACTTCCAGCACTTTCTCCTCAATAAACGTAAATGTACACTAAGAGGGCGCCAAATTGATCTGGCAATGGTTTTCGACAAGGCGGTCATTCATGTCTTTTGTTGGCACAAATAGGTGTGTTTTTTTCTACTTGCTAAATACCGGACCTCTGTGTCTACGGGCATCTAATGCTCCCCACCCGCTTCTTATCCCGTCCATCAATGTCTTTGTTCCTCTTCCTCTTCCTCTTCCTCTTCTTCAATCAACAAGTTCACCACCATTCTCGTGTCCTCGTGTTCACATCCACTCCGTTCACTTCGACGATTGCTTCGTCCCGATCAGACTGCGGTTGATGCCCCTCAGATGATCCGGCACTTTGTCACCGATGCGTCTCACCACGTTTCTTTTTGTTTTTCCAGTGGGGCTTATCACCCCGATGATGTTGCTGCTGTTGTTGATCACGACCGTCAACATCGTTTGCTATGAATGTCTTTGGCAGAAGTTGACACATTGCAATCGTCTTGACCAGCTGAAGTCGACAATCAACTTGGCCGTTGGGATTGGAGACACAAGCTGCGATGGAGTACGGTTCTGCTACGGTGAAAGCCGCATATGGTTTTATGCCAATACCATGCTCCTATGTGTCGGTCCAGATGCTGCTGGTGTTTTGTTTGTAGGGCAGCTTCGACGGCTCGGAGGTGGAACTCAAGGGCGGAAAGATGGAGTACGTTGAATCGGGTTTAAACAGTTCGGCATCCGAGGTCTGCTTTCCACTCCATTTTCTGTGCGTCTTAGGCTGCATTTGTTTTGGTACGGTTGCCGTACAGAGGAGCTGGTACCTCTAAATTTGCTTGCGTTTGGTGTCATCGACACTCCACAGCAAGTTTGGCTTGGTCTGGTGCATTGGTTTGTTTGCGTGTCATGACCAGCCAGCTGAGGGTTGACTTGCTGTGGAGCGTCGATGAAAGCACCAGGGTTGTGGTACGCATTCTCGTGTCCATTGCGGCTCTCGATGCCAGGTGTTGCGTGGAATTAGCGTAGCCTTGATGAATGATGAATGTCTTGATTGTTGTCTTCTCAAGTCTCCAGCGAGCTGACGGCTCCGTCAACGAGCCTTATGTACAGCTCATGGTAGAGGTAGCTGCTTCCCTCAACGGGAAAACCCCGTGTCACCAGGAGAGTGCGGCCCGGGACCGTGCGATCATGGAAACTTGGTGACCTGATGCTTTCGGAGTGGTAGATGTTAGAACCTCTTGAAAACGACAGGTGAGAATGACTAGAGTTCACTTCGAGATGAAAAATACAGGCAGGAGCGGAGGAATGTGGTACTTACAGGGAGGCACAATGGTCTTGTTGTCAACAGGAGCTTCAGTCCCGGTTGATCTTCTCAACCGCCTCCTCATCTACCTGTAGAGGTAGCGCCCATGGATTCGCTGACAGATGTGAGCTTCAACTTCAAATGGGTTATTTCTGGACTTAGCTCATCAAATCGACGTACCTTGAGATTGGGAACGCGTAGAGAGTGTTTTTGTGGGATTATCTTTGGAACTTTGCTTGGAGCGGTGTTTGGAATTTTGTTCAAACTGAGTTGGAACGTTGTTGTTGGAACTTTGTTGTGATGGGAAGGGTTTGGGAAGAAGTGAGGGGTCAAAATGGTGAGTCCGGGAAGCTTTTATTTCTGTTTCTCTTGCCCGTCCGTTATGTGGCTGCATGTGGTGCTCACACTGAGTTCAAAGACAGTGGTCAATTTTGCCAGCTGCCAGTTACAGCCACAGCCTCTCACAACACCACATACATACTACACGTGCACACGCAGGAAGGCTTGTTTGCCAGCTGAACTGTGATAGCCCTACTGTGACTGGGGCTGCCGGCTGAGGCAGAAAGATCGGATTACCGGGCCAACCGTTATGCTCTATGGCGGTCTGGGTCAGGTTCGGATGCCTGCTACCGGTTTGGATCCTTCCAGATACTTTCAAGTACGTCATTCATCCAATAGTTCCATTTCCGTCATTTTCATTCATGCCTGGCACTCTGTGGTATCAGAACCCTTCGTGGAAGGCACCTGGGTCTGTCCTTGGCGTTCTCGAGAGATGGATGCCACGCGGTCCGTTGCCAGGAAGCATTGCAAGATATCGTCCACGTTGTTCTACACCACTAGCGAGTTGATGTGTTTAACATGCAAGCAACACTTTGGATTCACCTTTAGGTCCCTTTTGACACTCTTGAAAAGCATAGTTGCCCAGTGGTATACCGAGTGGCGTGGAGGGATGCACTGTATCCCTGATCCCAAACACCTGAAGGACACTCGCTATTTTGATCGTGCTTAAAGCACCCTGCGGCAGACAAAGTAACAGCATTAGATTCTCTGGCCTTCAGTTTTCACTCAAGGTCTCTTTGTCGGAAGAATACATCAGTGGTGTAATTTTCCCGATAACAGGAAATATTGAGTGCCCCTGATCCAGACCCACTTTTCGCAGCGGGTGCTGTGGCGAAGGAAATCATCAAGACATTGACTCTTCGTGCTTCAAAAAATATCTGATCATTGCAGTCCAGTCCTCTTTGGAGTGTAAAAGGAGGAAAGACCAGCCGGTTGGCATGAAAATGCTTTAAATTGTCTTCCAAATGTTGAGTGTCCGTCTCCAAGAAGGAGTCTGGTGTGATTGTAAGGTGAGCTCAGGTTGACATGGAGCACATAAAAATCAGCATCAGCGGGCAAGAAGTAACTCACAGAATGCGCTCGCTAAAAAACAACCTATAACCGCGAAATCGGTGAGAACCGCAGGACACTCTGATCCGAATCGAAAACGAACATTGTTGGTTGTGCAATCTGAACCAGCTTGCCATCCTTCTTTCACAATCTACTCTCTGAAAATTGAACTGGGATCCTTTTTTTTCGTTACCTTCAAACTCACAAAATGAGTAAAGCAAGCCTTTGATCCTCTTCTTTCTCCTGCGTCCTGTGTGTGGTCAGCCAGTCTGGCCCGTTTTCAAGTCTTCCATTCTTTCATCTTTGATCATAAGCACGCCTTATCCCGTCAAGAAAAGAAGAAAATATTTACTACGGCTTGTGGGATCACGAGATTTTCAAAGTCCAAACCAACCTTACTTGAAAGAAGATTAATCTACCTCTAGGTATTAACAACGTCCATGTCCCAGTGCGTGTAAGCACAACGACAGTCGCATAGCACATTTTCTTTTGTCCCAAGGTTTGAACAAACGTGAACAGAGATAATTGAACGTAAAAGTCTCATTGTGTTCTATCTACTTCGACTTCGACTTCGACTTCGACTTTGCCTTGGCATCTTTCGACTTGATTTCCAGCTTGGCCCGCATCTCCAGAGAGACTTGTTGGCCGGCCGTGCCTCTTGGCGCCCATTCACTGTGCTTCCATTCACTGGCCCTCCTATCCTGGGTATTTAGGCTGCCCTAGGTGCTTTTTCCCTTCTTCCCTGTTCCTACTACCTGAATCAACACCTTTTCGTCGTCCCAGTCCAACAAGACTGCTTCAGAGTCTCGACTGCACCAGCATTTGAGAAGCTTGAAATTGGCAGCGAGGCCTTTCCCTTGTTCTTAACATCTTTGACAAGCTTCTCAAATGCTGGTGCAGCCCTTAGGCTGGCCCGGGCCGCCCTGGTACTGAATGGGCGTGGGCGTCCGCCTTTGTTGTGGCGGCGGCCACTGCGGTTGGTCGTGGTTGTCGGCATGGCGATTAGCAGGAGCATGAGAAGAGTTGGTGGAGGACATGGTTCTGGATGGGCATGGGCGTCCGCCTTTGTTGTGGCGGCTGCCACTGTTGCAGCACCTGGAGATGAAGTTAGGACTCAGGATCTCGTCACTCTTCTGACAGAAAAAAACAAGCAACAGCTTCTACTTACACGTTACCCGTGTGTACAATCACCTTCCTGATTTTCTTGTGTGCTGGATGGATGCGAAGCATCTCGGATGCTTTCACGGCTGTCAGGGTAGGCTCGGGCTGGGGCGATCCCCGCTGCTTTGCCACTCATCAAAGCAGAGTGTATAACAAACGCCTTCTTTTGGTCAGGGCCGGGTGCCGTGAGGGGGGCACACGATGACGACGACGACGACGACCTCTTCCTGTGGTTAGGATGAGCGGCGCCCTGGAGTAAAAGTGAGTACTCACAATTTCTTCACTCTTCTGACAGAATGAACAAGAGACGACTACTTACGGTCAACGATGTTGACGTATGATACGAGGGGGGTTGGATGCGGTCGTGGCAGGTGTTGTTGCCGAGGGTTTGAGAGCTGGTTTGGCTGTAGTTGGAGGCGTCTTCGAACTACCCGTCCTCCTGCCGACCGCGTTCTGGGGAATTCAGGAGGGGGAAAGCAGATGCGTGTCTCGAGGCAAGTTCGGCCCTACCGTACGAGCTTCGGACCGCCTACCTTCAACACACTCTTAGGGCTGCGTGATACACGTGTATCAAGTGATGCCGATGTGCTTGAGGAACTGGGTGATGTTTGGTTTGAGGAACTGGAGACCGAAAGTTGGGGGTGAGGGGAAAAGTTTGAGAGGTGAGAGAAGGAAGGTCGCGAGAAGATCTTCAATGGATTTTAAACCAGAGCAAGTGAAAAACAAGGTGGGGCAAGGCAGTGTACAATTCAATCTTTTGTGTGCAGAATCTGTATTGAAAGTTACGTGCAGAACTTCAAACTGCCCTAGATGCCCCAGGCAGAAACAGAACGTACTTCGGACGACGAAGCGGTGCAAGAAGAAGCGACCAAAGGATGGAAGGTAGGGAGTAACGGGAAAGACAGAAAACAGCCCAGATGCCAAAGCTCAGTGAATGGCGTATGAGCCTCATACGCCGGCACTCTAGACTCCCGTCTTCAACGGGAAGTGAAAGAGCCTCGAGGTCAGCATGACCTTGACCCCTCCCAGCGTTAAGCCCGTGCTTTATCCCATCGTGTAGGTAGACAGGTAGCCTACCTCTACCTCCCTTGAAGACCTCCTCTCAAGCAAGACCAAGGCACTCAGAAAAGCTTCCACTTAGAGGTATCCTTTGGTGTCCCCATGATCCAGTCCCTCACCAACACCCACGCACTCTTTGCCACCCATGCAACACTCTTAGCCATGCCGACTACCAGATACTTGAGGATCTTACCCATAGTAACCAAACAATCCCCAAAGAAGGACCCGACAGCATTAGCTACCTTGTGCCAGTCAACCTCCTTCAGGCCTCCAAACAAATAACTGAAAAGCATGTACACGAGAGCCACTACACAGGCAAAGGTAGTCGCGAAGATAAGGCCGAGAACAATCTGGGCGCTTGGTGAGAGATCGTCAGGAGATCCGCCTGACGAGTGACCGGAAGGTCTTGCGGAGTTGCGCTTTCTCTGGGAGTGGACATCGGAATAGTACGGGTCGTAGCTGTTGTAGCTGTTGTAGCTGTGGTGGTCGCTTCGAGCAGTGCTTTGGACAGGTCGCGAGGCGGGGTATTGTAGCTGTGGCTGAAAGAGGGAGTTAGAAAATAGAACTCAGTGAAACCTCATCAGAGGTAGAGGTAAGTATGTTCAAAAAAGAGAGGTTGTGACTAACAGTAACACTGGGTATTGTTCCGTATCCCTGGCTCCGCTTTCTCTCTGCTTCCAGATGAGCCTGAACAAGAATGTCCAGAGGAACTGGAACAGTGAACCTGTCATCGTAGACAGGAGGAATGGGCTCGCAGTAACCGGAACGTTTTACCACAATCTGGTATGAGGCATCCGTGATGGTGTAAATCTTGTTTTTGCGACGATCGTAGTTTCTCAGAAGAGAGAAGAGGATTTTCTTATGGTCCCTAGTATTTACGTAGGAGTTCTTCTTGAAGGCCGGCACGCCGTGGTCAAGCTTCAGTTGGATATTGTTGTCTGGATGGGGAGGTGACGGATCAATGGGAAGGTAAATTCCTCGTAGTTGAGTGTTGCTGTACCGATGCCTCGTTTCAAGATCCGTGCCGCCAAAGGATGTCATCTGGATTGCACATACCAAGCTTGTTAGCTTGTGGACGTCGAGTCTTGGGACATGACTGATGCATTGGAAGATTTCAAGAGTCTTGCGCAACTCACAAAAAGAATGTCAACCTTCCCATCTGCAGCAATCTTCTTCGAAAGCACAAGGACCGGGTGGTTATGGGATTCCTCGGAGAAACCAGTCGACACGCTGAGCTCATCCGCATACGGCAACCACATTATGCGTCCCGCAAGCTTCGAGCCATTTTGTCCTGGTGTCGGCGGAGTGCTTCCCCGTCGGCTTCGTTGGGAGTTACGTCTGGAAGATGGAGTGGTTGGCATGATTGCTTCGAGTTACAGTCCCCATTCAATACAACGAAAACAGGCACTCATGCCACAGTAACACATATCAAGGGTGTAATTTTCCAACACTGCAAAAAGACGGGAATTCGCTCAAGATAAACCCCCTCAACTCAGCTCACCAGCAGCAAAGGGAAGCCCAAAATGAGGGGTCGCTTCCATATGTCCGTGTCCTTAGGCAGACTGGCAGAATCCGTTTGCTTTCATGTCTTGTTCCCGTTGGTTGCATCGTGCATTTTCCTGCACTTTTTGGTCTTTGCATGTCATGTTGTACGCCCACGAATGGCTAGATGATGCGCCCGGCCGCTATAAGTGGCCATCGGCGGCCACCAGCGGGCCGTTCCCACCACACAGCCTCTCTCCAGGGACCCTGTCATGCACATAACCGCTAATCAAGCACACCAAATCTCCAATGGGAGGCCGTACCGGCGCTGCGGGAAGGTGACGAACGAAACATGTTGGCTCGAGTGGTGGACCGTCGAAGCAATGCGGGGGTGGGCGCAGAGCACGGTCAGGCTGTGACGAGGGCTCCGAATGTGTGTTGGCGTGGACTGGACTCGTAGAGGTCGAAGTTCAATCGGGACATGGATGAGAGGTGAGGAACGCCGACCGTCTTCCCCTTTCTGGTTGCTGGGGATACGGTGGGGTTGTTTACGTGGTATGATAACAGAAAGAAGTCAGCTGTTTTGTTCGCTAGTCCGACGACGGTAGCGCTGAAAATGGAGGGAGCCTTTACCTGGAAGTTGGGTGGCCTTTGTGCCGCCAGCGTCAGCCCCTGGAACAAGGACATATGAAGTCCGCTTAAGCCCGCGCTTAGCTAAAAGAGTCTCAAGGTTTATATAATTAGGTATAGGCAATACGTACATCGGGATGTGTCAAACTCGCATCCAAGCGCCGTGCCTACGTCCGATATGTCGAGAGGTCGAGAAGTCAAGGCGGATGACATGTCGTCGGGGTTCCACTTTTGACCTTATTGCTCGATTTAGCTCCCAAAACACAGCGGCTGCCCACTGTTACTGACATTGTTTTGACCCACTTTTTAACTTCTCTCCAAGTCATCCAACGTCGTCCTTCATGCTTTCATCCCACCTCAACACCAAACAAAGCACGATTCCAAACATGGACGTGAGCAGAAGCACATACTCCAATTACTTCAACACTCAAACTTTCAATTATGTACATTGACCTTCCTTCTTAACAACCCATCTATATCCCACCCCTCTCTTCAACACCCCATCCTATCCGGCAACCCCTCCTTCCCCGTCACTCTATCTCTATACGTCTTCTCCACAAACTCAAAAAATCTATCCACATCCCTCTCATTACTCGCCACCCCAAAGCTGACCCTTATCCCCCCCGCCGTCGGCAACCCCAGCACCCTCAATAACTCCTCAAAACTCAACTCCTTATCCCTCCCCTGGCCTCTCCACATCCTCCACAACGTGGGCAGCGGCAGCCTCGAAAACGACGTCCAAATATCCAACCCGAACGCCGCCTCGCCCGCACCGGGATTACAGAAACATCCCGTCCGCAGACTGATCCCCGCGGCCGCAGACTCGAACGCGACCAGTCGCTCGTCCACGTACTTCCCGCGCGCATCGAGCAAGTTGAACGCCACGCTGCCTCCGCGCATCTTGGTATCTGTTGGTCCGTAGATCTCGACCATCCGTCGACCGTCGCTGTGGCGCAGGTTTTGTAGTCTTTCCAAGAAGTAACCCGTAAGACAACGGACGCGGGTTTCGAGGATTTCCATGCCGCCTACTCCGTTTCTCTCTCCGTTGGAATCGGTGCTGTCAGGACTGGGACAAGGACTGGAGGGAGAAGAGGCAGAAGGAGGCGGAGGATTGTCCTTGGAATCCAACCAATCCAATCCCACCGTCACTTCGGGGATACTCAAAAAGTTGACGGTCCCGTCTTCGAAGGCTTCTTCCAGCCGGTCGCTGAGCTGATGCCACTTTACTCCAACAGTAACTGCCTTGACGGTACCTCCGCTGAACCAAGGCCTGCGAAGTTTGGCTAGGGCAGAGCGCTTGACGATGAGACTGCCGACGCCGGTGGGGTAGCCAAAGAGTTTGTACCATGACACGATGATGAATTCAGGTTTGATGTCCCCCGAAAGATCGAGGCGGGAGGTAGGCAGGTAAGCGGCAGCGTCAAGAAGGACGTCGTAACCTCGTGACTGAGCAAGTGGTACCCAGTGCAGGGGATGTCGGACGCCAGTGAAGTTGGATTGAGCCGGGTACGCAAACAAGCCATTTCGTCTTTCCCCTCCTTCTTTTCTCTCCTCTGTCTTTCCCGTCGACTGATGTTGGTGATTTTGATATTGTTGCTTCTCGGACATCGGCAATGCTATCCGCCCCACTGGATCAGGAGCAGAAGACAAATGCCCAAGACACCCCTTAACTGGCACAGTCACCACCTTTCTCACTTTCCCCATCACTCCGGCATATCTTGTGGGCAGCTTCTCGATAACATCGTGCTCTTTGATCCTCATATCAGTCCCACTAATCCCGACATATTCCACTTTCGCCCCCTTCCTCTTCGCAAACTCCCTCATCCCATTGACACTGTTATGATTATCCGCACTTAACACCAGCCTCCCGCCCCTTTTGTACTGATATCCCTCTCCGACCAACCTCGCGGCGCCCGTGGCGTTCGGGGTGAAGATAACCGCATATTCTTCGGGGTCCGCGTCGAAGTGCTTCAGGATCCTTTTGCGGGTTTGCTCGACCGCGATGGTGGCGGCTTCCGAAGTCGGGTTGACGGAGTGGGGGTTGCCGTAAAGGGTGGAGGCGAGCCGGGCTTCATGGGCGGCTAGCTGGAAGGAGGAGCAAAGGCCGGAGCCGGTGTAGTCAAGGTAGGTGTGGGATTGGGCGTCCAGGTAGGAGTAGGCGGTTGAGCGGAGGTGGTCCAGGCGGGTGGTGGTGCGGTATTCGGGGTAGAGGCTCGTGATGGAGGGGGTTGAGTCTGAGGACATTTCGATGGTGGGTGTTTTGTTGATAGTTTGGACTTGGTATGTAGGTGGCGTTGGGGTCGCTGTAAGCTGCCTAGAAGTAAAGAGAGGTGACATGAATAGAGGCAAGGAGTCCTTTTTGTTTGTTCCTGCAGATGAATGGAAGCTGATATAAGACGGGAAGGATGACTCGAGCAAGTCCGACTCTGTGCCTGAAGGAAGATGACAGACAGACAGATCTAATGGGCCACAACTTGTGTTGACAGGAAGGGGCCGAAGACAAGTTCGATGTGAAGCCTTCATTGATAGGTAATCCACTGGAGGTCCCCGATAACGAGGATTGTATCCAATCTCACTTGGTGTGTCGAAGAGTCTCAGTTGTATTGCTGACCACCCACCCACCGGGGCCAATATTACCTAACGACTCGCGGATGTGTTGCAGTGTCCCCAACGGCCCGGAAAGATACTCCGAGTATTCTGTGTCTTCCGTCATAAACGCCTCCCTCATGACATGCATGCCTCTATGCATGCCTTGTCGTCGATGCCGATCCAAGTGTGCTATCTCTTTTCCCTTCAGGTCTCCCCACTCGCGTGTCTCTGCCTTCCTGTTGCTGCTATCCGCTCACACACTTGTCTTAGTTCCGTGTCTGGTGGGAGTCTCGATGCTAGGAAATCTACACTAGCGTGGTAGTTGGCTGAGGCGTATCGGAGCGTGAGATCCGCTGATCACTGTGATGAGAACTATGACGGTAAGGGTCACGTTCGGACTATCAACCAGTGAGACAGCGTGCTTTCCTCGTGGATGTTGGGCGTACACAGGATACCATGTAGATCTGCTCTGCCTCCACGATGCATGTATTGCATGTAAAGCTGGCAGCTGGGTGATAACGACGAGACCTTCCGGGCGACTGAACGGCAAGATAATGGCTTTGAGCCGGCTGTGATGTTCTTGATGGGACATGATTGGTATTGTAGTCAACGATAACCAATATCTGCAGGCATGTCAACGACTTTCGGGTGTGGCTTGGTGTCGCCCTGAATCCTGTGTTCCGGAATTCTCGGACTTTGTCGTTCCCCTCGAGCGTCCTTGACAGTGAAAGCTCGCGAGGCTTGTCGTCTCCTTTCACGATATGGAACCTTTGTTTCGAGCTCTTATCACAGTATCACCAGGCTCGCACTGGCTGTTAGGTTGCTTTTGTTAGCCTAAAGACAAAGACATCCGTCTTGGGGATTACCATACTGTTGGTGCAGAGACAGCAAGTGACTTGCAAGTCGCTTACACACACATAGGGCATAGTGTGGAATGTCGATTGGTCGATCAGTCCAGCATTGTTTTTTGCCTTGGAAGGTTAGCGTTAAGATTTGAGCCGGCCAGCATGCATCATTGGGGTCCAGGGCCATGCCCAGATGGGGATAGCGTTGTCCTGACCGCGAGCGAGTGCCAAGTGCATGTAGTGTACAAGATATTGATTGACAAGATTGACAATACAACAGCCAACCAGCGGCCAGCCGCCTATGTTCCATGATGGGATGATAGTCGTCGGCTGTGGTTTAAGCAATAAAGTCCTAGCTGAGCCCTATCATTCATGATGATCTTTATCGCGGGCCGTGATCGCCAGCAAGCGAGATAGAAACTCCACAGAGAAAATCGGAGGGTTGCAAATGCGTGTCGCAGTAAGGTACACTATGTCTAGTGTACAACTACATGCAGAAGGGCTGAACGGCAATCTGAATGGGGCTTGCACCTGGCTGCTGCAACGCTGACTTTGTGGCTGTTCTCGGAGACCACTTTCAGTAACTCCAGTGGTGCGCCATCGTATGAGCGTGCTCGCTCCCTTTGAGTCGTTCACGTTGTCTTTCCTTTGCCGAAGCAACGGTATTATCTCTTCGCATTGTTGTCATGGTCCTTGTGCCTCGTCGATCTTTGAATCTCAAAAGAAATAGGAAAGACCAAAAACTTTCCAAGGCACCAGTAATAAAGGATCGCATGATGTTTGCTCTTTCGGCTTTCCTTTGCGAGATGACCTTCATCTTATCGATCTCCCAAACTCCGGTTGGTCTCTCGAGGATCGATTGCGATCAAACTTGTCCGTTTCGGTGGGACAGTGCGCCGAAAAGTCCAGTCATACTGACTGCACCGGTGTTCTTTTCTTCTTTTGCTTGTCTCTTTCTTCTTTGGGCCGGCCGTTTGCAAATGAAGATGATCGGACTTGGTATGCAAGCCACACTTGGAACATATGATCGGAGTGAGAACAATTACCCAATCAGCGAGGCGACGAAACAACGCCCTTGCAAAGCTGCATCCGAGTCAAAGATTTGTGTCAGGTACCTGAATCGTCGGAAGGCTTGGAGTTTTTAGTCGTCGGACAACTGGTCTCTGCCTTGTCATCCATTGCCATGTCTAGCACTTGAGGAAATCCAGGACAGTTTCCCAGACTCGGGATCAATTCACGAGAAGTCGGAGAAGAGACGCCGCGGGAATCTGTTTGCTCAGTAACAACACCGATATGCAGTGTCAATGGTAGCTGCCTGTCGTGAAACGCCACACATGTTCGGGCAGAACAATTCCCTGGTCTGACCGTAATCCGACAGCCTGGTTGACAAGAACCTGGCTTCCGCAACCATGCAGAAAGGGGGCTCAATAATGTCCTGTATGAGTACGGCGCGGAGGCACAATCGAGAGAGCCGAAGGAAACGTGGAATCTTCATGATTCCGGTTGCCGACCTCACTAAGGGCATGCACGTTTGCTGCGCCGCACTGCTCCGCGACATGTTGATACTACCGGGAGCGGTCCGGTATCTCGGGAATCCGGGGCGGCTTTGCGTAGGTGATGGTTCGAACGGAGGATTTCGGTTGCCAGTCAATGAATAAACGATAAGTCCCAAGTTGTCTTCAAGATGCCATCTTGATGCTCGCTTAAAGTTCATGTTAAGACATCCTTCGCATTCGACGTTTGTGCTCGCCCACCGTTGCAGTGTTCAGAAACCTTAACCACCCGCTACCACCAAAGCACACAGAGCCTCGTCGAATCTGGAAATATGCAGCAAAGACGTTACCTCCGAAAGTGTGAGATTGCTTATCCATCGGGTCAGCATCCCGTGTTCCCCCACCTTGTGTTCCGTTGTAGGCATCCTTCTCTTCGTCTTCCAGAACAGGCAGCCGACGAATGGCTCTCAGCTTGCACAAGGCCCAACGGGATGACCTACTTACGCGCATGGCGCATATTCGTCTCACGCACTGTGACCGGCGACCTTTGGTTCCGAGGTGCGTACAAGCTAAGATTGCACTTTGAGAACTTCCCAAACCCGTAATGGTGGTAAGCAGGGCTTTCAACCATCATGACTTCCATCCCACCATGCGAACGATAACATGGAAAGTTGGATGGATGGATCATCAACCTAGAAACCATGTGCGCGCCGCTCGTGGTCAACTGGTTGCGACCTCACCAAGTGCTTGCGCCGCCTGCGCGGCTGACGTGCATTGGGGAGGGGAAGGATGTAACGGATATAGTGCTTGGAAGATATCGCTATAGAAGCACCTGTATACCTTTTGTGCACCACCTTATTTGGACTTCACGTTGCATTCCGGGCGATCTTGAAAGAAAGTGCGACGATTCGACTTGGGCATCCGGTTAGCGATGTCGGTTGTCAGTCAGCATGTTATCATCCGCTCTAGCGCCTGACGAGAGACAACACTGTAATCGTGGTAGCCGATGTGCTCGAGTTGGGCATATCTCGAAGAGGTTGTTCAGCAACAGTAGGTATAATCGCTCGCCTCAGTTGAAGTGGCTTGTTGCCGGATATACCCCGTTTTTCCCACCTCCTCAACATGGCCTCATCGTTGCGGTGTGAGAGCGTAGTAGTCGTTGCATTTGGGGGCTGAAGAGTCGTCGGTACCAAGAAACAGAGAGCCCAAAGCGGTTGTTCCCGTTGAACCGGATCGTTGCGAGCAATGGAAAGCAAACAGAGCCTGACTGCCGCATGTGGTAAAGAGTTCGTGATACTGTAGCAAAGCACAAGGTCAGTACCATATCTGGTCAAAACAAGCGAGCTTGTGTGGTAGGCGTCAGGTAAGCAGCCACGATATCTGAACCCTTCCCCAGGTCACCTCTTGACTCTGCCCTTCTTCCGTCTACCCTCAATTCATCCCAGGCCCCGAGATCGGTATTCCAATGGGCTCCTGGTGGCTCTGGGAATGGGCTGACAGGGCGTTCATCTTGGTGACAGGCGTTGAGGAGGAAGCAAACATTGACAAACGACACACGGCCGGCAATGCTTACCTAACATGGAAGGTTCAGCCATCAACATATGTTGGTTTGCTTCTATTCCGGACGTGTTCCCCAAAGGGGACCGTTCATTGCCCGGCAATTTGCATCGTGGGGGCGCAGAACGTGGCTTTGTTCCTTTCGTGTTCTAGTGGTCGTTGACGACAACGGACGTGCAGTCTTGACGGTGTGCAAAAGCCAGATGATGAAGAGAAAGGCGAAGAAGGAGAAAAGGAGCAAAAACGAACGTTCCAGCCACAGACCGCAGTCCGCATCAATCCCAGGAACAGTGGAACCCGGACCTGCATGGGGCCCTGTACATTGTTAAGTAACGTTCAAAATGCTCCAGGGGTGCACTAACAATTTCGAGACCTCACTGTCGTCGAGGCCAATGCAATGCAGTGACATCATCGCATCTCCGCCGGGCCCTCGCGGGACATCGACATCATCATTAGCAAAACACCACATCGACCACCTTTGGACCACAGCAGCACCAACTCCGCAACAGAAGGCATGAGAAGATAGTGGAAACAGGGTACACGATTCGATTCACTATGACGACTTTTTGACAACCAGCTTTTGAGGTTTCTTTTTGTACGATAGCTTTAGTAGTGGTTATAAACACAACAATCTGAATTTCCTACCTCTACAGTCCCAACTTCTTCTGTCCCATCTTTTGCCAAGACATCACCATTCCCTTCAATCACCACCATCAGTACAACAAGTCAGCCACAATGTTCGCCCTCTTCCGCGGCCACCCCAACAAAGACCTCGCCGACCTCGCCGAGCACCACCTGCAACATGATCTCCAGCCCGAAGACCGCGAACGCCTGCGCAAAGCCGCCTCCAAAGTCTCGACGCACACCACGATCGGCACTTTTCTAGGCCTTGGTCTCGGCATCGCCTTGGCCTGGCGCATCCGGCAGAACCGCCAGCAACTGTTCAACGCGTTCAAAATGATGGCCAAGCCGGTGGAAGTAGTATTTGCCAACGGTCGGAGGGGCAAGTTCTTTTTCTCTCCCTTCTCTCTCAGAACTTTTCTCAGTTCGTTGCTAACATACCTACCTACGCGAAATAGAACCAGTCCCAGACCTAGAACCCCTCCTCCGCCCTACGCGCTGGGGTGACATCGCCACTTACACCGTCTTTGGCATCGGGTGCTCGATGCTCGGCGGCGAGACCGGCTTGCTGACCGGGTCGGCAGCAGCGACTCGCACCATCACCCGCGACCCCGAGTCCCGGAAGCGCATCGAGGATGCCTTTCGCTTGTTCCAGATCGATGTGCTGAAGCGCCAGCTGGAGATGCTCGAGCGGGAGGTCAAGGAGAGGGGCGGCGCGGCGGGGAGAAAGGAGACGGACTCGGAGTTTGCTTCTAGCTGGGAGAAGTTGAAGGATCAGGCGGGCGGGATGGTGAGCACCTTGAAGCCTTCCGAGTGATCGATTCTAGGTATGTTTCGAGTGAGCGAGAGGGATGGCTTGGGTGGTTTGCATGGTTTGCATGGATTGGAGTCTGGGAATAATGGGTTATTTGTTTCTTCCGTTCTTGTTGATATTTCTGCTTTGCACAGTCTCATTCATTCATGGGTGTTATATAAATGGTCTGGATATACATTTTACTTGTTTTGATGCTGATAATTATCTGTTGGAATGTTCCAAGTGATCATCTTGTACAGTGGTGAAGATGAGCATCTGACTTGTGGACTTGACTTTTTTGGCTTGAATATTGTCATGGGTGGTCCAGTCGATGATGTTGACCACAACATCGCGTGCCGTAATCTTTGCTCTTGCGACCGTCGTTCACGAATGCCATCAAAACCGTCTCAGCCTAGCTCAATTCCAACTACAACGGCGATCGCCTTTCGAAAACTCGTGGTCCTCGTAAAAACGGCCTTCTCATTCCAGCCAACGACTCAGACACCCGGGTAACTGACAACCGCCGTCAACCCCGAAAATGCGATCGCCGAGGCACAGGACCGAAGCTAGGTTCAAGTACTCGTCATCCACCGCAAGCCAATGGAGGAAAAACAATCGATATCATCTGATTGAAGACCGATACTCATCAGTGCTCGAATCGTCTGTTTGGCCTTTGACGTATACAACTGTTCAAAATTGCCCGATTCTCGTCTTCCATCCCATCTCCTAGTAACCAAAAACACCATTAGTACCGTTGCCAGAACCCATCAAGACCCGCAACATTCTAATAATCAAATCGACAAAGAGTACTCTCTGAGTGCGGAAAGCTGCCCAGACGCAGCAAATCTCGTGTACCACTCATCTTTGCATCCTGGTACAACACAAGTATCATGAAATTGCTGCATTGCATTGCATTGCATCAGCTGTCTCGTGCATAGAGGCATGCCCACCAAACATTGAAGTTGACCTTAAAACCAAAACAACAAAAAGCAAAGCAGAAAGAAAAGCAAAAAAAAGAACCCCATACCGCGTCCGGTAATGGGGTGAAGGAGAGGTGTTCTCAGCGTTATTGACGCAGGTAGTTAAAGCGATGGATTGAAAAACTGCATCGGCAGCGGAAGCGGGCAGAACTGTCGTCGGACAGCCTGTGAAAAGTGGTGTCTGGAACAAAGCATCGCAGACAAAGAAATGCGTGTGCATCAAATGGCCCTTAACTGAGGGTCGAACTCATAACCTCCTACCCCCGAGAGGTGTTCGCCGCTCACATCGGAACCACTGAGCCAAATAGGTTGCTCATAACCTGTCAAAGACTGTGTGCGCAGGGAAGCGCCTCATTGTTGGAACGAGGAGTCTGGCTTGGGCCTTATATACTCCACCACATAAAAGCACAAGATCCATGTCCACCAAGCGTGACTAAAGGGTCCGTGTACGGACTTGGGAGAAACTCAAAGGCAACTTTTCAATTGGGTATGTACTACTTTTCGGTATCACCCCAAACCCAACCGGCTAGCATAACATCATCATAGCCGGTAACTTGAACCCCCCCGGAACACCGTGAACCAACCTGCTTGTATACGTCCAAGTATCGGCAAAGCCGACACGCCATGGAACCAGTCTCAATGGCCGGAAACCACCACAAACACGAACGGAATCAAGCAGTGTACTCATCAAATCATTCCATTTTCATTATTCCTCAATTCCCATTTAGACGGTGCCGGCGGCGTTGAAGTCCTTGAGGGCCTCCTCGACGCGGGCCTTCATGGTCTTCTCACCCTCGCGGATCCAGACACGGGGGTCGTACTTCTTCTTGTTGGGCTTGTTGGGGCCCTCAGGGTTGCCGACCTGGCTCCTGAGGTAGTCGATGTTGTTGAGGATGTAGTCACGGATACCGACGAGGTAGCTCCACTGGAGATCAGTGTCGACGTTGACCTTGACGACACCGTTCGAGATGGCCTCACGGTACTCCTCCTTGGAGGAGCCGGAGCCACCGTGGAAAACGAAGAAGACGGGCTTCTTGTCCTTGCCACCGAGCTTCTCGGAGACGTAAGCCTGGTGCTTGCCAAGGAGCTCGGGGTGGAGCTTGACGTTGCCAGGAGCGTAGACACCGTGAACGTTGCTGTCATCTCGTTAGTTCTAATGAACCGAAAGCAAGGGGTAGAGTTCAGCCTTACCCGAAGCCAGCGGCAATGGAGAAGTAGGGGGAAATGGGGCGGAAAGCCTCCTCGATCTGCCAGATGTCCTCGGGCTGAGTGTAGAGAGAAGCGTTGTCAACCTCGGAGTTGTCAACACCGTCCTCCTCGCCACCCTGTTTGCAAGTGTTAGCTTTCTGTTTCCTTTTGGAGCAAGCGCATGACATTGACGTACGGTGATACCGATCTCCATCTCGAGCCACTGCTTCATGGGCGCCATGCGCTTAAGGTACTTGACGCAGGTGGAGATGTTCTCCTCAACGCTCTCCTCTGTAATTGCACGTCAGTAAGCTGGGGCATTGGTGGGAGCGGTCGCATTTGTCGGGGGCAGACTTACCAGAGAGATCGATCATGTGAGAAGAGAAGAGGGGCACGCCGTTGGCCTTGAAGAACTTCTCGTCCTCCTCGAGCATGCCATCGAGCCAAGGGAGAAGCTTCTTGGCGCAGTGGTCGGTGTGGACTAGGACCATGTCAGCATCTTGAAGGCAAGTTGAACCGAGAATGACAAGCTAAGCTACTTACGGACAACGGGAATGCCGTAGATGGGGGCAATGGAGCGGATGTAGTGAGCGGCGGCAATGGCACCGGCGACGGAAGCCTCGCGCTTCTCAGCAGAGTCCTTGATGCCCTTGCCGGCGAAGAAGGCAGCACCACCCTGGGAAGTCTGGAGGATGATGGGAGCCTTCTGGTCGCGAGCAGCCTCGAGGGCAGCGACGGCAGTGCTAGAGGAGGTGACGTTGCAGGCAGGGATAGCAAACTGCTTCTCGCGAGCGTACTGGAAAAGCTTCAGGACGTCATCACCTAGAGGTAAGAAAAAGGTCAGATTTTGTTTATGTTCCGGTATCGGGCAGCGCATCTGCTTGGCCAAATCGTACCGTAGAGGACGCCAGCGGGAAGGTTGAGCTCCTGTTGAGGGTATCACCGTTAGATCAGCTGCGCTTCGAAGCTACCAATTGCCAGGTTGAGAGGAGGCGGAAACTTACATCGAAGATACCCATTTTGACTGTTGTTTTTGGTTATGAAGTTGCGTGACGCGGGGTAGCTGTTAATGTGAAAAGGTGGAAATAAGTATAAGAACGCTTTCCAGGATAGCAGGTTGAGGGTATCACAAACAAGAATGAAGAGGATGAAAAGAGGAAGACGGGACAGAACTGGAAGCACTCACGGTTTTGCAGACTGCGGGAATTTGTATGACGAAGGGTTGATGTCCTGCTCAGGAGATTTGGGAAGAGGAGACGGAGAAGAGAGAAACTGCAAGAGGGTCGACAGTCACGCCCAACAATCCCGTCAGTGGTTCAAGGACGAGGAAGGAAGTGGAGGGATCGTAGGTCAGCCAGCGGGGCGGCCGAGCATAGCACCGACGCTCTAGCCGCGGTTTCATTGGCCAGGACACCCAAACAGAGCAAGAGCTGCGTTGTGCCCCTCACTAGTGGTCCAAGGTGGGGGGTTGACGACGAGCATTGAGCAGGGAGCTGTCTCCAAAATGACAGACCACTTGCAGCAACCCGCAGCCCAGACCCTCCAAAGAGTGGACTGCGCCAAGCGGCCGTCTTCCCGACGCTTGCTTGTCAGTGTCGCGTCACTGCTTTGGTCGGGGTTCTTGTCCGGGGGTCCCTCTTGCCATCCGCAGCCAGGTGGTTCCACTGTCACGGCTTGAGCATTGCCGGACCGTCACATTCATTTCATCAAGGGCAGTCTTGGCCGTCGTCACCTCACAATGGCAGACTTTCTTCAAGCCAGTGTCGTCATCCCGTGTTTTCGACATTGGATCATATTATCGATGTTGCTCGCTGTCTGGTTGGCGGCGTGTTTGGAGCTTCAACTTTATCCTGACAACGAATCAAAAGACCGCCAATTCAACCCGTCGAAAGACTTCACACCTCCCCTTTCCGTTCTTTCACTGGCTACTACTCCATATCCATCTCCAGAACTGAGGAGACCATATGCCATGCAGCCTCCTTTCGGAAGGTTGGACAACAGACAAAACCCTTGCCCTCAGGTCTCGTGCCCGTCAATTGTGTCTCGACTTCGCCGAATTTGTCGTGGTTTGGATTGTTGGAGAACGTGAAATGGAAAAGATCGGAATCCGGGGTTCAGGATCGCGATGAATGACCTCGGTCCGACATGACACCACCTCACCGCTCAATATCGGCGACACTCATCGTGATGATGGTTTCCAGGATGACTACGGCTTTGGCGTATATGATATAAAGCCGGACCCTCGTTGTCACCCTTGGCCACCAATACTATTACGGGGGCATCACAGCAAGCGAGACACGTAGGTAGGTAGGTAAAGGAAGGTATTGACAATCGCGGTACTCGGACACGCTACTTTCTGTGATAGACAGTCAATCATCAGGGCGTCTTGACCGACTTGACAGACATCACTGACACGGGCTGTTGAACTGAACAATGACTCGACCGATGACCTCATTGGGAGCCACTCTGGATTGCATCTCCCCATTGCGAGACCCTGTCGAGGGCCTCGAGAACCCCAGGGTTCCCAGGGGAACCTTTCGATTGGAATTTACCCCTGGATTGGGTTTCTTCGGGTTCCATTCTCCCGTCTCTTCCCGGGACGTATTGTTTCTTCATCCAGCTCACGGAACGGAACCGTTATCGCCAAGACCCGGGACTCCCCGGATCCAGACCCGCTTGCCCCGCATTCTTCCCCCAAGTTCCCGTCCGGGCTGCCGAAGCAACGAACTGAATGAGCCGCGTGAACAAGCATCCGGGGATTGCATTGTCGAGCCGGCAGTATCTTTGAATGCAATATGATCCCTGTGGCTGGTTATTCTGTTGTTGCCATGTGTTGGTGCTCTGCCACAAGGCTGTAGCTGCAAGCTCAGTGACCGGCACCTCGGTTACAAGGCTGATCCTCTTAGCCGGCAGGGACTTTTCCCGGCTTCCCCCATTGGTTCCCCTTTGTTCATCCTTCTCAATGTAGCAGCTCTTTCTACTTTCTTGCGTGAAAAAGTTGACCGCACCGACCCAATGCTTCTCCTAACCTGTGGTACTTGCAAGAACTACGACCTTCTTATCCCATCTGCGCGCCTCAATACCATGAAGTCACGGGCATACATCCGTCCTAAACAGTCTATTTCCCGCACCTCACCTTTGCTACCCAGGCTTCTCTTAACACAGAACTCGCTGGACACCTTTGACGGATGTCGTAAAGTTGGTTGTCACTCGGGAAGCCCATCCCACCGCCCACCTCTCGTCATGGAAGTGCAAGCTTGAACTGGCCAAAGAAACACTGGAAGTCACCGAGAAAATCATCAGACTTCCGAATTCACAAGCACATCTTACCAGCAACAGCTAGAATCAAGCAGATGTGCAAAAATTATTTCAATTATTCGTCGTATCGCAAACCGGCAAGCCCGACCTCTACTTACGGCCAGCAAAACCAGTGAACGGCTCAAGGAACAGAATCTTGATAGGAGCAGCGAAGAGATCCTCCTTCGTGGCAGTCTCGATCAACCAACCGAACTTGGGGCTCTCCTTGTGAGCGTTGAAGGCAGCCTCGTCGGCGTAGCTGCGGACAGTGTAGTGTATATGTTAGCCACGGTTACCTACTACCAGACATGAGATGAAAGAGAGAGAGAGATCACAACAACTTACATCTCCTGAAGGACGATAATAGGCTTGTCGTCCTCCTTCGAGGTAGACCAGTGGTACTGGAGCGTGTTGGGCTCGTTGGCCTCAACCCAGGCGGAAATCTCCTTGCCGAGTTCCTTGACCTGTGAAGGGGGAAGAAGGGTGTTAGTACGTAAGACGGGTATTTGTCAGGGGATGTCGCCATGATTCCGGGAAAGACGCGGTATGAGTTTAAATCATGCTAGGTGTGGAATGTTGAAACACGTGGGAGACAAGGGCCGATTGTTGATGGTAAGTTGCAGACACAGTGAGGTCGGATGGACCGGATGTTGGCGGTAGAGAGGTAGAGTTTCTCAGTCGGCCCTTCTCGAGGTTTGAAATTCGTTTGGCAGTCGCAACTGCTCCCCTCAACGGGAGGAGCGGTGAAGGACCACAAAGAAAAAAAGTTGACGATATCATTGCACCTCAGGTCCAGTCGACAGCGGGGAAGCTCCGTTCAGCGGGGTAGTTCAGCATTTCAGGAACCAACTTACGCGCTCAAGCTTGCCCTCCTTGGGGTAAACGACGGCAACGAGGTTGAAAGTCATTTTGGCTGTTGATGTGAAGGAACTGTTCGTTATAGATGTGATGAGATGGTTCGGTGTATGGGACGAGGTTGGTGGTGAGATCGATGGAGTGCAGTGAGGTGATGACACCAGAACGGCAAGATGGACGGCGGGAACAGCGGAGTCTTAAGCACGAGGAGAGCCACCTGGGTAAGGTGGAGAGAAGCGAACCGAGGCCCACATTATTAATCCACCCATTCTCGCCATTGTAGTGTAAATGACGGCGACGACGACTTTGTTGTTGAGTCTGCCGTTGGAATTTGTAATCTCTGGGTAGGAACGAACCTCGAAAAGGATTGGTAAGGATTCTATATCACACTCTGACACTGCGCATGAGATGCTTCCAAACGGACATGATATTGCCCGATGAAGATGTTGGATTGCTCACCTAATCCCACCGGCTCAACCGGTCAAGCACAACAACCCCAACAGTAACGCCGGCAGGCATCCGACGATCGGATGTCAGGGCATTGCGGGACTCCTAGTGCCTTATCAGCTTATCTAAATACACTAAAGTGGAAAGCTTCAAGCAGAGCTCACCCTGCAAACCCCACTTTCCACGCCTGCCCCAACACTTATTTACCACAACAACAACAACAACAACAACAACCACTAGTCACTTTGGCGGAGTAGTTAGGTATTGTGCCGCCCGGCTAATCGCAAGAAAGTAAGAAAGGTACCCCAAAACTTAGCAGTTGTTCCTAGCACGAAGGTTAGGTAATTTGGTCTGATGATCAGAATGGAATCCGAGTCACCTAGTCAGCTTGTTCGGGCATTTCTACATCTGGTAATTTATATGCACTGTGTGGTAGGGGAGGCCCAACCCTTATTCGCAAATGTCAGTTTATCCGTCGTTGATGTGCTTACGGTTTAGAGCCAGGCATTTCAATTTCCCTACTCAACTTGTAGTGTCTCTTCACATACAACTGAAGTTCGGGTATCAACCTTTCATCTCACCCATCTGGATGCACGCCACCAAACAGTTCATACCTTATTGTATCAAGCCAGTTGAACGACTTGGTCCGCACGACACACACAATGAGTCTCCTTCCTTACACCTAGTCTCCTCGCCGCGATCCAGCCGGCGCCAAGCCGCATTGGAACACAGGCAATGGCTCAAACAACTCGCTTGCGAATCCTTCCTGCTGCTTGCCCAAGTCACCCAGCGCGCGTCTGCTGCTGATAAACCATTGAGTGGATGTGGGTTCCGTGAGCAGCGATGCCTGCTTGTCCAGGCGGCTAGGTCATGCTCCCACGTCCATCTGTCATCGGTTGGGCACTTCTTGATGACGCGGAACATCATGATGTCAAATTTTCATCTTGAGGCAGAATGTCACTTCTTTTGACGTCGCCTGCCTCGCTCCTTGCCCTCCTCATCTCGTCCTCATGGAAGGTACCTAGGTATGCTGAAAAGTTCGCCGGTGGCAAGAAGGGAACACAGTTAGGAAGGCTAAAGACCGAAATCGATCCTGGGGGGGGAAGTGAGGACGACCTGGGCGACAAAGACGCATTCATTGTGCTTTTCGTTTTTGATGGCCGTCCATCTGCTGCTGATGTAAGTGAATGTCGAGTAGAGAAGTTGAAACCAGAGCTGAGGGATGGCCGCTTGTTCCTGCAACCCTGCCGCTTGTTCTTTCGAGTTGACGGTCGTGGCAGGTGTGAACGAGTGCTCGAAGCCATTTCGAAGAGCGTTGGGAAGGTGCAGTGGGGCTGACAAGCTAATTTTGAACTTGCGCAACATTCCTTGCGGCGGATTCGACATGTTTCCTTGCTCTTGCCCGTTGCAAAACACCAGTTGCCCTGAAAGTATCCTTACAAAGAGTCGTCTGTGTCTGCTAGTGTCCGATTCTCGCAGTAATGCAAAAAAGAGCGCGTCCCACGAGGCTCAGTCTCTCTGAGGTCGTGTGGCATCGTGAAACAGAAATGTTACGGTGCCGTCTTCCCACTCTTTGCCAAGTGAAAACACCTGCAAGCCAGCCTCAGGCTCCTCGCAACTCGCACTTGATCCTCCAAAATCCGTCATCGCCCGATCGAGCCAACAACAGCAAGCCTACTTGTCCGCCGCTGCAGGTGGCGCGTCATCGTGTGAACAAGCTTGGAGAGGGGCAGGTTCAACGGCACGCAGTTGTCCCAGTGCTCCAGTTTCCCCCACTTCCCCGTGCCCCAAGCCCAGGAATTTCGTCACTGACAGTTGAGCTTCTGCCCAGGTTCAAGGAGCCAGATGTCATCCGAGACGCCGAGGACTCTGCGAACGATGAAGAGAACACAGGAAGTGCATTTGACGAGTGCATGGGGGCTGTAAGATGGAACCTGAGCTACAGCTATTCCTAGTGAGTCGTTTTGCAGGCGAAAGTCGAGGGGAACACCCTATACCTTGGAAGGAGGAAGCCCTTTGCGGACAAAGGAGCATACATAACGTGAGTGCTAGTGCCTGTGGAGATTCGAGAGATCGGAGAGTTCGTTCCAGAGGCCCGCATCAAAGCCCAAGATCTCATCCACGACCTTCTTTGTTGACTCTCCACACTTTGCACTTGCGTCTTTAGAGGTACCCTCATGCTCGTCGGAGTCTATCTCGGCGTTAGCATAATGTTCATGTTCATAGGTTCCTTTGCGTTCGTCTTCTCAACAATTCGGAGAACCCTCACGATCCTCTCCGAATCGTTGTGTTTGTACTCACCACTTCTAACCCCAAAGTCCCCTTTTTTTCTCCATGTTGACTGTGTCGACGTTGTTTCTAACACACCCTCTTTTACCGGGGTTCTTGGTATTGGGATCTTCGAACATGTTGATGCTAAGAGCATAGTTCCCTCCCATGTTGGTGTCGGCGGCGTGGCCGGCGGCCTTACCAATCTGGTTGGCATGTGGAACTTTCATGTTGGCAATTGTGTCTTCTGGCCTGATTTGGGAACACTTCTGCTTGAGTCGATGGGCGAGAAAGGCGTGACGTGAGAGTTACCTATTTGAAGAGAAAAGAGGAAGGGTTGAGTTTTTTTTGCACTCACGAAAAACATCACCAGTAAGGCTGCATTTGTTTTGGTACGGTTGCGGTACAGAGGATAAGGCCGTATAGCTTTATACGACAAAGCTCGGGCCACCTTTCAGATGCGCCGTATACAGCCATTTGCACCCCCTTTATACGGCCAGTATACTACCAGTTCCATTTGGTTGATTTTTTTCTTTTAGGCGGTTTATAGGGTAAAGGCGTCGCACGAGTGCGCTGAGACCCTTAGAGCTTACAGGGCATTACAGGGTGCAGACTGCGAGTATACGGCATGTACGGCGTTTTGGGGCTGGTCTGCATTTTAGTGGTTTTGTACGGCGATGTTAAAATTGTACGGTTTTCTGGCTATATATAACCCTAACCCGATTAAGGGGGTCGCAAATTGGATTTCTGTACGGCAACCGACCAAATGATCACTATTTTGTACGGTTATCATATAGAAATGGCCGTATAAGGCCATTTATACTGCAACCGTACCAAAACAAATGCAGCCTAAAACGTGCAACCGCGGTATTTGTACTTCAGAGCCTACCACCCTTTACCACCGAGCTGTAAGGCAAGTAGAAACATGAATCTAACTACGGGTCTTACGATAATGTCCGGTGCTTTCTTGTTTATTACCATGGTTTACGTGTATCACACGCCCGGAGCCGATTCAAGTAATTAGAGGTACTGTCCATGATTCACCAGCAGGAACTTGCAGCAAGCGCAGCTCACGCGGTTATAGTAACTCCAGACCTGATCGAGAAGTTTCCTTGCATTTGCTGGGTTATGAGATGTCCAACGTCTGCTATCCACGGCAGTGGTATTGTGACAATGTTCCTACCTAACGAGGCTGGCGACAGAAACTTTGCAGTAGAGGTACTAGCAAGCAATATGGAAGAGTTGGGTGTCGTCAAGATAGAGGCCACAACGGCAGGAGATCCGGTGGTATATCAAGAACACAAACTGTAGAGCAAGGCGGCCGTACATTGCACTGCATCAATTGGGAACATGAATACCTCTATATAATAGAGTTGGATCAATCTTCGATTATTGCGAATACCGATCCTCGGGGTTCGAACATGTGCCTCCCTGGCCCATCTTAGGCCCATCTTGAATAGCTCCAGTCACCCACCCGGCTCTGTGAAACTTATCCTACTCTCGACATGCTGTTAAGTATCTTTTGGTGTTTTGATCATCCGCTTCACAAATCCTGCCCCTTTCATATCATTCATCCGATGTCGAACGACACAAACACCAGATCAAATCTCACGCCCCCATTCAATTTGATCATATCATCGATCAACATTCACAGTCAGGGAAGTAACTGTTACAGCCAAGATGAGGGAGGAACCAGAGTGTGATGCATCAGTGCCCCGATGCTCCTTCCATTTGTCTATCTCTAGGTTGTCATCAACAGGTAGTCGCAGATGTTTCTTATGGGGTTTTCTTTGCTGACACTTGTACTTGCTTGAATGGGCCAGAGACTTGGAAACCCCAAAGGGGCGAGATTGCATGGCTTCCTGATAAATTACATGCTATTAAACTTCTCGACCAGGCTGGAGAAAGGAAAAAGAGGCAGGAGTGACATACCGGTCGAAAAAAACGTGCTTATGCAGTCCAGCAGCGTTGCGCCAAATTGCCATGCATCGGTTCATGTGTTCCCGAGTCAGGGACTTCTCCTTCTCGTCAGTCACCGACTCCTAAAGAGCGACTGCACGCAGGGTGAGGGGGGTCGCCCGGTCGCACCGCTTGCCGTCATTGTGATAGCGGGAGTAGGCAGCGCCGGCCTGTAATAAGGCAAATATTGTAGGGGCGCCCATTTTTCTCGTGGGCTCGCGAGGCATTCCACCACCCGGTGTTTACCTACCTTTGAGACTCGGCAGAATGAGCTCAATTCTGAAAGAATCCACGTGAAATTCCATCCGGTGAGTACCTCTTTTCTTTCAACTGCAAATGCCACGAACCATATAGACGCTGCTAACCACCACTCACTTTGCTCTTCTAAATCTCGGCCTTTGGGGGAAGAACCGTATCTAACAAATTCAGCCCCAGCAGTCGGCGATCCCCAGAGACCCGGGAGGATCTTATGTGCCGCTACGTGGCGCTTGCCCCGGCCCCACCTCATCCAATCACCGGGAATGTTCTTTCACCAATGGGAAAGAGATGGAAAAGGGTCTGACGTAGACCTCTTCCACGACTACGAATGCCCGGCTGAATGTCTACATGTAGACCAATATTTTAGCGGTGGCACAGCTTAACGCTGGGCCGACTGCATGAACGAACTGGACGGGGCGTACGAAGGTCACCTCAAACGGACATCTTTGGCTTCAACGCAAACTCACTAGGCTGGGGTTAAACTTCCCTAACAATGCCCGAAAGGTCCTACCGGCATTGGAAGCACAAACCCTTTGGTAGCCTACCCTTCTGGTATGGTTGTGGACGGCTGCTGGCACCCACAAGCACAAGGATACCTCTCCCAGTACGGATATCCAACTCCATACCCGTATGGATATCCCTACTACTGGCCTTACGCCCATCTTGGTCAGTGGCAGGCAGCCTCCCTTTCTACGAGGCATAGGTAGTAGAACCAGGACCAGATACCCGCAATCGTAGCGTCGCATGTCCGTCAGCCGTGTAAGCGAATCGCCCCACTCCACCCCGATTAGCGCCCTGGAGGGTTCCATGTCGCCCACAGCCTGAAGTCTTGGCGACGACGCCCTGTCTTGGCGTCAACCTTGTTCTGACCTCCTTCCTTCCATCCATCCGGTGGCCATCCTTATTGCAAAACGCCCTATTCCAAGCAGCGTACTACGAAAATCCACGATATACCAGCCAGACTTCAACTCGAAGTAGTTTCTCTTGATTTTCCAGGAACGCATGGATGCCGGTTATCTCAAGGCTGACAACCTGAGTCCTGACTCCCGAGTATCCCATTTTGTCTCCCATTTTCCCCAGCGGGACCAATGATCGGTCGATTGCTTTCATCCGACACCAAAAAGAACACCTCGCGGCTTTGAATACCAACTGCCATCAATCCACACAAGCATCACGCGATTCCCAACACAACCACCGATGCGGCCGCTTCACCCGCATCAAATTACAGGAAGATACCCCTACATAGAGTATCACTAAACTCTCCTATCCACCTAACACCACCTCACCGACCATCTCCGTCGGATGCTAACTTCAATGTACTACCTACTACACATGGTGACATACACAGTCTGTGCCTATGCCGAGTGTAGACAGAGAGAGGCTGAAGAGACGCCATGTTCCACAACAGGCGGGGCCACAACATGTGGTCCGCTCGTTGACGCAGAGCTGGTAGGGAACATGGACAGCGAAACCTTTCGTTCTGTGATGGACAAACATTTAGGTACGATAGATTGAATCATCCGAAACCCTTTAATATTACTCGGCCGTGCGGCTCAACGACATAAGGATTGTATAAGAAGTTGAACTGCTTCCTTGTAAATGGGGTTCCATCGGGTACAATTAGTCCACAGGCTTTAAGCTGTTGGCACTGGCCGCAGACAGTCTAGGACAAAGATTGATATGAAAGCGCCCCTCAAGAGGAACATTTCATCAAAAGGCCAAATACCTCCAGAATGCTCGGATGCAGCCTCACCAACCTTGCTGCACAGATTAGGTGGCTGCCCAAAAGGGAGAAAATTCTCGAAGAATTCCCTGAGCAGATCCCGTCTGGTCTCGACCGCGATGCCTTTGGTCACCCAGTCCTGATTGTGACCAGGGGTATGGACGAAAAAGGCAGAGTTAGTGTTTTTCTGGTAAGGTGTATCCACCTCTAGCTTTAATCACCTCTGCATCTACACTTCCTAGAAGTATCTTTTGGTGCTTCCAGAACGTTGGTCCTTCTTAATCTGGTGCTAATCGCAAGGTATTCGCTCCCGGCATGCAGATGACATCCTTCACCAACCGAAACATCCTAGCCAAGTTCCCCTTGCCCTCCCATCGCCGCAACAGGGAGCCCTACTGGCCCATCGATCCAACACCCAAGCATCCGGATACCGGGAACCTCCTCAAGCTCAGAGATAAGAGACTCATGGACAAAGAATATTCCTATGTCAACAGCCAAACTTCATATCCCGTTTGCTACGAAATCCTTGAGCCGTATAAGTCCGAAGACCCGGAGGACGTCTGGGCTATCGAGGAGGAGTCCTACGAAAAACTCACAAAAGGGCGCGACTATGACAGGTTTCATAGTAGCTCGTGGAGAAGGGAAGAAAATAAACCGGTCTTACCACTGCCAGATCCAGTGAAAGAGAGGGAGCAGGAAGGGAAGCAAGCCTCTAAGGCTACGAGTAACGACGAGACACCTGATCTGGCGGAGGAAATTCAGGAAAAAAACCTGAGGGAGTTTTTCGAGGATATCAAGGATTTCCTACCTTGGTCCGATTATAGAAAGATTTTTGGCATGGTAGATGATCCCGATCCGTAAAATGGGAGGTGATAGGAAGGGAGGGGGCTACTGGTGTTTTGGAATTTTGGATTAATGCAAGGAAGAATTCATGGGATGTGATGATATGGGGTCTGGGGATGTTGAGAGATGAATGAAAGTGTGTTTCTGATTTTCAGTCTCACGCAGGATAAAAGCTGCGAAAAAAGGACTTCAATTTAACGATTTTTGACATGATCGAAAAGTGTCGGAGTTGATGCGTCAAACACGTAATACAAGCGGATCGTTTCGAACACCTCCGCTCTTTTCACCGCGCACCCGATCATTGTTTCTTCACAAACCTCGCGCTGTTGTTTGGGACAAAAGCAGGAATTACGGGACAAGGAACCCATTTTCCAGGACATTAATCCTTTTACTTCTTTTCTCTTCTTCACAACTGACGCAACTTTCCTCAATTTTCCACCCATACCATTAATCCACACCTCGCGATGTCTGTCGTCAACTTCCATCCTCCGATATGCTCGGTCCTTCTCCCGCGTCCCGGCTCTCGTCGCTCCTAAAATGAGAGGTCCGACCTGCACTGCATACCCGTTACCGAGAAAGCCTGCACATACATTGCGTGTGGCTGTGCAGACGGGAACAGGTGGGAACGGATAGGAGGGTTGCTACACAGGGTGACAGGAGTCCCCAGCGCCTGGGACACACAAGAGCCGCAGCGACCTCAATCCGTGAATCAATCACGACGTGGAGCTATTTATGGATATGCGGAACATAACACTGTTAACGAGAGACATGGGCACATGAAATATCTCTATCACTCGTACGAAACTGTGGGAATGTTGTTAAGGGGGATGGAATGGTATGAAAGGGTTGGGTTTGTTACCTTCCCTTGTTGATAATGGTGCATCTGGAGATGAGCATCAGAGCATGTCGATCGCAGCACTTGTGCTAGAATCTCTCCACCGCCAGCGACCTCACACCGGGAAACTACCCGCGAATAAAGGTACGCTACGAAGTCACGATGTTTCTCTTCTTACACCCATGAGCCACTGTTTTAGATGATGGTCCCCCCTTCTTGTGATGCCGCAACGTGTTTGACGACGGGATGCTCAAGAACCAAGTGCAACGCAAACACACCTATATGCGGAACCTTGAAAACCATTTTGCAAGACTTCCACCCGCAAGAGCACAAACGTGTAACTACTCACTACAGAAATTAGTGCGTGTGTAGGTCGTAGGTACCTAGTCAAAGGCTGGTGTACGCGGCTGGAGTGAATGCGGGTAATTATCAAGTCTCAAGGGTTGACAAAATGGAAACAACCTGCCTGACGTACCAAGCTGTACCTTGCGCAAAAACTATAAATCTCAAGAGGCTTATATCTCCTTCACTTACCGATCCCCAACTTACGATTTCGGACTCAAGATATAAATCTCACCCTCAGCACTATTATCACTACCCACAAACAGTCCCCGCCCCGCCGGATCCCAACTAGCAGCCGTCAGTCTGAAGCAGTTACTCATCGTCAACCCGTTCGCCGTACAGCTCCCCGGATTAGTCGCCGAAAAAATATCCGCATACCCCGTCCTGGAATCCGCCGGAGCAACCGGATCATAACTCCCATCCGCCAACCTCGTGAAGGGCACCTGCACGACCTTGAAGCCCGTGGGGGGTTGACGATTCCATGATCCGTGGAAGGTGACGTACATGTTCTTCGCCTCGTCGTCAAAGGTGTTCCAGATGGGAGCGGAGTGGGCTTGGAAGGTCAGTCGGGGGGCAATGGCCTTGCCGTTGCAGGTGGCGTCGTTGTAGGAGGAGTTCGGGGCGATGACGAAGTGTTGCCCGGTTTTGAGCCCGTTGGTGAAGGAGGAAGGGTCCCAGACTGAGAAGCAGGTTGGGTAGCCGTACCAGGCATTGCGGACGGTGCGGGGGTCGCCGACTGGATGGGAAGGGCGGGGTGTTAGTGGTTGTACACGAAAAGGGAAAAGAGAAGAGAGGGGAGGACTCACGGTTGTTGAGCTTTTCGGCTGGGTTGTTGGTGTGGATGTCCCTACGCTGACCGTTCTCGGTGCGGGCAAAGTCCTGTTGGAGGTCAGAGGAAGCTAGGAAAAGGAACCGATGGATTACTCACATCACCACTGTTCTCGACACCCCAGAAGACACCGTTTGGATCGGGGACAAAGCCGATCTCGTTCCTCAAGCCGTACCCAAACATGTCGCCCTGTGTGTTATAGTTGTACCCACCCGATGGGACCTTGTCGATGTCAAAGACCTTGATGCAAGCACGGCCATTAGACGGTTGCTGCGCAGCCATGTCGAGGTTGGAATTGCTTCCCACTTGCAACAGGACCAGGTTCGGCTGACCTGGAACAACTTTGACGGTACGAGACGAGTGCACACCCGTCGACATACCCTTGACAACGGTCTTTTGGTTGCTGACCTTGCGTGTGAGGGGATCGTACGTCCAGCTGTAGAGAGTCGTTTCCGAAGATGCGTAGAGGGTCTTGCCGTCGGGAGTCAAGTCCAAGCCGTGGTTGAGACCACCGCCGGAGATGAGCATGTTTGTGCTGTTGATGCAGCCGTCGTCACCAAAGGTGTGCACGGAAACGCCCCTGGTGTTCTGCTGGACGAGCATGTTGCCCTCGGTGTCCCATATGATGGTTCGTACTTGCTTCAAGCTGCCAGCGATCTTCATAACGGTCCAGGCGGGGTCGATAGTGTATTGGTAGCGCATGTTTGGGACTCCGCTACAGCTCTTGGGGAGTGGGAGTTTTGCGACTTCGGCATGGACATCTGTTACCAGGGTTAGCTCTCGTCATGGCGGACACACAAACGGAAACGAGCCTACCGGCACCCAGAAGGGCCGCAGCCACGGCGAGAAGATTCGATAGACGCATGATGTTTGAGTCCTCAGGATGCTGCAATCAACGAAACCCACAGAGAGACCTTGCAACCAGAAGAGAGGTAGCAGAAGAATCTGGAAAACATGGTGGACATGCGGTCCTCTTCTGTATGATCAACTCAGAAAACAAAACATAACACAGAACCCGCCAAGACGGGACGAGTCGAGTGTTTCATTTGAGAGACCGTCAAACTTTTGCAATCGTTCTCCGTTATGATTCCATCCTTGCCGTATATCACGATATGTGATCGAGTGTCGTCGATGCTGGTGGCCAACCACTTTGCCGAGATGGATACGACCCAATATCGGGCATGATAGCCTGTTCGGCAGTATGGCTCCGAGAATTCGGCAGTCGCCATTCTGTGCCGTGTGTCGTCACCCTTCTCCGTGATCTGTCTTGTAGGCTCGCGTGGAAAAATTGCGGGCAAGTTCGCCGATTGGTTGGTGAGAAGCCGCATATTAATCAAGGGTAAAACTCCGGTTTGTACCGTTCCAGAAGGCGAAATAGTTGAATCGGCGCCAGTCAATCCTCCATTTCAGGATAACAACAACGAGGAACATGTTGAATAAAAGCGATTTGCATGTAGCGGATGAAAAGAGATTTGACGTGTCCGTGATGTGAAGACCTTCCTGTGGCGCAACTAGTCCGAGGACGGCAAGAAGGTTGTGTGTTGACTTGGAAACTGCGATAGCGCTACAACGGAGTGAAGGGGGAACTGTCGATAGTTCTGTCATTGACGAAGAATGAAGAAGGGGTGAGTGGTGAATAAAGTCGCAAGAAGTTTCAGTGGCTTGCAATGGTACCTCTAGGGACTGGAAGTCTGGAACGGGTGTGAACCGACAAAGGAACAGGTACAGTCTGCATGCACTGCATGTGTGCAGCCAGCTGGCACAATGATCACTTGCATTTTGCATTGGCCGGCAACACACTTGGACCCCCCTGGAAAGAAGAGGTACCACTGTTCCTTCACAATACAAGTTGCCAGTTGCCAACTTCCAAGGGCCGTACCCTGCGTTCCTGCCTTCTTCCCTTCTGCCTTCCTTCTCCGCGATAGGAAGCCTAAGTACCCCACCAACACCGCAACCGGACCAGGCAGCAACAACGTCCAAGTACCAAATCTGCCCTGCCTTCCCTGCTGCTGTCCACCCGCCCTTTCCAGACTTACCATCCCGCACTGACCCTTCACAAGCTGGTCCCTCGGAGACTCTATGGAAAGACAAGAAGGTGCGGTTGGTATAGCGGCTAATACATTCGTCCCTCTGTGATCAACGAGCAACCCGGCTTCGGGCTCCCGGACTGCGCAAATCTCTTTTTTTTTTTTTTTTTTTTTTTTTTTTTTTTTTTTTTTTTGGCCTTTGGATTCTTGTACATCATGTTGTTCTTTTCAAGCTGTGATGTACTAGTTGTTGACTTTCAACCACTCGTCTTCATGAACCAGTCCCTTGACCTCTTCTCGCCTGTTCGTGACATTCCCCTCCAGTCCCCCGGCTTCGCTGTCCTGCTTTTGATCATGTCATCGCGGGGAGGTGCCGAGGGACACTGCTGCAGCGCAGTTCATGGCCCAGTCCGTCGCAGATGTACATCGAGGGAGTTGCATTTGAATAGGTCTGCATGCTGCGTGCAGACTCTTTGCACACGTCTGGATGGACACCGAAGAGTGCCTTTGGCAGGCCAACTCTTCCCCGGAATACCACCAAAGTTGGTGATCCATCTTTTGCTTCAGCTATCGGCGTCACTGGCAAGTGTCAAGTAACCCAAACGGTCTCCTTTAATTGAACTCACGTGCCTGTGGTAAATTTGGGTGGCCGTGGACATTTTGAGAGGACAGCAAGTGATGCTTGGATTCACTGAAAGCACTTCCCTGGGATGATTTTCGCTCACAAAATGTGATAAATAATGCACAAGCAAAGCTCCTTCCCAGGAAACTACCTATTTGATGTCTCGAAGCGAATTGAACCTGGCAGCCAACTGACTGCAAAGACCAGACTACAACACCTCAAGCAAGGAAAGTGGGTCATGAAACGGACTGGCACAAGAAGAATGATCAGAACAATTAAATATCGCGACCGGAAGCTTCTTCAAATTGTTGACGCCAGTAATACTGATGACGCCGAGGACCAATCCAGTCTGCTTATCTCGTATGTCGTTACTAAAGCAATAACTCCTTGTCAAGCATTGCTCGAAAATACAGGGGTATCCTCAACCAACGCCATGCGCCATGCCATGCATAAAAAAATCAACGCTTGGTTAAGTTTCTTCCTTTGTTGTTCCCTCAATTCCACCGAATTCCCCCAAGAAGCCAACACCCAGCCGTAGGTCGTACAGCTGAGTGAGGGCTTCTTGGGAAAGCTGATCAATGTCAGCCCTCAAATCCAGCCCGGAGCCCCCCTTTTAACCGGATCAACCACAATCTCTGCCCTCTCGGCCTTGCCCTTACCCTTCTCCTCCTTGCTTGGCCTCTTCTCCTCCTTCGAGCCTGCGGCACCGCCACCAAACATCACACCCTTCCAACCCTTCTCCTTCGTCTCCTTCCACTTGTCAGCCAGCTTCTCTCCGACTTGCGCAACTTGCTGGCCAAGCCGAGTAGTCAAGCCCTCATCGCTCCCGTCTGAGGTAGGGGTGCTAGGCGACCAGCGGCTCTGAGAGGGCGGTTCGACGTAGGCGGGCTTCTGGCTTGGACCGCCTCTGTCCTGGAACTCCGGGTGGGGAGTCGTAGTTGATGACGAGGGGCCGGGACCGCCAGCGGCGGCGGCAGGGGCAGCTTGAGCAGGAGCTGAAGCAGGAGAAGCAAAAAGGGGAGCAGGCCAGACGGTGTTGCCGCTGCTGTTGCCATTGTTGACAGCCTCATGCGAATCCTCGGAGAACCTGGACGCCACATCCTCCTGCGACGGCTTGGAGTACACAGACGAGCTCACGTTGCGGGGAGCGCGAGCAGGCGCCGGCGGAGCGAGGAGCGGGTATGAAGCTGGCACGGGCGAAGACAAGGGACTGATGGGCGCGGGCACCAGCACCCTCCCCTGATTCGGCGTAGGAGCAGGCGCAGACGCAGGAGCAATGCGAACAGTCCTCAACCTCGGGCCCCTATCCCCCTCAGCTGCCGGCACGACTTCGATGCGCATCTGGCCAGGAGCCCTTTCGTCCCCACCCGTGCCGTCTGCCGTCTCGTCCTGTTCGCCCCTGGTTTGCTTGGACTTCCCGAGAGAGGCGAGCGGTATGTTCTCGGGACGGTTAACCCGTCCGTCGCTGCCACGGACAAAATTGGTGCCCCGGTGGGCGGGGAAGCGGGTCGGCGCGGAGTAGAATTGTGCCTGCCGTTCAAGGCGGCGGCGGCGGAAGAGACAGAAGGCCAGAATGGCAATCAGCAAGAGACCAAAGATTGTGCCGCCCAGTGCGCCGGCAATGACCCCTGACTTTGGGCCTTGTGTGCCGCCGTTGGAAGCCGCGGAGCCAGTTGTCTCCTCGGGCGTAGGAGAGGCAGCGGTGTTGGTGGTGATGGTTGTGGTAGTGACGAGGGTGGTCGGCACCGGCGAAGAAGAGTGAGTGACGGAGCCGTCCTGGTGGAAAGTGATGGTCTCTGTCTCGATGGTCACAAAGACGCTGGTGGAAGTGACGATGGTGCGCGCCTTGTGGGAGGTTGCTGAGGAGGTGGTGAGCGCGGCGCGAGGAGTGATGAGGTTTTGGGGCTGGTCGATGCCAGAACCCATGGTTGAAGCTGTGGCGCGAGCCACGACGAGCTTAGAGATGGGGAGGGAGGTGTCGCTGTTGTCCTCCATTATTGTTGCTTGCCTTCTTGATTGAAGTGAAGGTGAGGTAGTTCTTTTCGCGAGGTGCTCCCACGAGAGAAACAAGGCGGCCAAAGACAAGGTAGGAAAACGTTTTACTTGCCGCTCGAAGAAAGAGATCGATCGCCAGACAAGTAAAGCTTTAGTAGAAGAGTGAATGGGCCTTGCAAAAGGGAGGCTTTTCCAGTGACGATTTTCTTGTGGTTGCAAACGCAAAGAAAAAAAGATGGGAGAAGAAAGAAAACAGGTGAGCAAAACGGCCCCAGAAATACTGCCTCAAAGATACCAAGCTTTGCCGTCAACGAAAGGGATTTTTAACCAAATGACACACGTACTGTGCGTAACGACTAATTCACCGCCCGCGAAAGCCTTTTTGTTGAGACGAGATGGGATGATTGCGATTGCGGACGCGAGTGTCCAGTCCGAGTCACGTCCGCAGGGCGGGATAATCTGCCCTCGTCTCATCTTTGGGGGCAGGCTGCCGCCGAATCACTCACCTCTCTCCTCCGGCCTCGCTCATAGCTGAATGACGTACACTCGAAGCCTTCGAGCCGTGTATAATAGTCCAGACAGGAAGGAGCGGAACCGGAAAGCTATGATCATAATTCCACCGGTCCAAGTAGGAAGACATACAAAACAAGAAGAGGGGTTGTAACGAAAAGCATGCATCAATGATTTGCAGAGATAAACCTTCAAAGAAACTGTACTTTATGTTACATGCAAGAATCAGAAAACAGTTGCCCATATTTCAAGCCATCAAAGCCCTTTTTACAATGACCACACTTAATACCTACCTTACGAGAGATAGTATGACTTGGCCTCGCACTGGTCTTTGACCATCTTGTGATGCAGCAGCTCGGCAGCCTTCTCCAGCTGCTCTACCTGCTTGTTTGTGAGAGTCTAACCGAGGAATTTGGGCTTGGTATAGAGTCCATCATCATCGTTGTAGCCTCGTAAACTGATACTGGATACCACTAGATGGAGGTGACTAGGAAAGGGCTCAGAGAACCTGCGTACAGCCTTACAACCGTCAATCTGCATCTCACTTACAGATTCGCAGCATCCTTGACTGGTCCTGGGCATAGAAGCATTGTCTTCGGGATATTAGAGGATAGTCGTGGTGAATATAGACGCGAGTGTCCAGTCCCAATCCCAGTCATTCACTACGTCCGGTTCTTTCATTTTTTAAGTATTCCCGCAACTCTGACAAGCCCCCAGATAGATTAGAATCTCTTCATCTATATTCTCCCTTGAGCCAAATACAAGAAGCACATCCAAAGACTACACTAACAAATGCTGGTGATTCAAGAGAGAAGCGAGCTCCCAACGCTATTCCAGCCAAACCAGAGAACCATGAGCCTAAGACGTGCTTGAAACAATCTCTGCTTTCGTCTCATCTCCCAGGTTGCCAGGCTAACTCAGCTATCTACCCCCACCTCGCTCATACTTGTATCTAACCTCGACGTTTCACCACGTCCCTCTTTTGAGGATATATGTATAAGTTCATGTAAACAAAAGCAGGCCGTACCCAATATAAAGAAGATCTTTGACTGAATGCTTGCGTATCCGGACTATACCTCTAGTGGATATAGAAGGTACCCAAGGAGTCGAGTCAGTAATAGCCCTGTTGATCAACTGCGTGTTTAAAGATCGGTCGGTAGGGCGGTAGGTAGGGGTAGAAGGCTGGCGGCCCCTATAATCTCCCACTACGTACTACCTTTTGGTTTTATCAACTGGAGAGAAACGTTGTTTCCAGTCGTGAGAGGTTCATTCATGTTTATAGGTGCCTTCACCTGGGTAAGTTGTTATCTCCAATGGCCTAGTCAGGGACGGGAATTACCTCTAGGTATCCTAACGTTTACCTTGATGCCTTACCTCTAGAGTTCAAAGCCATAAAAAGAGATGCTGAAAAAGGCAAGACCGGGCAGAAACAGAAAGCCAGTATGAGGGCTATCATTTCGTCTGGCCAAGTAGGAGGACTCGGGCACACAGAAATGAAAAGAGCGTGTAGGAGATCCGGGAAGGATACAACAACGATGTATTGTAGTACTAATAATAAGTTGGAGATGAGTGTACCTTTAATAATGGGTCGTGTGTTTGCATGGAATAATTCCCAGAAATTACATAAGATCCCAGCTGGACTTTGAGTATTTCCAAGAAAGAAAGTGTTGGGAGGTAACATGAAGTCAAATCTAAGAAACTGAAAAGCAGAAAGCACCAGGTGGATAAGGTGGTCTTCTCTGGAGAATTTTCAAGGCCGCAACCTCAAGACTTGGATTGTAGTGCTGGCGTATACAAAACTGAGTGTCCAGACAGGCTCCGCTTCCGTCCCGTCTCTGCCAGGTTGCCGGGTCACTCAACTCTCTGTCCAACTGCGTCGAAGAATTTTGCCCCTCTCCTATATCGGAACCGAGGGATCAAATTGCAAGACCGTACCGTATCTTTTTAATTATTATTGTAGCTCGTAACTGACGTATACCGTGTAACCTGATGCCTAGACCCAAAAAGACATACATGGACGGCAGCTTGGTGGGATAGAGGAAGGAGCAGGAATGAAGAGCCGTAAACTCAATTATAGTTGGCTGAGAAGGGGAGTAAAAGACAAGTAGGAGCACCATAATAGCAAAACAAGACGCTAGTGCAAAGGAAAATAAAAATAAAAACAAAAATAAAAATACCTACCTCTACTAAGGTACGGTCCCGCCTCTTGCCATGCCCCCTCGGCAGCGACTTGCGAGATAGTCTTTTTTTTTTTTTTTTTTTTTTTTTTTTTTTTTTTTTTTTTTGATTGTTTTTGAAATCATTCTGAGAACCATCAATAGGATCCTCTCAATAAGATCCTTCCTACAGCCAAACAACCCATCCTCCCCAGTCCTCTCCCCTTCCAGCCCCTCCTCACTCCAATATCACATCACCACCACCACCACGACCACCAACAACAACACTACCACCACAACAACACCACCACCAACAACAACAACAACAACACCACCACCAACAACAACAACACCACCACCAACAACAACACCACAACACCACCAACAACAACATCACACCACCACCACCACCATCACAACCATGGACCCCATCTCCCACCACCTCAACCACTGGGTCCGCTTCATCTCCCGCCTCGCGACCCTCTCCATCTCCATACACCAAGGCTACCACAGCGCCCGCACCACCCTCGCCAGCTTCCTCTCTCTCCTCGGCACCATCTTTCGCGCCCTCGCCAACCTCTCCGGCTCCCTCTCCAACTCCCTCTCCCACTCCAACTTGGGCCTCGGTGCCAGTCTCGGTCTCGGCAGCAGCAGCAGCAGCAGCAGACTCCAGGCGCAGGATCTCCTCCTCTTGCTCTGGGCTCTCCTCCGTCTGCTCCGCCATCATCTGCTTCGTCGTCTGCTCTGTCGTCTGGTAGGTTATTTGCCCGTGGGCTATCTGCCCGCTGACTTCGTGGGCTTCTTTGCGCGTGTGCGGCCTGCTCTTGAGCTGCCTGGTTGGCTTCGCCAACTGGCCTCTGCACCGCCGCCGCTGCCGCCGTTGCTTCCGTCTGCTGCTTCCCTGCCATTTGGGCCGCCCCCGTCTGTCCTGCCGTCTGCCCCGTCATTTGGACTACCTGGGCTGCCTGGTCTGCCAGCCAGCACGCCCTGGCATCTTGCCAACTATCGGCAAGGCGTTCCTTTGCCACCGCCGCCGTATATGCAGGGGCAGGTATATGGGCAGCCGACTGGATATTACCCTCCTCCTCCTCCTCCTCCTCCTCCTCCTGCTGCTCCTGTTCCGCCTGCTCCTTCTCTCCCGCCGTCTGTCTCGCCGTCTGCCCCGCCATCTGCACAGCTCTATGGGCAGCTCCCTGGCCCGCTAGCTCCGCGTGCTCCCTTTGCTCCGATGTCTGTTCCGGCCTCTGGCCCGCCTGCTGTGCCAGCCCAAACGCCCGGGCTTCACCAACTTCGCCAGCTCCGCCAGAAACGCCAACTCCAGCAGTCACAGTCTGGGTCTGAAAGCGGAGGAGGAGGAGGAGGAGGAGGAGGAGGTACTCCTCGTTAAGCGTTATATATGGACAGGAGGCCAACGGGAGATTCGCGGCTTGTCCCTGGCTTATGCATTAGCCAAAACGTCGCGGACAAAATGTTGTAAGTACACATTCTAATTTCCAACTGCGCGTTCGAAGAAGGTATGTAACCCGTATGTGATGTGTCTGCCGCGTCCAAGTAGGTCCTCAGCCCAGGACAGAAGCTTTTCTGTCTCGAGGACCCTTTTGGTGTGAATTAAAGGGATGTAGCTGGCCAAACAGGGAAGCAGACAACTTGAAATGAATGAAGGAGAAGCAAGAAAAAGCATCTAGATCCAAGAACCATCTATTAACACTCTTTTATGCAGATCTATAGTTGTGTAAGCAATCAGCCAGACGATCAGGAAAAAGACGAACAAAAAGAAACGAAAATAAATAAAAAAAAGGAACAACCAAAGCTCGGAGGACTTGGCCCTCTTGCCTTTCTACGCCCCCTTCGAGAACGATACAACGGCATACTTGCCATTCCACGCCCACTTTCTCGCTCCCGAATCTCCCCCTCCGCCCTCCCGTGCCCTCAACTCCTCGTCCATTCCCTTGGGCAATCCCACAACAACATCCGCCTTGCACGTCCTCAATGCCAGGACATTGATCCCCGACCCCGGCCCAAGTGGTCCAATAGCTTCTGTAAACGGCGTGGTAGGATCCCACTCGGCATCACCGACCAACTTGCGGTAGTTCAAATCGCCCTTGAACACAACCAGCTCGCTCTTGCGCAAGTCCTCCGCCAACTCCTTGGTCTGCTCGTCGGCGTTGGGATCAACGAGGCGCCAGAATGAGCCAGGGCCCGTCCAGAAGCGGTTGGCGCGCAGGCCGAGTTTGCCTTCGGCGTGAAGGACGGACCACTCCTGGAACAAGAACGACAATTCCTCCTTCTCCTTGTCGGAAAGCTTCTCGGGAGTCTTGCCCTGCAATTCCTCCTCCTCGGTAGCCGTCTCGAAGAACGGCACGGGTGCCGCCAGAGCATTCAGCAGCGCACCAAAATCCCCCGGCAAGACGTCCGAGACAAACCAAGGAATCGACTTGGCATGCAGCGTCACCCTGGTCGCCAGCCCCGCCGTCAAGAGGTATCCAGCAAGAATCAAGTCCACATACAACTCAAACCCAGCATTGTCGAGAACGATATCCACCACTCTTGCTGTCTTGCCGGCCTTCTTCGCCTCCACCAACTGCTTGTACACCTCCTCAAGATCGTTCACAAGGATGTTGGCCTCGCTCTTCTTGCGCGCTTCGGACCCTTGCAGCTTCTGGATGTCTTCGTACGAGAGGGAAGTCAGGAGCGAGAGATCGGTGGCGTTGCCCCAGAGGCAGATCTCGCACATTTCGGTAAAGAGCAACTTGTCGGCTTCTTCCGATGTCTCGCCGGTGTGGGAGCGGAGTTGGGTGATGAGGTCCTTGTAGCGGGCGGCGAGCTCGAGAACGGCGGGGCGGGAGGAGCGGAAGGTCTTGATCTTTTGGCGGGCGAAGATGTCGTAGTTCTTCCAGTGGGTGGAGAGAGCGAAGGAGGTGCTAATGCGGCTGTTTGTTGGGAAGGGTGGTTAGACACCTTATGGATGTGACATGATGTATGGGCCAGGCAGGAAAAGGGGTAGGGATGGAAAGAGAGACGCACCGGTAGAGGTAGCACTCGCTGAACAGCCAGGAGACGTTCAGCCAGGTGGGCTTGCCGAGGGACTCGAGGATCTGGTTGTAGGTGGCCACGTCGGAGACGCCATCGTCGGGAATTGGCCTGTTGCTGTCTTAGCACATCTTCTCTTCTGTGTATATGTACTAGCATTTGCATTGGGAACAACTGGGCGGACGAACGTCAGGGCGCGGTCGTGCTGGACTTCGTATTTGAGCGTGGCAAGGTCGTTGATAATCCTCTTGCCCTCCTCGCGCTTCTCAGCGTCGTCGGTTTGGCCGGTGGTACGGTAGACATCGTCAATGGCTTGGGTCTATGGCGTATATAAGTGGTGGTTAGCGGCTATTCGTTGGTGGTGTGTCGAGACAAGAAGATGGGACGAGGCTTACGATGATGATGGGCCACCGCTTCCTGGCGGTCTCGTAGGCAAATGACGTCTTGTCGCCCGTAGAGGCCGTACCTAGGAACAATGTCAGCTTTACTCATTCCTTCCTACAATTGCAATGTATAGGTATTCAGACTTACGGATCTTGGGTTCAAACTCCATCTTACAAGTCTGGTCTAACAAACAAAGCCGTCAAGGTTGCCAAGGTTGGATGTCTGCCGGGAGCGGGAGCAGGAATCGGATGGAAGCAGGACGGGAGCATGTAATTTTTTGGAGAAGGCTGTCATACCTACATAGCGGGGTAGCATTGGGCGTTTTGGCGGGCGTTGACGCCTACCAAGGTACAGGTAGCTGAGGCCCTCGGAGACGGCTGCCGAATGGGGGGCGAGGCGGGGTCTGCGTGCCGTCCTCCCACAGCGGGTCGAATGGAACCCCCCACTTTCTACGTATATGTTGCCCACCAGCCAGCCCTATAACCACACCCCTAACAGCGGGGTCTATAAGGTCCATCCAAATGACACCTCGATCAGGTCTCCGCTGTTTGTGAACCTCAATGGCCAACAACCTTGGTGATCTGCTGACAACACAAGATATCTGCCACCAGACAGACTGTCTTGTGTGTTGTCTTGGTTCATCGAGATCTCTCAAGACTGCTGGTAGGTACTACTTGCCTCTAGCATCTTAAAACGCCGTTTCAATAACAACATCACCTAAAGTGCCTGCTCATTCCAGTCCGGGATTTTTGATATTAGGTAGGTATCATTGAGGTATTTTCGCTATGTGGTATCTGTAGGGTAATGTAAAGGTATTTTGTCCTTCCAGCGCTCGTAACGTGATCTGCTCTGAAGCAGTCAAAGTGCCAATCTAGGTCGATGCCGCCTTCATGGAAATGAAACTGAAAATGCAGAAAATGGGAGATGGAAGTAAACGCAAAAAGAACTCCTTGCCAAACAGACTTGTGCATGTAAATCACTCAGATAGGTATCTTCATCTTCACCTTCATCGAAAGGAACCTTCAAACTGCGCGCAAAAAGATTGTGGATATCTAATTCCAAACGACCGACCAGATAGGAAAAAGATGATCCTTAAAACGCCCGATGCCCATGGATATACGAAATCCAAAAACTGAAAAAAGCAACCGCAGCCGCAACAACAAACAAGCAGAGATGCATATGCCATGCCCCAACAACAACAACAACAACAACAACAACAACAACAACAAGATGAGATCAAAAAACCAAACGGCAGCCCAACCACGCTGCGATCATCGCTCATAGGAAAGAACCGTAGACAGAGAAAAGAAAGAGGAAAATAGTACAGCATCCCTCGCCGCCAAAGGGAGGAGAGAGATGTGATGTTCATCGTCATGTCCATCAGCCTTCATTCATCTCCTCCTAGGCGGCAACACCCTCAATTCGTTGCAATCATCATCATCATCATCATCATCCGCAACATCGTCATGATCAATGCACGAAGAAAGTCACATGCCGCGACCAAAGAGGACGGGCACGCGCATGCTCAGTCTCCTCTTCCAGCTCTTGGACCTGGGGTTCATGCCAGGGTGGACGGCGCCGTTCAGCTCCTCGGTCTTGTCCGAGACGCCTATCTTCGACGAAACCTTTGGAGCTGATACAAGAGCGGACTCGGCGGGCTCGGCGCCGGTGCGGTCGCCGGCGGTGGACTTGGTCTCCGCATCGGCACCAACGGTCCGGGGTTCTTGGACGACACCGAATTCCGCCTTTTGGTCGTCGCTGACCGCGAAGGAGACAACGGACTTTGCGGCATCACGTAGGGCGATTGGGGATGACTCATGCTCATGCTGCGCCTCGTCCTGCCTCTCGGCGGCGGCATCGCCGAGCTGTTGCTCAGGTACATCGGAGGAGTCGACTTCATTGTCAGCAGGTGTGGTCTCAGCCTGTTGGTAGCGTGTTAGTCGTGCTTCTTGTTCTGGACAATCAGGATTCGGTTCTACCTTCTCTGTAGTCTGGGGTTCGGCATCCTCCTCAACGGCAGCCTCCTGAGAGATCTTGAGCGCATCCTCAGTGGTGGACTCGACAACCGTCTCGCCGCTCTCGGGAATGGCGGAAAGGTGGAGGTACTGGTTGGCGGCCTCGGTCTCGGCGTCGACGGCCTTGCCCTTGTCCTGCTTGGCATCCTCCTCGGACTCGGCCGAAAGCTCGGAAACGCCAGGAGCAGACTGCAGCTCCAAGAAGCTGTGCCGCTTGCTGGCCTCAGCCTCGCCAGGAGTAGTAGGCTCCCAGAAGCCAGAGTCGGCTTCCCGGTTGACGCGAGGGCGGAAAGGGAGGTCATGAGAAGCAGCGTCGAGCTCCTTGATGACGGGCTCAGTGCTGAGGGTGATGGGAAGCTCGTCACTGAGCTCCTTGCCGGAATCCTTGCGGTCACGACCGTGAAGCTCGGCCTTGGTCTCGCTCTTGGGCACAACGGCAGCGACGACCTGTGTCTCAGTCTTAGCCTCAAGGTCCGACTCAGAAGTGTCATCATCAAACAGTTCACGAACCTCGGACTCGGGGACCGTTTCGGCCTCGAGCTCAGATGGAGCCCTGTTGACCTCAACTTGAGCCTGCTCAGGCTCGGCCTCGACCTCAGGTGTGGCCTCCTCGGCGAGAGGAGACTGCTTGCGTTCGTCTTGAGAGACATCCCTTGTCCTGGAGGTGGCTCGGGAAGACTCGGCCGTGGTGATGGGGCTGGCAAGGCCCTGCTTGGGGTTGGTCATCTGCTCGCAGCAGACCTCGAGAACGATCCTGAGCAGGATCTTGTTGGGGGAAAGGATGTGGCTGAGGCGGTTCAAGAGATCGGTGCCGAGGAGGGAGCTGGCATCGTTGAGGTGGAGTCTGATACGCTTCTTGAGGTAGCCGATGAACCACTGGTCGGTATCGACAAGGCTCGGGTACGCGTCACTGGCGACCTCAAGGAGGGTGGGAAGGGCCATGCCATCGCCAAACTTCTCAATGTTACGCTCGGCAAGACGAACAAGGTCGGGGAGCTCGTAGGCACGGGCCAAGATGTAGACCTTGATGGCCGTCTTGAGCTCGACTATTTGCTTGGCCAGCTTATCGGCACCCAGAGGCTTGAGAGACTCGTACTTGTTGGTGTAGAGGTAGTGGACAATGACATGGCCAATCTCCTCGGAAACGGTTGGGAGTTCTGGGCTCTGGCTGTCGTAGGCGGCATAGAGCTTGGGGGCCTTGTTCTTGAGGACATCAAGGGCAACCACCATAGGGCTGGCGAAGGGGAGGTTGCATGCCGGGCTGGCATATGGACTGTGTGTTGTTGTTAGCATTGTGAAGGATGTGTGTGATGTGGATTGCTACACTAAGACGATAGTGTGCAATGTCCAGTGAGGGAGGGAGGTGGATGATATAAAAAAAAAAGTGAAGAGAGATGGATGAGGCTCTACTCACGAAGTCTCGGGACGGTGGTCGATGGGGACCTTTTTGGGGACCGTCGAGAGGTGACCCTGCGTCTGGGGTTGGCCAGGGAGACCGGGGGTCTTGGTGGAGCCGGACTTCTTTTTGCGAGCCATGCCGATTAATTTGGCGAGACAGAGGTCGTGAGGGGGGGTATGTAGACCGGGAGGTATGTACTGCGTATGATGCTTTGGAACTAGCGGGGGGATGAGTGACACTCTCGGAATGGACCGAACTGGATGGCGGGATCCTATTTCTCGGGAAAATAAGATAAAAACAAATAAAATCAAGGGGAAAAAAAAAAGATAATGATGCGGCTGCTGCGGCTTCGGCGGTGACGTAGAACCGGTTTGTTTACCTGGTATCTCGAGGTCACTTCCTAGCTAGTCGATGGGCCCCCTCCTTGGTATGGTTTGATGGATGGGGACCGGATGGGGAGATGGTGATCTCTAGTGTGTACAAAGCGGGTGGGGGGTTGTATCTCGTGGTCGCGATGTGAATCTTGCTGATATCAAAATAAAAATAAAAAAAGGAGTTTGCCCGAGAAGAGGATGGAGAAGCAGCTTTTATCATGGCAAAGTTCCTTATCATTTGGGATCGCCCTTTTGCGGGTTAGGCGTCAATCCCGCCCACTAACGCGTCCGCTTACTGCGAAGGACGCCCACTACGCCCACATTCAGTGCCGAACAGATCCGTATAGTCGATAGCGTGCCCAAGTAGCCTCTGGTAGTCTCTATCCCCGACTCTGGGTTGGCCCACGACAGCGGCGGCCAGCATGGGAGCGACATGTAGGGGAGCCACATTGTCTAAGCGTGCGGCCATCACTCTGTCTTGTATGGTCCTCGTCGGCCTCTCACAGGCCGCCCTGTATGCGGTATGTATATGTGATCTCTCATCTTTCATCGCTCCTTGTCGCTGCCTTGCATTACATCCGAAGGTCGAACCGCTTGCGAGCATCATGATCCCATGTTCACCACCGCCACGCACAGGAGTAGCGTATGTACCTATCTGGACCAAGATCGCCACAATGAAACGAAGGATATAAAGACGACAGCCAAAGAGAGTGAAGAGATGAGCAGACGCTATGGACTAGGTAGTCGGCCTAGGCAATGACTGGCCTCTTGTCGACGACCCGTCCGGAGCTTCGGGAGACTGGAATGACGAGAAAAGTGGGAGGAGGAGACTGGACCTACTATGGACTCATGGAGGAAAGACGGGAGTGAGTGGAAGGAGGAGGAGCACCACCAGTCCAGTCCAGTCGCTAGGTCGCTGCCTCTCGCGTCGTCGAAAAGGACTCGTTCCCTCGTCGACGGATGCACCACCGACTCTCATGAGTGGAGCAGCCTAACGCAAGCACACCAAAGCTAGGGGTGGAGCCAAGACATGGCCCAGACAGCCAATGAGAACCAGCTTGTCTTTCGAATCGGGAACCAGCCCCGCCATGGGTTCTTGACTTCTTACCAATCGTTCCCAGCAGTCAGAGAGTGAGACCCTCGCCGACGATGTTGACTGGATGCTGGGTGCAAGGGCCTCATGTACGGTCTGCTCAAGCGAGCTGCAACTGTCACTCGCTGGCGGCACCGCGTGAGCTCGAGTTTCCGTTTTGTGAGAAAAGAAAGGACCCCACGCGTGTGGCAGGCGCTACAGTATGTACCAACGCTACCTACCTCTTAGAAAGAACCCCAATTGTCAATGTCGACAGGTTTCAGAGGCAAAAAAGGCAAGAGGTAAACAGTCCAACTCCACCGCGATGTCCCATCTCGCCCGGTTATTCGCTCTTGTGAGTGCTGTCATGGGAAAGCCCTTGCAAGAACAAACTGACACTTGCAACTAACCTACCTCTAACCGGGGTTTTTGTTTACATACCTCTTTCAGTTCCGCTAACAGAACAGCCACAGGGATAGAGGGTGTCTGTTAGTTGTAAAGGCTGCTGGTCGGAAAATGGGGGCCCTCAGTCAGTCTCCAGTCAGAGTCAGGAAGTCTGTCAGACAGGGAACCGAACCGGCAGCGAGGCAAGCCTCATATGACAAGGGTCCTAGGTGCCGGGGGGGTGTCTCTGCCACGTAGACACCAACCACCGCCAGGAAATGTGCGATGAGTCGCATTTGTGCCGTTCTGGGGAGCATTGATGATCGGAGATTTGATACCGACGGGTTTTCCTGGCTGCCAAAAAAACACATGCACCCATCGACCCCTCCGTGAGTTACAGTGTTTGCATGAAAATGGGCGAAATTAGGAAGGAGGGGCAATCCACGGACGCGCACAAGAACGAGTCGGATTAAATCTGGGTGCGATGACAAGAACACTAGTTCTAGTATTCAATTATCAACGACCACCACGCAAGAAAGGTGGGTATTGGTTGTATCTCGGGCAAAGGCCAACTTCATCCCCCACGGGTACGCGTCCAGTGAGTGTCTCCAGACTACAGTACATATCTACACACTACAGTACCTTACCTATCTCACCAACGGCGACGACTCATCGGCCGCGGGCGAGATTCCATTTCCATTCTCACCACATTATCGACAATGTAACGCGCGTCTGCACGACTGGTACTGTACCACTCAACCGCATATGTAGAGGTATGTAGTATCTTATGCATACACAGATACGCCAAGCATTCGCAAGCATAATCGCCTTCCACCTTCCATTTTCCCCCTCTCAATGCCCCCCCCTCCATGTCGTTTTCCATCCATCCTAGGCCTGTCAGGACCCCGGAAGATCACAGAACAATCACCACCAACCACCGATTGTAAAAAAGCTTTTTGCGGTTTTGCAACAGGTCTTGGTACGGGTATCCCGGACAGCTCATTGACTCGCAATTGACCTCTCATTGCTCTCGCCCGCCCTCCCGGCATGGAAGGCAATATCCGATGTACGAGGCACGGAAGACGCGAAGCCATGCGAATTGAAGTTCGGCGTCTAGAGGGCGGGTGACTGAATGGTGTGTACACGAGAGGAGGGCGGCATTGGGCATTGATCTCAGGGGTCAAGACACACCGATGGCAGCCCTCCTGTGTGCAACAAGCATACCATAGAGGCAAATTAGATGGTGTGGGAGGGAGGGCGGCAATGGCGCCTCCTTGGTCAGATTGTGTGTGTCTCTGTGTGTGTGTGGCTCGAAAATGTGGCCTCGTAATACTGCCTTGTTCCAGAACTTCCGTTGCAACTCGTGACATTGTCTCTGGTGTCCAGGCGAAGCAAAACATAAGCCGAATGGTCAGACTGGGCATCCAGATCAACCAAAGAATCTGAGGCGTCGATTTTTCTCTTTTCTTATGGAAAGCGGTACATTTGGCACTGGGGCGTCTACGGTTGGACAATGGCAATCTCTCATCGACATGGCCGCCATGCATTGCGATCATGATCTTGATTGAGAGCACACAAGTGCGTGCACGCTGCTGACCCCAACGACGGCAAGCGTTCGTTCATTGATATCGCCGCAGAATAATTATTATGCCCGCCGACAAGGGTTAGGGTCCAATTGCAGGGTTAACTTTCCGCTTTCGAGCCGCTTTCCCTCTTCCAATGTTGCAGCGCTAAAAAAATGGTAGAATGCCGCCTTTCCGGGATTCTCAGACGACAAGGAACCTCGACCGGGGTTGTTGCGTGTAAGTCAGTGCTGGGGGACTGGAAGGGGAGGGGGTCGAACAACGGCACGGACAGGGGAGTTTTCTTGCTTGTGATAGTAGCAAACTACATGAAATGTTGACACCGCTTGCTGACAAGGGCGCGCGCGACATGGAGGCATTGTTGCAAATCCCTCTAGCCACCAGCCAGACGAGTGGCACACGTATTGGAGACCGTTTGCAATGATCAGCAGAGATTGAAGATGGTGAACAGCCTCAGATGATTTTTGGTGGATGGAGAATGGAAGATCAATCCAATTCCCATCAACCGATGAGAGCACGTGGAGACTTGTGAGACGCCCCCCCCCCCCCCCCCCCCCATGAAAGCCCATGACGAACGGAGGTTTTGAGAGGTTTGAAGAAAACATCCTGGTACCCTGATGGTGGCTTGGTATTTTGGACCGACCGACGGCTTTAGCAGATGGATGGAGCAACTTCAGCTGGCACTATCAAAACAACCCCGAAACAGCGAGGATCCATTTTGTATCAACCGAGTATCAACCGATCAATGGAGCGCATCAAAACGACTTACACGATAATAAATGGATCCCGCCTGAACGGAGCTGCTAGTGTGTCCATCCACCAGCCGCGCGAGAAAGACAAGACATCAAACGATGAATGGAGTAGTGTAAACAAAACAAAAGTTCCGAGACACCAAACGAAAGCATAAAAAAAAAAGAAGGATGTTCCATGATGTGGCTGGTAAGCTGTCAACCCTTTATCCTATAAAAAGTCAAGACATGGATGGACATGGGGGCTATAGCATTGTCTTTCATCATGAAGATAGCTCTGCACACTGCACTACACTCACCTTTGTCCGGACCTCCCCTCCTCGGCATTTACCCTTGACCCTTGTGTCAACCTCCTACGCTACTCAAAAGGGTTCAAAGATGGTTCGGACAACCCATGATGGTTCACCCTTCAAAAACACCACTAATACAAATGCGGGGAAAGTGGGAAAAAGCTACCTCTGTAGTGTACACCATGCCAGCTTGAAACTGCGCGAATGGGGTCCCCTTGATAGTTTCGGAGCTACCATTCAGTCATCCTTGACCATGAAGTCTGGACTTTATACGCTTCCTTGTCGTCCTGCGAGATGCGAGCGAGCTACACCGAGCTGCGACCTGCGAGTTTGTCAGTCGGCTGGGGGGTCCAGTCGCTGTCGGATGGACCCTTGAGATTCTGATGACAGGCATAATCATCATCATCATCGGCATTGCCTAATTCTGCTTCCATGTAAACACATGCCCCTCCATTCTCGGAATATTTTTTTTGTCTTGGTGCTCGTGGTAATTGTCGTTCTTATCAGTCTCTCTTCAGCTGAGGTGCTGGGGCTCTGTGAAGTCTTTCCTATTTCGCACTAACATCTTTATGAAAGCGGAGACCCTTAACAGCTGGGATGTGGACGGCGGGACAGGGATCGGCCCCCCCTACGGTAAAAGAGAGGGACCTCCTTGAAAGATAAGGTTACAAAGTCAGACACCGAAAGGGTCTCCGGGTGGTGGTGGTGGTGGTGGTGGTGGTGGTGGTAGAGGTGAAGGAGACCACCAAGGTTCACCACCGGAGCCGACACGCTGGTCGAGGAGTGAAGGGCCGCCGGGAGCGAGGATGGAAGACCCTTGTTGTCAAAGACAAACACACATGAATGAACCAGTCAGAAAACAAGGAAGTTGCGTTCGATGTGATGTGGACTGGGACACTGAAGAAAAAAAAAAATCGAAATAAAAAAAGAGGGGTCCTCCTCCATCTGTCGACTTGGCCGTCAATGCGAACACCATGATCGTGGGCGGCTTATCAACAACATCCAAGACAAGATACATCGGCTCCGAGACCCTTCGCACACAACCACTTGGTAACTACCTAACACGGGAGATCCACCCGAAGGAGTCAAAAGTGTGTGCAAAGGGTTCAATTCTAAACACATGCCAAGCCAAAGAAGCAGCTCAACGCACTGCATTGCATCTTGCATGTCATTGCATCAACAACAAAGATTGGACCATTTCTGGTTGCTTTCAATGAGCCGCGTGATCACGGGTCATGAAGCTATGAACTCACCTCGCGTCAACGCTAAAGCGTCGAGCGACGACGGAGCTCTGTACGGGCAAGTCGGCGACGACGACGACGACGAGGTCGAGCAAGGGCCAGCATCACCTAGCGGGCAACGTTCTGGTTGGTGCAATTGCTCCGGCGCGGCGCCGGTGTTATCCACGTGCATCATCCATCATTCACTTTTTTTTTTCTCACACCGTCTGGACGTGGGAAGGGGGATTGCCAACGGGTGGATTGGTGGACCGCTTTCTTGGACAGGGAAAGCTTGTTGCTTGATGAAGAATGACCCCGCCGAGCTACGCACCCGGACTACCTTGATGGGGTTAGTTGTTTTTCTTTAGTCGTGATAAGCCTCATTGCTAGCTCTTGAGCCAGTCGAGAGAAGTGCGATGTGCGCCAGCGATGGCGATGGCGATGGCGACGGCGCTGGTTGCTTGGCGGTGGACGATGTGGACGGTTGGATGATGCGGGACTATCAATCTCAACGATGTCGGTGGCCCGGTGAGTGGCCTTTGACTGACGATTGCGATGCAAAGCTCACCAGTCCAGTCAAATCGTCAGTCAGTTGCAGGAAACTAACAACCAAAGTCAGCCTCGAGCAACTCCGTTCGACCCGTATGAAGCTCCAGTCCGTTACGCAAGAGCGGTGCATGGATCCCGTTGGATAAGGTGAGACACATTCAAGCACCAGATCGGGGAATTACCTGCGTAACAGAGGTCACGGACAGATTGTGGCATTGTGCTCGGGGACCGCCAAGAGTGACGATCCCGTGATTCGGATCCCGTGCTGCCCCGGTCTGGGAATTGCCCGCAGCAGATAATGTGAATATGTGATGGTTTTCCGGGCCGAAGTGGTAAGCTGAGGTGATCGGTCGTCGTTCTATGGCCGAGCGGGGTCGGTCGGTCCAGCCAAGGCCAAGCAAGAGAAAAGAAAAGAGCAGGCAGACGACCCGAAAATGTGTCACAGAGATCTCACTGGATCTCGGAGCGGGAAATCTCTATGGAGGGAGCTCCAGCTGGAGTCTACACTAGTGGAATCGTACCACAATGAAGCCCATTTTGACTTTGGCATTTCCCGGGCACCAAAATCTGGACAAGGAACCCAAAACCTGGCACAACCTGGAAGAACTGGTGGAGTGCAAGATGCAAGAGATCAGATGAACTCTTGGTTTTTTCCTCTTGTCCTTAAAAACTGAAGGTGTTCGTTTCATGTTTGCAGAATCATCAGCCGTCCAAAGTCCGTCCAAACATCGGATGCTCGGAGTGGGCCGTGCGCTACGGTCGCTACAGGCGGCAACCGTGCGATGTGACGTTCTCCGGCGAGCGGCGTCTAGTGTACACTACATACAAGTCGGAGACGATGATGACATCAGATCGTTGCACGACAACTTGACAACCAACGGCTGCACCATGATGAAGACGTCCAACGACGACGACCATTGTTGGTTAGGTACTCAGTTCGTTCCTGTCTCCTTGGATGCCGTCGAACGAACGATCCGATGTTAAGGCGGTCAATCACAACAACAGATGAGAATGTCAATTGCCGATGGGAAGGCGCTGTCCAAACTTGAAAGTCACACAGCACAGGAAGCATCATCCACCACCCGTCTCCAATGCGACCACCGTGATCCAGACCCCGCATTCCGCAATCCTGCAGCGGAGATATCTTTTGTGGATGACTCCCCCATTCCACTTTCCATCAGCCCAGGGCTCAGAGCAATTTAGAAGGCAGTGATTCCACAACCGACGTAACCGTAGAGAGCCAAAGCCCAAGCTCAAGCCGAAGCCCGTCATCGAGCGTGATTCGAAGCCTATAAAGGACGCCAAGTTCCAGCCTGCATCCATGAAGCCCTGGGCACCTCACAATCTCTGCTTGCGATACCCCGGGCCCAAAATCCAAACCACGAAAGACCTCGAAGCCTGCGCTCCAGCCTTCAAGGTTGGTGGAATGGAAGGATGCCAAGCTCGAACCACAGCCCGGAAAGGGTGTCAAAAAGGGATGGCAAGACTGACTCTGAGCCTGGAAAGAACTGCGAAGCGAAACAGCCACGGCCTGGAGAGGACTAGAAGCTGACCGAGATAGTCTGGATGGTCAAGGCTGGTGTTCATACGAAGAGAAGAAACAGCAGATTGGAGAGGGAGGGGAGGTTTGACTTGGGCCTGGAAATCGACGTCTCCGCTCCTTTGAACCCGGAGATGGGTCGAGTCTTTCCCTTGAGGCAGCCAAGTAGGGAGTTCGGCGCTGGCAGTGTTCGCTCCAATTCACTGCTTCACAGAAATACTTGTACTAACACCATTGGGCTCCTGAGATTCCGAACAAGAGTGTTGGTGGGAGTACGCAGTACCAACAGGGTCTAATGTGAGCTTTGCTCCTACCGCGGGTGTCTACCCGGGTGTTTGGGCAAGTACTTAGAGTTATCCTATGGGGACACTGGTGTTCTTGGAGCTGTAGCGGTTTCCCTGGATCCCAAGGTCCAGTTGTGGTGGACGGGACTTTGATCCACCAACTGACGGAAAAGAAAAGAGGGTAATGTAGAGGAATATGCTATAATTTCCCACCCACAAGCTTAGCACGAACAGCCGCAAATGATACATACACCGAATTGTTCCCTAGAATTGAACATGCTCTCAACCTGTTTGTCTGGGCACCTATGCGGAGAACTGGCAAGCCTGGCTCAATCTACCTAGTGATACTCAGAACAAGCTCGTCACAATTAACTTCCTCTTGACTACCGAGCAGTGACTTGAAGCGTTAACCAAGGCGATAAAACCGCGGTGAATATCACAGGACCACGACCAACAGTCCTCCAAGGTTCACCGCGTATACGCTCATTACTAGGTAAGTAAGTAATAGAGATCAAGAATGAAAAACCTCTTGCTCAGGAGTCCTAGACTTCTTTTCAACATTGCCTTTTCATCTTCTACCCTCGATCTGAACACAAGATACTCCCTATGACAAAGCAGTACAACACTTTCACGCATTCAAATCTGACCCCAAGGACTATATATCCACTATTATCAAGAAACTTTACTGTTCATGTGTCTCCCCACCTGGTACTTTCCTGCTTTCACTTGCAAGCCACAGCAGAGTAGGTAGGTACCTACCTACCTATGTGTCTTCCCACCCCATTCCCCCAGAGACATAAATCTTGATGCACCGCTCGTCCAGCAAAAGTGCACTGGTGAAGTGGTAGACCTACCCACGCTCCTCTTTTTCTGCTTTGTTGTTTTCCGAGCTCTGCAGAACAGACATCGTTTATACATCTCCTCACCTCAGCTGTGAATGTTTCAGTCTACCTATACAGCCGTGGACCTCAAGTGTGAGGTAATGCGAGGGGTGGGTGAGACGAAGAGGAACGCGATGCACCTAGGTACCTACCTCTACCGTAACCAAAACCTGAAAGCAAAAAGACAGAGACAAAAAAAAAAAAAAAAAAAGGTAGAGAAGGAAAAAGAAAAGGAAACTGTGCAGTCCGGGAGTCGAACCCGGGATACTCAACTCGGACGACTTCCGTGGGGGCCCCCAGCAGTCGTGTCTAAGGAGCGAGCGTACTACCACTATACTAACTGCACTTTTTTTTTTCTTCCTTGTTGAATGGGACTCGGGGGGGGGGGGGGGGGGGGGGGGGGGGGGGCTGCTATATGAAGGGCCGGTAACAGTTAGAGCAGTTAGAGGGAACGCGGGGCAAGGACGTGGACATGGAAGGTACGCAGCGGTTGGCTGGGAGAGTAAGGGCGGGTAGATTACCGTGTACCTTACGCGTCGGGTGTTTGCTTCCTGTGTGTCTGGTTTGCGGTGTCCAGTCCGGCGGTACTGGTTACCAAGGAATAGGATCACGAGGCTAAAGAGGACAGAGATAGGAACACGCTTACGGCTTTCTTGTACCAAGGTAAGGAGATCTATGTAGTGATAATCAACTACTGTAGCGTATCAAGACACGCTCGCCCGGAAGGCAGAAGATAGTGCATACCCAGGTAGATGAAAGTATAGTGAAGTTGAGTGAAGTCCACCAGAGATTCTGCAGGGTCCAGCACCCGTCCAACCCGTAGTGGTCTTGTCTGTACTCATGGATAAGGCAAATGGTTTTCCTGATGATGAAAGGGGTATCTCATTAACTTCCCGCTGGGGGTATGTTTCTACTCATGACTTATCTTTACAACAACTGCAACAAATGGACCACCTGTTGCATCAACGTGCCACCTCCCAGCAATTAATCCCACCTTCTCCCTGACCTAACGACGTAGTGCTTCCACCTTCCACGCCGAAGATGTCCTCACACCTATTCCGTCCTTCTCTTATCCTCCTCTCCTTTTTTCCCCCCACATAGGGTACCATCTCTCAGAACGTCCCATCAACCATGATCCCCATGAAACTGCTGTCCATTCCCATTCCCATTCTGATTTCCATTGCCCTGCCCTTGTTCCTGTTCCTGCCCTTGCACCGTCCAGTCACCACCACCGCCCAACCCCATCGGAAATGGCGACAATCCCAACCCCCACGCGTCGGGAGCAAAGAACTCAGTCATGCCCATACCGACCCCGCCGAAATTGATGCCATTCACATTCAGTATCTCTTCAAAGGCGTTGGAGCCGGTGGTTATGGCGGAGGCTTGGGAAGGTGCAATACCTGGGTTTACACCACCTGGACCTACTTGCAGTGGGGGTGGTGCGGAGCTCGAGAGGGGTGGAAGCATTTGGGATGTTGGTTGTTGTGCTTGTTGAGGATGCGGTGGGACGGGCGGTGCCATTGCTGGTTGTAGCAGACTTTGAGAGGGGCTGAGTTCGTGCGGGTTGTTGATCAAGGGGATGGGACCGGCCATGGCGACAAATGGTGGGCCGGGAGAGAAGGGCGCGGGAGTGGTGGGTGTGAGGAGGTCGTTGGGTCGAGGAGTCTGGGGAACTTGTACTTGGCTAATGGGGAGGCCTTCGGCTAAGAGTTTTTCGATGTCGGTTTGCTTTGTGGGTGTTAGCGTCGCCCATCTGTACCTGGCTGGGTGTAGAGAAAGTGGTGGGAATGGAAGGAAAAGCAAAGGAAAAGAAAAGAAAGGTAAAAAGGGGCAAACTCACAATAGCCCTGCTCGCCGGCCCCGGACACGCCAACCTCGCGACCCTCAAACAAACACTGACCATCTCCCTCACTCCCTCCGCCGACGGAGCCGGCGACTGACCCCTTTCGCGAGTTTGAAACGAATGATACAACACCCGTCCACACTGCAAGGCGCACCCGGACAGATCCACATCCCCCAACGGCACACTGCTCTCTCCCAAAGCCAGTACTTGAGCAAACATATCCGCCATCGCGCGAGCGTGTCTATAACACTCTTGTCTTGCCCATTCCACCAGCCCTTGTCTTTGGCCATTCTGTCCCTGCCATTGTCCTTGTCCTGGAGCCGCGGGGCTACCAATAGCGCTCCCAGCCAGCTGCGCCAAACTACTTGCCGACAATGCCTCCTTCAGTCCTGGTAAGAAGAGTCGATACAAGTCCAAGTGGCACTGCCTCCACCAGACATGTGTCATGAAAAAGATGCCCAGCCTCGTAGAGTAAGACCGTAACCGGAGATTCGACTCACTCCACCGGAACGAAGGCGGCAGCCTCGCTTCGAACGAGTCCAGCTCCGCTTTGAACTCCGCGCACCTGAGCGGGAGTTGCATCAGCTCGTTCGGGTCAGGGTTTGGCCCCACGACGCGCAGCGAAAGCTGGAGGATCCGCGTCCTTAGCCAGTGCATACGGATATGCAAGGCCGTGAATCCCACAGCGTCGGGGAGCTGGATTGGTTGTCCGGATGGACCGGGTAATGGTAGGCGCAGTGGTTCGGTGACTTCCGGCAGATCGAAATCAAAGTTACGCTCGTTACATGGCAATTGAACGCGGATTTGTCGTTCTGGATCCGGCCAGAGGGCGAGTTCGGTCTGCCCATTGGCGAACCAAGCGTCAATCATGTAGATGGACCACATGAGTCTGCGGCGGGATTCCTGGGCGAGAAAGCAGAGGGCTGGGTTTTCGACGTTTAGGCGGAGCACGTTTGCGAATCTTGAAGTAAGTGCGTGTAGCATGAAGGCTGCTGAGAAGCGTTTTGAGAGAATTCGATGCTTGACGACGATTACCAAAGCCTCGAGGCGGGTGATGCTTCTGTTTTCTAGTTCGGATGTGCAAATGGAGGCAGCCTCGTCGATGCATCGGTTGGAAAATAATTCTGGGTCGGCAACGGAGACGGAGGGGCCCAGGTCGGTTAGTAACGCGGCGATGCCGACGATGGCGAGCAGCAGGGCGCGGTCGAGCAGGCCGGCGTCGTAGCGTTCCATCAGCGAAGCGCGGTGAAGGAATGTGAACATGGGCAGGTGGTGGACGTGCCGGAAATAGTTGTCAAACGCGCGCTTGACTATCGGATCGTCGGGTTGGGGGAGGTCGATGCGGCCGGATGCTCCTGGGTTGTTGCTGGGGATGGGAGCGGGACTGGCGGTGCTCCGGCCACCTATGCTTCCGTTGCCGTTGTGGTTCATGTCGTCTTCTAGATCTCGGGGGTCATCGAGATGCATGCCGTTGCCTCCGTCATCTAGAACCATTTCGCTGGCGTCACCAAGGGAAGAGTTGTTTATCCCTGGCAGAGCTAGACCTCGCTTGCCCTTTCTAAGGACACATGCAATTCCTAGAGCCCGACATCGTTCGCAACCCCGATGCCCTCCGCTTCCACTTCCTCCTGGCCCGGATTTGTTGATGATTCCGGAGCACTTGGCTTTCTTGACATGACAACTCTGACAAGCCTGTCGGGCTCTGATCCTCCTTAATCCCACCACTGGTGCTATCGTGGTGGTACTGGTGGATGCGTTTCCCTCCGTCTCTGTTGGGGCCAGCCTGTCGACGGAGAAGGGTTCGTGGGAGGTGACTGGGTGACTAGCTCCCACGCCGGCGTTGATGCTCGTGGTGACGATGGTGTTGGGGTCGTAAGAGCAGGTGAAGCCTAGCCGCTCGCAGTTGGTGCACTTGTCTGGCCGGCCATCGCATTTGACTTTGCGAGCGCGGCAGGTGATGCAGGTGCGTTTCTCTGGGCGGGAGCTGGGCCTGCCAGTTCCTTCCGTTCCATGCCCGTGGTTGGATCCGGGTGTGGGTGGTGAGCTCATGTTCATCCTGAGCGCGGAAAGCGCCCGGGTTTGGAGGGGCGCGTGACGGGTGTTTAGTCAATCCCTGGATGCGTCTTTTATGGTACAAAGGGCGAGAAAAGAAGCTGGTGTCAGCTAGTGTTGGTGATGGCCATCGGGTCGATAGTGTCCAGTGAGTGAGTCAAGGGCTGCGGCTTTCCTGGTCCTCGGCTGAGATGCTCGTTTCGTGTGTTTCGTCCGGCGGTCAGTTCCGCGGGTGAGTGAGTATCCGTGCTCCTCTTTGCGCCCTTCGATAGAGGTATTGATATGCCGCGAATGAGAAGCGCGTTTCCGTTGAGGTATATCGTTCCCGCTGAAAGGTATGAAGGCAGGGAGATGGCGTGAAGCCCTCTCAACTGAAGTAATTCTCGATGGATGATGTCCCCAGACAGAATCAAAGGCTCCCTCGATAATGATCAGCCACCTTGATGGTTGAAAGTGGGGTTGGCGACGGAGGCTGCGGACACCGGGCGCGGCCGGGAAACGCGAGCGCCAAGACTTGAAGTCTCCAGTTTTGACCCACTATAAAATCCGGGGCAGCCCCCCTGCCGCAGAGAGCCGCCCATCCCCCTTCCAACGACATTCCATTATTCATCATCACTTTCCATCCAAGGACGGTCGACCAAAAACGGGCAAAGTTGTCTTCCTATTGCTTTACGTCTTCCAGGGAATATCGCTATACATTCCGTTGCTTCAGTCTTTCCTCTTCGGGCTTTCACCTGTGGTATGGCAAGCGTTGGGAGCCAATCCTTCATCACCTGGTCATCTAGGTTGCTTTCCACTCGTTCGAAGCCTTGTGACTTGGGGCGCGCTTTCTTTTTTGTTACAAATATGTATTCAGCAGCATCTTTAACACGTCCACCTCATCCTTTATTTCCGCCCCTAGCCAAGGTGAAGAGACGCATGCAATAACCACAGAGAAGCCTTACCTTTTCAGTATGATGAAGACTCTATGGACTTTGTGTTTGTCTTGGAAGGATGCTGACGGCGGTCAGTGAGGGCCGGCTTGAGGCTTGACCAAATGGGCTCTGGACATGGACGATTGCCTACCTGCACAGTAAATGTACCTCCAGAGATGGGAATTCCACCCAGAGCGTCTGGATCTGCGCTCATCATCCGTGAGCACCACACGGAGACACAGAGACACCAAAGGGAAACCTCACATCGCACTCGACAATACCTAACTCTAAAGCAACACAAAGTTCGATGCCCGAATGGCACCGTCAATAAGCAATGCGAAGAAGGACTACCCTGCAGGTCAATGCGATGCGATAGGCATAAGACCAGCAACACATCTGCGCACCTAGTTCCACAGCGGCCGAGAGCTCCTTAGCTACAATAAGGGCACGAGAAGTCCAGTCCTTTGCTTCTTTTATTGGGAGAGAAAGGTACCTACCTATCGTTGTAGTTCCCCATACCATCATTTCTCTTTAAGCTCTACATGGTACAAGGAACCAGACTACCTACCTAAGGATTGGAACTGTCTCCGCACCTTATGTCTCTATAATCGTGCGGTGACTGTGAATGTGAAAGTTAAGTAGTACCTTTTTTGTTTCCTATAGAGGCATCCCTTCTTTTTCCTCCCCGCGTGCAATTCCACAATAAGGCGTTAACAGAAAATATAAACCGATAGCACGTCTTACAAACCTCTTCAATAATATACTCCTATTACCTAGAGGTACATTATATGTACCACCTGGCTAGCCCAGTCTCAAAAGAGTCAAAATACCTAGGTACCTAGGTGTTGGAAACCATTGGACTACCACACGGCAACCCGTATATATATATATAAGACTAGCTACCACGCTCCCTGGTAGGCTTCTCAGATACCTCCGAAAGGAACTCTCTCCGTCGGACTAGAGGTAATCTAGCCTACTAGTTCAACTTCCCAAAAACGTCGTCCTACAAGCCGTAGAAGTTCATATTTTGGTAGAGGTATCCGCGTGGGAATTATTGATGTTGACGGCATATAGGCAAGGCGTATGCACTTGACTTGCAGGTCTGCATCAATACCTAGGTAGGTAGAGATACAGATCTCTATTCAGAAAAGAGCCCAGCACTCACAATCTACTCAAGAGTGAAGTATGGCGCCAGTATCAACGTGCAATGTTGGTACCACACTTGGCTGGCCTTGAAGTTGGATGTGCGCTTGTAATAGTTTGCCAGTAGAGCCTTGAGAAGTTATTGGATCAAAGGCTGGACGCGACCAGGACATAGGGCCTCCAGGAACTTACATGTACACTATCGGCCACCCCTCTCCTTCTTCATCTTAACCTATTGGGTACCTATATACAGGTAAAATAAAAGCCTCCAAGTGACTTGCAGGGTATGCGCCTCAGACTTCTTACGTGCTTAAGACTCTTGCAGCTTCTACATGTCTTTGTAGAAGAGGAAGGTCAAGAGCGGCATTGTCCTCTGCCTGCTCCCGTTGACGTTCGACTTCCGTCCCATTGTCAGTCATTACCCGCGTCCAAAACTGCAGCTCACCATGTCCACGGAGAATCGAGCCAGCGACACCATGGTGGCTTTGGTGGCTATTTCCTACCTGGCAGGCCAAAAGGTAGACGACGAAAGCTGAGAAAAGGCGTATATTTGCTCTATATACCGAACCGAATAGCTCGTAGCAAGCACTTTTCAAGAGGTCTGGTGCTTATTCCTCGAAAAGCATCTTGCAGACATCGCAGGACCCAGTTTGTAAAGTACATTAATCTCGTAAATCCTTAGAGGTAACCAGGCAATGACAACAAAGAGCAATGAAACCCACAAGGGACCCCAACCAAGGTACGAAAGACCAACTTTTCCATCTCCTCCATTCAACTCCGAAACTCCGCGCAATACCCCAACCCAACCCAGATCGACGATAAAGAAACGAGAGGGGATTAAGCTATCTTGACACGGAAAAGATATCTCAGACGAATCTGGGCAACATCATACGCAATGTACTCGTTGTACAACAGAGAACAGCCTGGGACGTTTGTGTTGCCTGGTTTGACCGAGGTGTCGGGCTGAACTTCTCATTAGCAACCATCCCTTCCTTGTCAGTATCAAAAACAGAAGCGAGAAAATAACTTACCATCATCACCCCCTGCAGTGCCGGGTTCACAACGCCAGCATCCTTCCACTTCAACGGGCCAGTTCCTCCCTTACCCCACGTGGAAAGCATCCCGTTCTGCTTGGCGTGCTCTCCAGCATTGTAATCGGCACCAGTCAACTCCTGGATGGGGTCGCCAAGCTCAGCCTCGCAAAGCAAGAGGAGTGCCGTGCCATTGGAGAGATATGCACAGCAGTAGCCGGCCGATTTACTGGACATATCCGCCAGATAGACGCCCTTGCCAAACATGTAGCCATTGACGGGCGCTTCCGGCGGCGCGATGCGGAGACCCTGGCTGAGAATACCGCCGAAATTGGTGGAGCGGGAGCCGTGCCACAAAAGCTTGCGATTCTTCTTGAGCTTCATCTTGCCGTCGGCATAGTCACTCTGGTCGAACCGGTCGAACTCGCCCTGGCGCTCGATACGGAATATCTCCTCCACTTGGTAGTTGAGACCGTGAGTATTACCCCGTGTCTCGACCAGGTAGTCTGCCAGTTGGGCAAACTCGGTGGAAGCCCGATCCAAAGGCGTCATCTCCTGCATCTTGAGTCCTTGGTACTGTCTGTCCAGGGGATGCACATCGAACTGAGTCTTGTCGATTCTCATGATGTTGCTAGCTTCCTTCATATCGCTCAAGTTCTCAAGCAGCTCGATTTCCTGCCTCAGCTGCTCGTCGGCCGCAATGACAGGTGGTCGGTCACGACCGAACGCGTGCGGAATCACGGAGTAATAGGTGTTTGATAAGTGCTCGACCGCTTGCTGGTACGGTAGACCATACTGGGAGGCTTTGGTGGGGTCGGCGAACAACTCAGAAAGATTCTTAAGCGCCTGGAAGCCGCGCATGATAGTGGCCTTGCTGAGCTTTCCCAATGGTAACTTGTTGCGATCGTACTTAAGTGCCGCCATGGTGTTGTCCATTAACTGCTGGTTGAAGATGAGTTCCATGAGCTTAGCCACTGAAGGGTGGAGTGTGCATTTGGGAGGCTTCTGGTCCTCTTTCTCTTCTTTCGTGGCCGCGCCGCCCTCAGCTTCCTCTTCGTCATCGGATTCATCCTTATAGTTCACCTCGACAAAGGCGTACTTCTTGGGCTTGGGGTTATCACCTCGGTTGCTCCAGAGCAATCCGGACTTGTCCTTGAACTTCTTTTCAAAAGTTTGCAGGGCATCTTGGAGAGACGGGCAGTCGATGAGCGCGTGCTGGCCGGATTCTCCGACACGCCCCCAGCGCGTCCAGACAGCGCACCGGCCGTTCTGCTGCGTCAGAAGCTATTTGATGAGTTAGTCTGGGGGTGCGGCAGGCGACGTTGTGACGATGACTTGCCTGAAGACGATAGAACTTGTTGTTGTTGCCAGTGGAATTGGTCAAGTTCAATGATGCGTCGTAAATAACACCATCAGGATCAACATGAACGGCGTAGCCATATGGAGCGCCGGCGTCCACAGGGATCTGCACAGTCTTGTCTTTCAAGATTTGACCCTCGCCCATGGCCCTTTTGGTTTCGAGTTTGGACCTTTTCAGAGTGTCCTCCTCCTCACCATCAGCCTTGGCGCCATCCTGCGCTGGCGACGGCGATCTCTTTCTCTTGGTGCCTCTGGTGTCATCGCCGTCGGTCTGGGAGGCAGTATCTGCGTCAGCCACGGAAGCGTCGCTTGCGGCATCCAAAGAGGACAAGTCCAGAGCGTAGTCCTTCTCGGGCTGTCGGGCGTTGGTCTCTTTGGTCTTCAGCAGCCAGTCGATGCTGACAACGGGGATGCTCATTCCGTGTGCCTGCTTGACTTTGGCGCTTATCTTGTCGGCGCTCTTGTCCGAGTAGATTACATGGGTGACGCTCTGCACGATGGTAGTCCCGGTGGTGTTTGCTCCGAGGGACTCTGCTGTTTTCTTGTGTTGGTCTTGACCGCCAACAAAGGTGCCGCTAAAGACAATGCGACAGTCTTCAAGCGGAAGTTTGGCTGGGGCAGCCGCTTCCTTCTTTGCTCGTCTGGGCGGCATTGTGACGGACGAACTGACGGGGTCTCAAGAGGAAACAAAGGTGTGAAGTGTGAAGGCGCGTCCGAAAGTAAACAAACAATGGGGCGTGTGTGTAGTAGAAGGGCGAGACAGGGCACTCCACGACCGTGTCAAGGTTGATCAACAACCTCAAAGTCGAAGTGAGATGGACCTGATGGAAAACCCGAAGAACTTCAGCTGAGAGGGCGAGTTCAGTTGACAAGAAGAGACGAAGGATGAGTGCGACAAAGGAGAAGGAAGGAAGCAGCAACTCGGCTTCGGGAGATATCATTTCATTTTCTATCTCCTGTCGAGCCATACAAACAACCCATCTGGGGTAAGCGCGCTCAACGTGCCTTCCAGGCAACAGCCGCCCCTGCTCTCCCTCTATTGAACCACTTTGACGCCAATTCATCGCGAAATCACGGGACAGACCGCAGGAGAGTTGCCTGCTCTTGCCATTTGTTCTTCAGGCACGGCAGGCAGCTCATCAAGGTGATCCACAAAACGCCAGGCAACAACCACCCCTGCATTCCAAATTGGCCAAAGTGACGTGATGCCAAGAGCTGGGGTAAGTACCTAGCTTTCACTTTGGAGCTTTGGGGTTCCTCGACAATGAAGAGATGCCGCGCCGACAACAAAGGACCATCTGTCGTTTCATGATCACAAAACATTATGTCTTGATTGATTGGCCTACGAGGGTTATAGCCCATGGGAGGAGTGTGATAACGGTAAGATGCGATTGCGGTCAACTCGAGATCTCACAGTCCGTGGCTTCGTTGATTGTTAGCGTGTGGGGAGAAGTGTGTGATCTAGAGAATGTGATTGGTCCAGATACTCGAAAAACTGGGGTAAAGAGAGAGTTCTGAAGAGCCTCTCAGTATTTCCAGAAGCAGTAAAGTGAAACGGTGTCTAGTTGAGGCGACCCCCCTTGTAGGGCTCATTTGCAGCCAACCTGCGTCCGATTCGTAGGTGCAAATATCGAAGGTACACCCCACAATATGCAAAATGTAGTTAAATGTATATAAGCTTTATATCTAACAGCATATACTTAACGTATATATCATATATAAATTCAATATTTCAATACTACTTATATAATACTTTTATAGGTCTTATTAATTATAAAAGAAGTTATAAGGACATTAATATTTTTTTTAAAAATGGACATCGGATGGAAAATAGAAAGTAAATATACTAAACAAACTATTAGGAAGAGGGTTTAAAAAATAAAAATTACCAGTTAATTTTTACTTTTTCTTTCCCTTAATAATACTATTAATAATTACTAATAACTGCCGTAATATTGAATAATTATACTTTAGGAATAAATTAATTAATTTCCGCGGGGTTTCTACAGCCTTTTTTTTCTGTAGGGTTTCTATATAATTTCCGTATAATTGATTTTTTTTTGTGTGGTTTCCGCGTAGTTGATTTTTTTTCCGCGTAGTTTTTACAGAGTTAATTATTTTCTTACTTTTTTTTTAAATATAAATTAATATTATTTTTTTTTAGAAAGCCTTTAATAAGTATTGGAAGTTCGATACCCAATCCGACGGTTTATCTACGATTGTAATTATAGTTGATACGTTGCTCGCCGGAGTAAATATAGGGTTTTTTAAATTTTTTAAAAACTTTAGAAATTATTTCGAAACCCTTTATTAATTATTTATTTTTATTAGGGTAAATAATATTATACCGCCGAACTTTACTTATATAAAAAGTTTTATTATATACCGGCCGAGGGTAGTAAATTTTATTTTTATACTAAGGTTATAATTAAGAACTCTCTTTATTACTATTATAAAGATAAATATAATATTATTTTAGGTATTAAGAAGGATAGGCGTATAATTATGGATATTAGTAGTCGGCTTAATTTTGAAAAATAGATTATAATTACCGGTAAATTAATATTTTCCTTTATATTTTCTAAAGGGTTTATTGAGGGGTTTGGAATAGGGTTTTAAAAGGGTAATTAAAGGTAAAAAAATTATTAATAAATACGAATATAATATAATTTAGTATAAGTTATTAAAATATATTTTTCATATTGCCGTTGTAAGTATTGCGGAGTTTAATAGGTAAATTGCCGAATTTAAGAAGGTGGCGCCCTCCCCTACGAAGAAGAAGATAGAGTATACTATAGAGTACGCTACTATTGTATAGGCTACTATAGTTAAAAGTAAATATTATATTATAGTTTTTCGAAGGGTTTTGGGGGGTATATATAAAGGTTGTAAAGGACTTTTAAAATATTTAAAAATTCCTAAAAAAACTATTTAAAAACTATTTGGAAATTATTTGCAAACCTTTTAATAATATTTTAAAAACCCTTTAAAAACCCTTTACTAATATATTATTAGAGGTTTAAAAAACTATTATTAAAATAGTATATACTGAAAGTATTGAATTCGAATAGTAGTAAGAGGCTAAAGTTTATAAATGGGTAGTACAGTATATAGAGCGTAGTATTAACCTTAAATAGGTATTTAAAAAGGATTTTAAAGGCCCTTTTATTAATAATATCCGTAAGGCCTTTTATAAGCTTTTTAATACGAATAATAATTTGGGCGAATTGTTAGACGGCGGAAAATACTACTCCGGCTATAAATATATTAGGCGTAAGTTTTTACTCCCTTTTTAAAACCCTTTAATATTTACTTTTTTAATAGTTATTAAGGGTTTATTAATTCTTTAGAAACTCTAGCTAATTACTAAATTTATAATTACCCTTTATAATTATAATAATATATAAATTTATTACTTAATTTATACTTTCGGCCCCCTAAAGGATATTATTCTTACTATTAATATAGTAAGTATATAGTTCTATAAGGAGGAGGATGAAGTTTAGGAGTATATAAAGGTACTTATAGAAATTAAGTACGTTAAATATAATTTTTAAAAGTATATTAATAAATATTATTAATATTATATTATTAATAAAATATACCCCGACTTTAAGGACGATAATAGTAATAAGGATAATAACAAGGAGGAAGACGGCGGTAAAGATAATATTAGTAAAATTTAATTTTAGGGTTGGGCCGGGGTTTTTTAATAGTTAGGTACGGGTTTAAGATAGTTTTTTTATAGTATTTTTCCTTATTTGCCTTAAGTCTTCTTATAGTATTTTTCCTTACTTTCCTTAGGTTTTTTTATAATATTTTTTTTATAGAAATTAAAATGTAGGTATTGGTTAGGAAAAGGGTTTTTAAAGGGTTTTTAAAAGGTTTCGGAAGGGTTTAGGAAGGGTTTATAAAAAGTTAATAAGGGGTTATCGGAAGGTTATTTCTTTACTTTATAAGGGTTATTAAGGGGTTTTTATAGGTTATAAAGTAATATATTACAGTATTAAATAGAATTTAATATTTAATTTCTACCGTCTAATAATATTTAATTCTTACCTCTAATTTCAGTCTTTACTTAGTTTTTTCTAATAGTATATTATTATAAAAAAACCCCTTTAATTTTTATATATATAGTCTACAAATTTTTTTTTAAAATAAAAAAATTATTAAGGTTTTTTTTTAAAAAAAAAAATTCGTTAAGGTTTTTTAAAAAAAAAAAATTACTAAGGTTTTTTTAAAAAAAAAAAAATATTCGTTAAGGTTTTTTAAAAAAAAAAAAAAATATTCGCTAAGGTTTTTTTTAAAAAAAAAAAAATATTCGCTAAGGTTTTTTTAAAAAAAAAAAATATTCGCTAAGGTTTTTTAAAAAAAAAAAAATATTCGCTAAGGTTTTTTTTAAAAAAAAAAATATTCGCTAAGGTTTTTTTAAAAAAAAAAAATATTTGTTAAGGTTTTTTTTAAAAAAAAAAAAAATATTCGCTAAGGTTTTTTTTAAAAAAAAAAATATTCGCTAAGGTAATTTTTTTTAAAAAAAAACCTTAACAAAATCTAGTTTTTCTTTTTTAAAAAAAAATAAAATAAAATAGGAATTTCTTATTACAATATTGGTTTTTTTTTGAAAGTACTCAAATAGAAAAATTTAATAAAAATCTTAATTATTTTTGAATTAAAAAAATTATTTAAATTATTACTTCTATATATATTTTTATTATATATATAGAAAATAAATAATAAAGTTTCTTATTATAGCGTAATTAATTTTATATTCTAAATAAATATATATATATATATATATACTTATAAATATTTTAAGAAAAATAAAAATAAAAGAATATAGTATCTTTTTATTTTAAAAAAGGAATTATAATTAATAGTAACTTTTAAAGGTATATTATATATATATAAATTATTTATAAGTATTTAAATATATAAATTACTTTAAATTATTATATAAAACTTAATATAAAAAAAAAATATATAAAATTAATTCCTATATATATATATTATTATAAAATTAACTATACTTCTAGAATATATAAAATTTAATTATATTTATTAAATAAAAATAAAAATAGAATAATTATATTAAAATTTTAAATTGTTTAAAAAAGATGCCTAGTCTAGCTTTATATATTTAAATTAAATTATTTTTATTAATAAATAACTTTATAATATAGAAATTAATTAATAATTAATATTTTTGGAATTGTTAGTAGCGTACCTTTATATAAATAATTTAAATTATTTTTTAATAAGGGAATATATAGTAAAATATTTTGATTTATTTTTAAAAAAAGGGAATACAAGTAGTATATTTCTTAGTACTAGTTTTATTAAAATTAATATATATAAAAGTATATTTTTTAATATTATACTTTATATATTATATTTATATATAAAGTATATATTAATTATTCAAAAACCCTTTCTAATATATTGAAATAGAGCAAAAACCACACTAACACGAAAAGCACCCTACCACACCTAAATGTAGTAAGGAGCAGATCCGGAGTTAAACATAGCTTTCGTCCTTAGGAACTGAAATAGAGTAGCAAAGTTACAACTTATTAACCACTACCAAAAACTAACGAAAAGAATAAGATTCTCCTTATTAATTTTAAATTAGTTAAATAGGTCTAAGAGTTAGTTCTTTTATAAAAGGGTTATTAAATTTACTATTATAAGGGCGTTCGATAGTAATTCTATAGTATAAGAGCGGGATTCTTTAGTCTATTATTAAGGATAGGTATTATCTAATCTAATTTGGAGTCTTTACCTTCCTTTCTCTTTTCAGTCGGAATCTCCTCCTTATATCTCCTTTCTACTTATTATATTCCCAGGGTCCCGTCCGAC